TTTTTTTTTTTTTTTTTCCCTTTTTTTCTTTTGGTTTTGAGATAGGGTGTAACAGTCTTGGCAACCCTGGAACTCTCTTTGTAGATCAGGCTGGCCTTGAACTCACAGAGATCTGTGCCTTTGCTGGGATTAAAGGTGTGTGCCACCAGACCCAGTGGTAATTCATATTTTATTCTTAATAGCCATAGTGGTCTCTTTGCTAAATATGAAAGGTGGATTGATAAGACACAAGCTTAGAAAGACTTATCAGGAACTCAAATTGGGCAGAAACCTGGAGGGAGGAGCTGATGCAGAGGCCATGGAGGCTTACTAGCTTGCTCAGACTGCTTCCTTATAGACCCAAGACCACCAGCCCAGGGGTGGCCCCGCTCAAAGAGGTTGGCCTCTCATTCAGTTCCTAATGAAGTAAATGCCCTCCAAGCCTGCCTACAGCTTGAGCTTATGGAGGCATTTGCAAATGAGCCCCCCTCTTTTCTGATGACTCTGGCTCAGTGGTTCTCAACTTTCCTCATGATGTGACCCTTTAATGCAGTTCTTCATGTTGTGGTGACTCCAACCATAAAATTATTTTCATTGCTGATTCTTAGCTGTAATTTTGTTCCTGTTTTAAATCTTAAAGTAGATATCCGTGTTTCCCAATGGTCTTAGGTGAAGCCTGTGAAAAGGTCATTTGGGTCCCCAGAAAAGGGCTGTGACCCAGAGGTTGAGAACCGCTGCTCTAGCTTGTGCCACATTGCCATAAAATCAGTTTAGACAATGTGCACATGCAAATACTCATACACACGCAATAACAGCTTGCATGTGATTGATCATGTCATTGTCCAAAAATTCGAAAGAGATCAAGAATGGGCACATGGGAAGGCTTGGAGGGATGAAAAGGAAGAAATGTTGTAATTAAAATACAATCTCAAAAACAAAAAACCAAACAAACCCCAACACCCCAAAACAAACAAATACACACTTGCTGCTTTTAGAGGACCTGGGTTCAGCTCCCAGTTTCCACATGATGGCTCAAAACCATCCAAAATTCCAGTTTCAGGGGATCTGATGTTCTCTGCTGACCTCAGTAGTCACCAGGCATGTATACAGCGCACTTACATACATGTGCACAAAATATTTAAAAGTAAATATATCTTTAAAGAAACAAAGACACTGAGCTTTTCTGCATAGTCAAAGCAACCTTGTTACAGACTCTGTGTTTTATTTTTCAGTTACTTATGCATTTTTCATGTCATACGATATAGCCTAATTTCACTGGTAGGAAAACTTACCTGTTGGATCTCCCGTCTGAACCATGAAGCCCTTGATATTTCTATGAAACACACAGCCATTGTAGTAATTACTGGCACAAAGAGCCAAGAAATTCTGAAGAGAATAAAAATGATGATTGACAAATCGTTTGGGCAGAAACATACTTCCAATGAAGACAGTCATAGTCTCTGACAATGCTATCATAGCATGTTTAACTATGACTTAGCCATCAGCTAATAAAGCACTCAGTCTTCACCGTCCCTGAAGGCCTGCACGCTCCTCTCCTGCACTCTGTATCTTAAGGCTCTGAACCCTTTCGGTCACTTCACTTCCTGCTCCTGCCTTCATTCCCAGCTGGAATATTAGCTGTGAGGGCGGGAAAGGTCTCTGCTCATTACTGTAACCGACACACAGCTGGACAGTCTTTTATTTAACAGATAACTGCATGAATGAAGAGGGTGACTCTTTTTATCCTTGTCATTTCATCAGGATAAGTTGAACAGAATAATTATAAATAGTTAAAACACTAGACTTTTCTGCTATTGTCAAAGTAGCCCTGGAGTAGAGAATACATGTTTTATTTTTCAATTATTTTACACATTCTTTTGTACATATAATATATCCAACTTTCCAAATTTTGGCTAATGGAAAAAAATTACAGAACAGTTCTTATATCTTAATTATACTTCTTGAAAAAAAAATGAAGCAAAAGAAAAAAAAGGCACTGTATACCTTATGGTTACAGAAAAGCACGTACTTATTTACCTGTATTTATTTCCTATGTGTGGTGTGCCTGTGTGCAGGTGGCTGAGCCCTTGTGCGTATGCGGAAGGGAAGGGTGAGAATCCTCCATCACCCTCAGCCTTTCCCTCAGAGACAGAGTCTCACCGAACCTGGAGCTGGCTGCTGTCCTCCTGCCTTGCCACCCAAAACTGGGCTCGCAGGTAAACGTGACTATACCCAGCATTTTCTATGGGTCCTGGGGATTTGAACTCTGTCTCAATGCTTACACAGCAAGCACTCTTGGCCATTGAGTTATCTCCCCAGTCCCATCCTTTTTCTTTTTCTTTTTAAATTAATTTATTACTTATACAGTGTTCTGTCTGCATGTGTGCCTGCACTCCAGAAGAGGGCACCAGATCTCACTATAGATGGTTGTGAGCCACCATATAGTTGCTGGGAATTGAACTCAGGACCTCTGGAAAAGCAGACAGTGCTCTTAACCTCTGAGCCACCTCTCCTAGCCCCCTTCTTTTCTTTAAAAAAAAAAAAAAAAAGTGTTTGTTTATTTTTGGTTTATGTGCATTGCCGGCGTCTATCTGTGTGAAGGTGTTAGAACTCCTGGAACTGGAGTTACAGACAGTGGTGAGCCACCATGTGGGTGCTGGGAATTGAACCCAGGTCCTCTGGAAGAGCAGCCACTGCTCTTAACCATTGAGACATCTCTCTGGTCCTTCATCTTCCTTTTTCTTATTTAACTCTGACATCAGAAAAAGTGGAAATTAGACCCGAAATCATGATAAACTTTACCTGATAGGTGGTTCACTGAAAGTTTTCTTATTTTTTAGGTTGGATAATTCAATTTCACAGTGGTTATCCTGTTATATTAGGGTATTTGCATTGTTTGTTTTAAGGACAAGTCTCACTATGTAGCTCTGTCTGGTCTGCAACTCTCTATGTAGACTGGCCTCAAACTAATAGATCCCCTGGACTCTGCTTCCTCAGTGCTAGGATTAAAGATACATGCCACCATGTTAGTTGACTTTTAATATGACATGATGACTTACCTCACATGTTTTGGGCGTCCTCTCACAGAAGACTTCTATTTTGATATCTCCTACATCCGTATGCAATGTCACAGACTAAAAGAAGGAGAATGTGAAAACAAATGATATTTCTTCCAGTGACTATAGGTTCTGTATTTCAAGATGAAAACCTGATTAAAAATATTAAAGATGACTTGTTCCCACAAAGCAGCTCTAACATATGAATCACACTTCTTTCTCCAAATTTATTTCAATAGCAGAAAAACAAAATCTCTTGAAAATTCATATAGCATTTCTGCTAAATTTTGGATGCAAACATTGTAGTAGAAATAATTGTTTTTATTTTGAATTTTTCCTGACTTAAAACAATATTTACAGCCAGTATGGTAGCATACACCTTTGATCCCAGCACTTGGGAGGCAGAGGTAGGCAGATCTCTGTGAGTTTGAGGCCAGTCTGGTCTACAAAGTGAGTCCAGGACAGCCAAGGCTACACAGAAAAACCCTGTCTTGAAAAACCAAAAACCAAAACAACAAAACAAAAACAACCAACCAAACAAACAAAAACAATGGTTATGGGGCTGGAGAGATGGCTTAGCAGTTAAGAGCATTGGTCCCTCTTCCAGAGGTCCTGAGCTCAATTCTCAGCAGTCGCACGTGGCTCACAACCATCTATAATGGGATCCAATGCCCTCTTCTGTGCAGATGTCCATGATGACAGAGCACTCATGTACATAAAATACCTAAATAAATGTTGTTTTAAAAAATGGTTACCTCTATTACTGACTTGTATGTCTCAACATCACTGATATTTAACTGAAAAAAATGTTAATAAACTAATTTTTTAAAAACAGTTTCCACCATTTCCTTTGGGTAGTCCAATTTTGAGAAAAGAGGTTAAACAGCAATTCCTTCATTTACTGAAACACAAACCTGGAAGTCATCGGCACTTCCGAGACTTAGTGTGTGGAGCTGGCCACAGCGCTTGCTCGCTGGCCTCTTCCTTTCTTGTGCTGTCTGTTGCTTGGTAACTTTACTTTTTTTCATATTTTACTTCAGAGATGAAGAAAACTCTTTGGAGGTTTCCCTTTCTGTTTATCTTTTTTAAGTTAAGTCTTGCTTTAAAGCCAGGGTTGGCCTCAGTGGTAGCCATCCTCCTGCCCCAGACTCTGCACCTTTCTTCTTAGAATGCTGTACCTAGCAGAGGGTGTACCAGGTTGGAGGTGAGCAGGAATGCTTGTGCTTCCGTGGAGACAGAAGCTACTCCCCTGCTGTTTACCCCACCTGTGCTCTCAGATCTGCAGGGAAAGCTCACTTGGTTTGTTTGCCTGTTTACTTCTTTTTGTGAATTTGGAGGCAGAGTCTGTGTACACCTCAACAGCCTGGAACTGGAACTCCCGTCGACCAGGCTGGGTGCAAGTTGGCCTCCTGAGTGCTGGGATAACAGACCTGTGCCACCACACCAGCAGTGGGTACCCAGTCCTTCTACTCTGTCCCCTCCACACTAGTATACATAATCCCCTCCCTCCCTCCTGGTGTGCACCCCACCACTGAGATACACACTCAGGCCCTTATCTGACTTCCTAAAAATCTTCATAAGTGAAAAACACATAATGGGCTGCAGAGGTGGCTTGGCAGTTAAGAACACCTGTTGCTTCAGTCCCCAGAACCCACATCGACTTGTGACTCCAGCTCCAGGGAATCCAACACTGATCAAAACAAGCAACCAAGCACCCACTTAGAAGAATTCTACAGTACTCACCATTCTCCTTCTTGATGGTTGCAGGAAGCAGGAATTTCTCAAATACAGAGAAAACTTGAAAATGAGTTTCTAAACCTAAGAGAAAGAGGAATTAGTTCATTTTACCCTATCTTTCCCACCACACTTGTTCATCTTCATGATATATTTACTAGAACAGCTGAGAATAGCATCCTCTAACTAAAAATCAGATCACAGAGTCCCTACCCGAGGCAACATAACCCCAACCACTTTACTTACTTTGCTCATTTTCTTCCATGCCTTTTTGTTGTTTTGTTCTGTTTTTCGAGACAGGGTTTATCTGTGTAACCTTGGCTATCCTGGACTCGCTTTGTAGACCAGGCTGGCCTCGAACTCACACAGATCGGCCTGCCTCTGCCTCCTGAGTGCTGGGATTGTAGGCGTGTGCCACCACTCCCGGTTTCTTCAGGGTCTTTCTGCAGGCTAGGCATATTCCCACCTCCTGGTCTAGTGCTCTCGCTAGACACTGCAGCTCCCTTTACCCGGGACACCTACCTGAGATGCCTGTACATTTCCACCCCTCACAGCCTTTCTCAGACTCCAAGTCTTACTAACTTGACAGCCGTAGTTAAAAGCGCTCTACCCCTAGGCCCTCCCCACTGGCTTTTCCGTAGCAATGGTCACTAGTAACAGTCCAGTCTCCAGCCCGAGAGTTCACCACGAGTGTCCCACGAAATAAAACGGCGCCAGCGCGGGGCGCAGCAGGCGGGCGAGCACGAGCTTTGAAAAGACCGTTGCCGCTACTGCACACTCACCCTCTCCGCTCAGCACCCCCGCTGCGGAAGCAGAAAGGCCCCGTTCGCCGGCGCGGGGAGCGCCCTGCCTCCCGTCAGCCTCCCCCCGGCACACGGGCCGGGACTCGGGGGCCGCGCGCCTCACCCCGCGGCCCCGCGTCGGACAATCTCAGCGGCGGAACCCGCTACCCGCCGGCAACCTCACACTCGCCTGAGGTCGGAAGCAAAACGCACCCGGCCACTTCCGCCCAACTTCCTGCCGGCCCTGCCAGGAGCTTCAGGGCTGAGCGGAAGTGACGCGCCAGAGGAGTTCCTGCGCCTGGTGAGTAGTGGGCGAGTGTGAGGTCGCGGGGCCGTGCCCTCGCTGCACACCGGGGCCGGTCGCGGAGGGGAGACTGCGGCGGAGAGCTCCCCCGCTGCAGGAGGGGCGAGGGTCCCGACTCGAGGCTTGAAGGCTGTGCCACGTGGCCTTTTTTATACTCTGGAAAATGTCTTGAGCCATGCACCAGAGCAAGAAGGAAGAACCGTGCGCGAGGGTAAAGAGAGCTGTCGTGTAACTTAAAGTAGCAATGGCTGTCCAAAGGCCTTGCAGGTAGCCCCAGATAAGGTAGATTGGCTGTGGACTTGTAATTGTCCAGTTTCCCCACTGGGCTGCGCTTCCAGGCAGTTCGCCCCTTCAGGAGGTCTCGTTCACGCCCACTAGTGCGGTTTCACTTTCAACTTGGTGGCAGTGGGAGGAGGTGGGATTGAAGAGTAAGCTCCTCTGCTGTCCCAGGAGGTTCCAAATTATTATTCCAAATAATGTTTTCAGTGTATCTGTACTGTGAGCACCCCGTGTCGGAAACATAGCCGGACACGTTCATGTCATCTCACAATGGTTTATTGAATAACAATAAAATCATAAGGTACATCAGCTTTGTTGGCCAAGTATTCCCAATGCCCTCGATAGCTGGTTGAGGCAAACATGTTCCCTTTATTCAAAGCTCCTGTTAACAGTCAGGCCTCTCACCACATAGTAAATATGTCTGTATATTTGTCTATTGAATTGGTGGTTTTGTGGCACTGCCCTCCACCACGCAGTTGAAGGGCCACAGAATATGTGGGTAAATGCCCTACCTGTTTGGCCCCGCTGTGTGTAGGAGTTGATGTTCACTCAGGGGCAGCAGCGCTGGTCTTCGCTTGCCTTGACTCTGCTCATCTGTGGAGTGACCTGTTTACCTCAATTCTTGCTCATGTGCTCAAGATTTTTAAATTTCAAATAATGTTTGCGACAGGGTCTTCTGTAACCAGTCTGGCCTTGACCCTCACATCCTGCTGCCTCTTCTCTCCCAAGTGCTGGGAGACATGTGCCATCACACCCAGTTCATGTGATGCTGGGAACTGAACCCTGGTGCATGCTGGGCAAACAGTACCAACCCAGCTGCATGTTCAGCCCCTTAAACAGGTTTAACAGTGTGCCTGTGTGTATCTTTGTGTGCATTTGTGTCGTGAGTGCAATAGAGATTCAGGGTGTAAACTTGAAGCAGTGGTGAGGGCCTTTATAGTGTATTGGCCTTGCTAAGGTCATAGAGTGATGCCGCTGCCTCTTCAGATGGCTGTGTGGCAGGTTGCCATGTCTCCATTTTGTATATGAGAAAAAAGAGGTCACCAGACATAGCTGAGCCCAGCTTGCTGTAGATTGGCAGAGCCACTATTTGAATCTGGGTCTGTGGCAACAACTGTTTTACTCACATGCTTTATTGCCTCAAAGTGCAGAAGTGAACTGAACACAAATAAATACCGTTTCTTACATTTTGACCCCAGACATGGTTTTACCTGGTTTCTATATGCTGTCATCTGCTCATCTGGTCCCTACAAGTGTCCGGCTTGCCCAGTCCTGGATCTGCAGTTCTTCTCGTTCCTTCATGGATCTGAAGGCTCTTCTTTCTTCCTTGAATGACTTTGCATCCCTCTCGTTTGCTGAGAGTTGGGACAATGTGGGATTACTGGTGGAACCAAGCCCTCCCCATACTGTAAAAACACTCTTCCTGACCAACGACTTGACTGAGGAGGTCATGGAGGAGGCACTGCAAAAGAAGGCAGATCTCATTCTCTCCTACCATCCACCTATTTTCCGGCCCATAAAGCACATAACTTGGAAGACCTGGAAGGAACGCCTGCTGATCCAGGCACTGGAGAACAGAGTCGCCATCTACTCTCCCCACACAGCCTATGATGCCGCACCCCAGGGAGTCAACAGCTGGTTAGCCAAAGGGCTTGGTGAGAACCCTCTCGGCCTTTTCTAGTTAATAATTTCCCTATGCATACTTTAAAAGTTTAGAATGTCTTCCAAGTAAACGTTTTAATTTTTTTTTTTAAGGGGTATCAGGTTTTCTATTTTTGTGTAATATTAAAAGCAATGTGTTGCTTAAATTTGTTAAGATGTATTTTATTTTCATGTCTGTGGAGTGTTTTGCCTGCTTGTATGAAAGTGAACCAAATGTGTGCAGTGCCCACGTAGGCTAGGCCACAAGAGGGTGTCGGATCCTCTAGAGCTGGAGCTGCAGACAGTTGTGAGCTGCCATGTGGGTGCTGGGAACTGAACCCAGGTCCTCTGCAAAAGCAAGTGGTGATCTCCATGACCGAGCCGGCTCTCCAGTCCAAGTTTCATTTGAAAAATGAACTATTTGTTGGAGCTGGAGAGTTGGCTCAGCATTTAAGTACACTTTCTGCTGCTCTTACAGAGGTGCTGAGTTCCCAGCACCCACTTGGAGGCTTCGCAACTATTGTAACTCCAGCCCCGGGGGAACCAATGCCCTCTTCTTTATGGACACACACGTGGTGCATACATGCAGACGAGATGCTCATATATGTAAAACAATGAAATAAAGCTAAGCAAAGTCTTTTAAGAAAAAAAGAAAAACAAAACACTGTATATTAGGCTTGTTTGGTATAAGCCTATAATCTAAATTCCATACTTTAAACATCCAGGAAGCTGAATCAGGAAGAGCTTGGCTTTAAGGCTAGCCTGAGCTATACAGCCAGACACTGTATTATCCTAACAAAACATAAGCAAAAGGCAAACAAACCATGAAGCATCCTTGAACTCTATGTAGAGGGCTGGCCTGATTTGCTTTCTATTGCTATGATAAAAAGCATAACCAGAAGCATCTTGAGAAGAAAAGGGTTTGTTTATCTTTTGGCTTTCAGTCCATCATGACATGAAGTCAGGGCAGGGTCCTGGAGGCAGGAACTGAAGTCCAGGCCACAGAGGAGCACTGCTTACTGGTTTGCCCTCACGACTTCCTTAGCCTGCTTTCTTAAACAACCCAGGACCACCTAGGGTTGTGGGTCCTCCCACATCAATCCTTAGTCTAGAAAATGTCCCACACACTTGCCTGCAGGCAATGCGATGGAGCCATTTTTTTTTTTTTTTTTTTTTTTTTCAATTGAGATTTTCTTTTCCTGGATGACCCTGGCTTGTGTCAAAGCTGACAAACAAAAGCCAGCACAGGGAGGATAATGGGTTAGCTTCAGGTAGGAAGCATGGCATGAGTCTTCGTTGCTAGACCACCTTCATGGTTGTTCGGTCAGGTGACACGCTGCCAGCATCCCCAGCACTGGCAGCTGCTCAGGATCTTCAGGATATGCTTGCTAGGTTAATTACATAAATAGCGAGATTGTTGTCGGTCTTGTTTTTATTTATTTTTGTTATTACTCTGTGACTGTGTACATCAGAGGACAACTTTCAGGAGTTGGTTCTCTCCTTCCATCGTGGGTTTCTGGAACTGAACTCCAGTCATTAGTCTTATGTGACAGGTTCGTTTATCTAGTGCTGGAATTAGAGGCATGTTGGCGACACGCAGCTTGCCATCAGGGTCTCACTGAAAGCTTACATCCCAGGATGAGTGAAGGGATTCAGCGTGGCGTAGCTTTATTTTGGTACTCATTTTGAACTAAAGCTTTTTGTTGTTCTTTTGGTTGTTTTATTTGTGTTTCTTCCAGACTCACTGTGTAGCCTTGGCTTGGAACTGAGCGTGTAGATCAGGCTGGCCTCACAATCAGACAGATCTCACATGCATTTGTCCAGACCTCACCAGTTCTCGGATAGGCGTGAACCACCATACCTTGCCTTGGACTGAAGCCTTTATAATAAAGTGCTCATTATAAATGTGCCCAACACCTATGTATTTGTGATCTATACTTTGTTTTAAATGAGATTGACCAAATGGTGGATTAAAAAAAAAAAAAAAATCAGCGATTCAAGTACTTTTTGTTCAAGGTTTCCCGAAATATGAATCTTCAGGAAAATAAATGTGAAAATGGATTTTATTTTGAATGTGCAGACAAGTCTAGATCATGGAGACTGGTAATGAGCGTGTAAGGGTTATTTATGTAAGTGTGCTCACATAGGTAAGCCTGGAAGTGGATTCTGAAACGTGTCATAGATTTTACTTACAGTGTTTTATCTCTAGTTCTAAAGCACTACAAAGCACGTGGTTTCCCCACACTTGTTTCCTTAGGAACTTGCACTACCAGACCCATCCACCCCTCCAAAGCTCCTAACTACCCAACAGAGGGAACTCACCGCCTGGAATTCAGTGTGAGCCACACCCAAGACCTAGAGAAAGTCATGTCTGCAGTGAAAGGAATTGGAGAGGTTTCTGTCGCTTCTTTTCCTGCTAGGTATGTTATCTATCCCCTGGTTTAAAAGCTTGCTGTGTATGATTTATTTAATGCGTGTTTGCATGGAGACGCGCATACCATAGTGCGTATGTGGAGGTCAGAGGACAGCTTGGGTGAAGAGGTTCTCTGTAGCCAGGATTTTGGATTCTTTATTGGTCTCTCTTTCCCACCTCCCCTTCCAAACCTCCAGCTCCAGGTAGGAGAGAAAGGAGAGAGGGGACGGGGCTGTCAATACCGTCCAGTGTAGGGAGTGTCGAGGTAAGCCTCATGGAGGCCCATAGAGAATGCCGAGTGAGGTGGCATGGCTGCTATGACCCCTCAAACAACCCTGACCCACTGCGCACAGTGTTGATCTACTAGGGACTCCTCACACACTAGTAAAGTCGAAAAATGGATCCAAGGCTAGAGTGGCGACTGCTTCCTCCTTCTCTTGATGCTTGAGGCTAGCGTGGGATGTTGGCCCTTCAATCATGTAAAGGCTTTTACACAGCACAATAAAGTTAGACCTGCACCTTGAGTCTGATTCCTGGGGCTCTGTTGCCACTCACCCCCTTTTCCTGGTTCCTGTTCCCCACAGTTAGACTGCTTCCTGCTGATTAGGGGTATTGAGTACCTTGGGAAAAGTCCAGTCTTTGTCATCAGGACATCGCCAACCAGCAGTCCAGCAAATAGCAAAAGCAACCAGCCAAAGTAACAGGAGCAAACAGCGAAGGGACCAGCAGCAGCCTCCAGCCTCTCTCAGAGCTCTGGAAGTTATATGCCCTTGGAAGAGTTCCCAGAATTCCAAAGGTTAACTATTTTCAGCTGGCAGAATCATGCCCCTGCCAGAGCACGAGACAAATCATACTTAGCTGCCGTGGTAACTCTAAAGCAGTCCCAATTCCCACACCTGGGATTGAAACAGAAGCACATTCTTATAACATTTCTTCTGTATTGTTTAGAAAAACAAAAATTCTCACTATACTTCTCTCCTTCCACTACATGGGATCCAAAGATTGAACTCAAGTAGGCTTTGCAGTAAGTCCCTGTACCCACTGAACCATTTCAGAGCCACTTTTCGTTGTTTTGTTTGCTTCAGTTTTTCCTTGAGATGGGGTCTCATGATGAATCAGGGTGGCTGCAAACTCCTGCCCTTGCCTCCAGTGTTGGGGTAACAGATGTGAGCTGCTACTCCTGGCTCCTGTTTCTTTTCTTAATTTTGTTTATGTCTGTGGGTGTGTTGCCTGCACTTACCTCTGTGTACCACATGTGTACCTGGGCCCAAGTGTAGTATGAAATATGGTCTGGCCCTCTAAATGACTTTATACCCTTCTGTGTCAGTTGGCTAGATTTAAAATTACAGAAGCTGTCCTGCCACACTGAGATACCATGTAAATACTTAAAAGAAAAATAAGTTGAGCTGGGCATGGTGGTATATGCCTTTAATCCCAGCACTAGGGAGGCAGAAGCAGGCAGATCTTTGTGAGTTCAAGGCCAGTCTGATCTACAGAGTGAGTCTAGGACTGCCAGGGCCGCAGAGAAACCCTGTCTCAAAAAAACAAACCAAACCAAACCAAACAAAAACTAAAATAAGTTGAAAATAAAGCATTAAAAATTCAAGCAGTAGGTTTTGAAATGGCTCGGTGGGTAAAAAGCACTTGCCACCAAGCTGTCTGCCCACAGGAGTGTGATCCCTGAACACACAGTGGAAGGAGAGAACCGAGTTCCTGAAGTTGCCCTCTGACTTCCTAGGCATCCTATGGCATACACACTCGTACCCACACCCACATTCACGCATGCACTAATAATAAGGAAGATTCACAATCCACATATTCCTTTGCATTGTTTACAGAGAACTGGGTCTTCTGGCCTTGAACTTTTGATCCTTTGGCTTCAGCCTTCCAAGGATTAAGATACAGGCATGTGTCTTCTGGCCCAGCTGAGGAGTAGATATAGTTACAATAAACATAGTTTCATTGTCTACATTGTTTTGTTTTCATTTTATTTATTTTGAGGCAGGGTCTCACTATATCTCACTGTCTACCTCTGCCTGTCCTACAGAGATATGTAGTCCAGGTTAACCTCAGGCTTGCAGAGATCCGCCTGCCTCTGCCTCCTGCTGCTGGGATGAAGGCATGCTCTACCACAGCAGGCACACAGGTTGTTTTCCTAACTGAAAGGCGTGCTGTGGGTACTGGGAACTGAACTCTAGTCCTTGCAAAGGGCATAGGTATTCTTAACTGCTAAACCATTTCTTCAGCCCATTCGTTTGCTTGACTTTATCTTCTTTGATTTATGAGATGGAGTCTTTCCTCTGTAGTCCTGGCTATTACGTAGACCAGGCTGTCCTTGAACTCACAAAAAAAACCCTGCTTCTGCTTTCCAAGAGTTAGGACCAAAGGCATGTATCATTACACTTGTTTGACTTTGAGATGGCCTGTAACTCCTGATCTTGCCTCTACATGTGTTACTGCACCAGATCAGAGAACCTTTTTGTTTTGTTTTGTTTTTCAAGGCAGAGTTTCTTTTTATAGCCTTGGCTGCAGGAAACCTTTTGAGGTATCTTCTATTTCTAGAATTCTGTGCTAACAAAACTGCATGTGCTTTGATTTTGTTTAGTCAAGATTTGGCAACGTGGTCAAGTCTGGCCTTACACTCACCACAGCTCTTCTGCCTTTGCCTCCTTAGAGGTGGCGTTACAGGCACTCGGCCCCATCCCAGGCTAGAAAACTCTTGATAGCACTTTGTTTGGAGACTCCCTAGAGCACTTCTTCTCAAGGGCTGTCTGTCCATTATGGGTACTTACTACACATGCAGATCTGGGCCTTCATTCTGTATAATCTGGATTCAGTGATTGAAAATTACTCATAGGGTAAAGACACTTTCTGCCACGGCTGATGGGCCTTGGTTTTGATCCCTGAAACCTGCTTGGTAGAAAGGAAATGGACTCCATACGTTGTCCTCTGATCCACACGCCATGGTGTGTGTATACTGCCAAGCACTTGTACACGTGTACATGCATACAGAAAGGAGAAAAACTTCCATTTTCTCTAGCTCTGTCCAGAAATATTCAGTTTACTAGACATGTTGAAGGATGTAGCCACTGTTACTTTAAGTTGGTAGGCATAAGATGTCAGGGTTCTGGGCAGCTGTATTTTGAGGGCTCTGTATTAGTCTGAGGTTAAGCAAGTTTTGCTGATCACATCTTTGGTTTCATATAAATCTGTTAAAGAAGGTTATAGACTGTGGGGTATTTAAAATACTTTTATCCTAGTTAAGCAAGTGATATTTTCTAGGAGTGATGATGAGGAGCAAATGCGGATCAGCCTGAACTGCACTCAGAAGGCTTTGATGCAGGTGCTAGCTTTCCTCTCCCAGGACAGACAACTTTATCAGAAAACTGAAATTCTTTCATTGGAGAAGGTAAAAAAAAGAATTCAGCCCTCCTGTTGCTGTGCGTTTTGACAGCTGTGTTGATACATAACTGGCATTCAGATACTACGTTCGAATACTGGTGGATTGCATTACAGGTGTCTTGTGCTGCAGGTTCATTTATAAACTGTTAAGTCAAACAGAGTTGATTCCAGTGCATGCCTGGCAACCTGAGTTTGATCTATAGAACTCGTAAAGGAAGGAGAGAGCTGAGAGCGTGTGTGTGAGCACACACGCTGCGGTGAGGACATAATCCTGGAAACTTTTGTGAGAGGGAGACGGTGTGGGACTAGGAAGTCCTTGATCCTTCCTTCTTGGTGGTTTTAGATGTGGGTATTTATTACCCTCCTGTGGAGAGAACACTGGCAATGGCTTGAGTGCTGAAACCTGAAAGCCTGTCCCCAGCGACCCCCTCCAACCAGGCCACACTTCCTAATCCTTCCCAGTTCTACAACTGGGGACCAAGCATTCAAATGTATGAGCCTATGAGGGGACATATTTTCACTCAAATCTCTTGTTGGTGCCTCTAGGGCCATGGCCATGTCACCAGGAAAAATGTATTTAGTCTGACTTCAAAGAGTCCCCATAGTCTTTCATATCTCAATACTGTTTAGAAGACCAACGTTCAGTGTCTCTACTGAGACTCAAGGCAGTCTTTTAGTTCTAACCCCTTGTGAAGTCAAAAGGCAAATTCCATACTTGAGCATACAGTGGCACAGAATATGCATCACCATTACAAAAAGGAGTAATGGTGGCATAGTGAAGAAATGCCGGAACAAAGCCAGAACGAAACCCATTAGGTGAACTCCAAATCCTGTAGCTTTGTGTCTGCTGTCAAATGGCTTAGATGGCTCTTCCTTTAGGCCTTTGCTGACTGCAATTACACTTCTCTTATTGATCCCACAAGGCGAGAATAAGATCATGGCTACAATTTTTGAGCCAAATTTGAAGCAAGCGCTATTAAATCTTGGCTAGACAATGGACAATGGACACTGGCTAGGTCCATCCCCAGAATTCCCAGAAAAGGGCCTCGAATTACCTTGTCAGACGCTTATAAAGGCACAGCCCACAAGGCTGTGTGCTTCTGCCTCTGTCCAGTTGGGGACCAGCATACGTCCTGACGTGCTTCCTGCCCATGTCCCTGCATCCTATGTGTGATCAAGCCGTGCTGTGCAGTTGGCATACCAGCTTGTTTACAGAAGTGAAAACATGTTGTTTGTTAGCTTACATGACTAGCCGCCAGCATTTTAGGAAGTACCTGTCCTTGGGCAAGTGGGGCTTATATTTAGAGGCATCTTGTTTTATAGATCCCAGCACTTGTTAGGTAGAGGCAGTGGGTCTTTGTGAGTTCAAAGCTAGTCTGGTCTACATAGTGAGTTCCAGGTCAGCCAGCTACACACAGAGAAACCCTGTCTGAAAAAACAAAACAAAACAAAAAAAAACCAAACCAACCATCCAACCAACCAAAACAACAAAAAACTTAGTTTTGACTATGTGGTAAATATCTAGGAGGGTATGAACTCCCAAAAGTTAGAATGCTTTTGCAAGGTTTTCATCCCAAGCTTATAAACACAAATCTTCCTGATTCCAGTTCTGTACATTTTTGGGGACTGGGGACAGATGCTGTTTCTAACTTGTGTTTCTTGTCAGCCTTTGCTCCTGAATACTGGAATGGGACGGTTATGCACATTGGATACATCTGTCTCCCTGGCAACAATGATAAAGCGGATCAAAAGACACCTGAAGCTATCTCATCTTCGCTTAGCTCTTGGAGTAGGGAAGACGTTAGGTAAATACCTCTTTCCTCATCCAGCAGATCTACTGTGACTGGATTCATTATTTTTGACACTTGATCTCATACATACAGGACCCTCAAACTCCTTTTTCTTTTGCCATTATCTCCCAAGTTCTGGGAGTACAGGTATGTACTGCTTTTGCCTAGTACGTGGTAGGAACATCGTGGCAGCTCAGGGAGATAACTGGTTTGCTTGGTCAGCCAGGGTGGGCTGGGCTACAATGTGGAATCCATCTCTCTAGCCTAAACGGTAAAATGTGGAGATCAGGAACTGGGGAATGCGGGATGAGTGGCAGCGGAGCCCACGCAGAATCCTGGGAGTCAGACTCCAGAGACCAGACTCCCAAGTGCAGATCTAACTTTATCGTCCAATGTAAAGGCCTTTAAGTGACTGAAATGCCACACAAACCATCCCATGCTAGCCTCAAATACCACTAACAGTCAGGTTGGTGGGCTGTACGGAGATGTGGAGAGCTGGCAAGATCACCTCAGGAGACTTCTGTAGAGAGGGGAAGCAGTCAGCGCCCTAGCCTCCGGTCCCTTCTGAGACTTCACTAGTGTGCTAGGAGACCTTAGTAGATCAACACTGTGCGCAGTGGGTCAGGGCTGGCTGAGGAGCTGGAGGAAGGGGTCTTCCCTCGCCATTCCCTATGGGCCTCCATAAGGCTTATGGACACTCCCCACAGTCAAATTTATCTCTTAGACGGTTCTGTATTCATCTCTGGTCAGCATTGGAGGTCTGCTAATTATAAACTATTGTTTATAACATTGTTGCAGAGGGTTTTAGATCATTATTAGGCAAAAATTCTAGACTGGCCTGGGTGGGGATGTATACCTTTACCTCTGACACCTGTTGGAAGCAGTTGGATCTTTGCTGGGGGTGGACCTACATAGTGAGGTATAGGCCAGCCAAGACCACACCGGAAGTTCCCTTCTTAAGAAAAAAAAAGTGCCTAATATAGCATATCTAGCTTTTTTTTAAGATTTATTTATCTTGAGGTGTTTGTGTGTTGTCAGACCCCCCCTAGAGATGAAGTTACAGGTGGTGGTGAGCTATCAGATATGGATGCTAGGAGCCAAACTCGGGTCCTCTGGAAGAGCAAGTGCTTTTAACCTGACCACCCATCTCTTCTGCGCTACATTTCTCTACCTTGCCCTCTTAGTTCTTCAGCCCTCTTGCCTGTGTCCACAGACTCAGCTGAGGTTTGTTATTAGCACTGAGGCAAAGTGGGGAGCTGCAGTATTGTTACTACTCAAGAGGCTTATGGGTTTGCACAGCTGCATTTGAAGCAACAGTGCTCTTGTCTTGTGTTTTCTGTATGGTGCCAAAGATGGATCCACTTGCCTAAAATATTTTTAAATTGTTTTTTGAGTGATGCATGCTGCCACACGCCTCTAAGTTGAGCACTTGTACGGAGGCAGGAATCATCATAGTTCAAATCTCAGCTGGCCGTGCCTGAACTTAGGGTTGTCCTCACAAACTCTGGGACTATAGACATGTGGGATTACGGGTCTCACCATGCCTGCTCTTGGTTTTGTGTTGCTCTGTGTTTTCTTTTTTTTTGAGACAAGTTCTCACAGTGGAACCCTGGCTGTCCTGAGACTATAGATCAGGCTGGCCTCAAACTCACAGAGATCCACTTGCCTCTTGCTTCCCAGGTGTGGGGCTTAAAGGTGTGCCACCACACCCATTTTTAAATCAAGACAGCATAATTCATATACTACTGAAGAGAGTAGTCAGTCTGCATTAGTTAGGATTTTTAGTACAAGTTGTAATGTTACACAGACAGGGGTTACATTTTTCTCTAACACCACCACCTCTTTCTGCTTTTTTTCTTGAAGAGTCTCCAGTCAACACTGTGGCCCTGTGTGCTGGTTCTGGAGGCAGCATTCTACAAGGAGTGGAGGCTGACCTTTACCTCACAGGTAGGACAATTTCTTGATCTTTTCCTCAACCTTACCTTACTTCTTAAATATTCAGAACTAGCAGATTTCAGGACTGTGGACCAGCTAAAGCATAACAATAGCTTTTCCCTTTCATTTCTGTGGGGTTTTTTTCTTTTTCTTTTTTCTTTTTTTTTTTTTTTTTTTTTTTTGCAGTGCAGGGCCTTCAACCTGGTATCTCCTGCATGCCAGCAAATACCATGCTACTGAGGGCTATGCCACCAGCCCTTAATAACTGTGTTCTCAACTTGAATTAGACAGGATCAATATCAAACTGAAGGCATTCAGTGTTGTCAGTAGAGGGAACAAATTACGTGACAATCTAATAGTTTGCCCCCAAGTTCAGTCCAGTCACTATTTACTTAACTGCTTTTCTTCTCAGGTTTCATGTTAGATAATGGGATGCCTTCTTGCTTGCCACCTGGGCTGGAAAGAGGTTCCTTTTGGCCCAAAGTCAGTTAACAGTTCCATCAGGTCAAGCTCTGAAATCTTTCTAGAACTTTCTTTTGTCTCTATATCCTACCTGAAGTATTATGCCTGATTCACGAGTCTGTTGCAAAACACACGAGAATCTTTATTGGCATCCAGCTAGGAGAGCCCTGAGCTCAGGTTTGGGTGATTTATAGGGTAGCAGTCCCTCCCAGCGTTTCCCAAAGCAGGGGATTCAGCCTGGCAAGCTTCTGTTAATACAGAAAAAGGGGATGCAACATTTCATAAGCTGTTTGCTATGGGAAAGTGCCAGGACCATGAATGTTCCCATTTTGTTTTCTTTTGGGGGGGTGGAGTGAGGGGAAATGGCTGGCCATAGGCTTCAGTCCTGTGCTGGACTGATAGACTGCTGCTAGGGGAGAGGGCGGGTTAGCTCAGCCTGAGCTATCTCCAGGAGCAAGGCCTTCCAGGCTGGTTTCCTGGCAACAGCACCTCCCATGAGCAGAGAACATCAAGGTCAGTTCTTCCCTACAGCTGCCCGAATGTCGTAAATTAGCTCAATACCCCAAAAACCTCATTTTTAATTCTTTGGTCTCTCAGTACTCCATTGTGCCTCTAACGGTCCCCTCAAATGTTTGTTTTTTATTGTGTGCCTCAGTGCACATGTAGAACTCATAAGACAGCTTGTAGGAGTCTGTTCTCACCATGTCGTTTCCTGGGATTGACCTCGGGTTGTCAGCTTGAGGGCACGTGCCCTCAGCCACTGAACCATCTCACCACCACCGAACCTTTGAGGCAGGGTCTCACTGGGTAGTCTTGGCTGGCCTTGTAGACCAAGTTGACCCTGAACTCAGGGATGCTCCATCTCCTGCCTCTTGGAATTAAAGATGTGCACCACCATCCCTAGCTGCTTTTGGCTTGCCGTGGTCTCACTGTGTACCTCTGACTGGCCAAAACTTAATATGTTAGCCAGGCTGGCCTTGAACTTATAGCAACTGCAATTCTTCTGCCTGTTTCCAGTGGCCGAGATGACAGACTTCTGCCACCAGTTTTCCAGCTGTAGCTACTCGGACACCAGGCATTGGTGACTCCTCTTTGCCTAACCCCTCGTGCAGCCTGCATTTAAGAACTCTCTCCACTGGGGGCTGGAGAGATGGCTCAGTGGTTAAGAGAACAGGCTGCTCTTCTATAAAGGACGCAGGTTCAAATTCCAACACCCACATGGCAGTTCACAACTGTCTGTAATTCCAGTTCCAGGGGATCCCACACCCTCATACAGGCATATGTGGAGGCAGAACACCAGTCCAAATAAAATAAAATACTTAAAAAAAAAAAAACAAAAAACAACTCTCTCCACTTATGGAGCCTTTTTCTTGTCCCCCTATGTTGTGCTTTCAGTGATGAGCAAAAAGACCAACCAAAAACCCTAACTTTTTTTTTCTATCTAACACTGTTCTTCCCCTACCTCTCTTTAACCCATTTCTTTGTACTGACTTACATTGTGCATTTCTGGTAGATAAAACATTGTTTTTGGCTCCTAGGCTTCTTGCTCTGCTCTGTCCTTGAGGCTACAATCTAAAAGACAGTTAATTTTTCTTCCCCCCTTTTGATGTGGGTTTCACTGTGTTGCCCTTTTTGGCCTGGAACTAGCTGTGTACACTAGGTTAACCTGGAGATTTACAGCTGTCACTTGCCTCTGCCTCAAGGGCTGGGATTAAACGCGTGTGTTACCATGCCCTTCCTTTTTTGTTTTTTGAAACTAAGACTCATAGTGAAGGCCAGGCCAACCTCAAACTTGTCATTCTGCTGCCTCAGTGTTCACTCAGCCCAGCCCTGGTTAATTTTTCTTGAAAGAATTGAGGCCGGGGAGACAGTCAGTTGGTGCAGTACTTGCCTCACATGCACGAGGACTTGAACTTGCTCCAGAGCCCATGTTAGAGGAGCCGTGTGCAGCAGCCCATGCCTGTAAATCCAATGCTAGGGAGAAGACAGCGCTCACTGTCAGCTAGCCTAGAGGAGTTGCTGAACTCCATGTTCAATAGAAGAGCTTGCTAAAAAACAACATGGAGAGAAACATTAAATGTACCAATTCAGAACAAAGGCAATGTCCTTTGTTCTGAGGAGATTATACAAGGATTCACTGAGGTGTCAGCATGTCTGCATTTCATAACCAGATGGTTCCAGAGTAAATAAATACCTGTGTGCACACATAATCCTTTACACATATACGGAGGGCTTTGGATTTATCATGACCATATCTGTAAGCCAAGCAGAGATAAAGGAAGCTTAACTGAAGAACTGTGGGGAGGCTGACAGCACAGCTGGAGTAAGCATCTGGCGCACTGCCTTGGAGAGAACTGTAGACTTCAGTTTGAGGAACTACGGTGGCCTTGATGGAATGTGATACAGTCACATGTGAAATCCCTTAAGCGTACACACCCAGAGATACAGAGCATCACTTAACCTGGTTACTGTTCAGATATGGCCAGAAGATCTGGAGGCACTTTAAGGTGCCACCCCTTTTGTGCACACATGTTCACCCCTGCTCCTTACGGTTGGTACAGAGTGAGATAAAGACCTCCAGGACCAGACTGTGGCCAGCCCTCCAAGCGTTTCCTTCGCTGCTTGTCTTGGATCTGGGTTTTCTTTTCTAGCACTACCTTTCTTAAAAAGTACCTATTGTTTACACAGGGTGGTCTCATGACCCTTTCCTGCATGTAGACTTTGAGCATCCGCATCCTGTCACACTCAATTGTCCTTTCTGCTCCTGCTGATCCCTCCCCTTTTCCTCCCCAACTTGTTCTTTTCAGTGTTTTACCTCCTCTCCCTTCCTCTGTGGATACCAATACACACGTGGCATGTACTCACAAACACACGTACACATACAGTTCAAAACAACAAATATAGTTCTTAAAGGTTATAAATACGTGCATAAGGTAAGTTCAAGCAGTTCCAAAATGTTAAGGTATTTTGGAAATATAAGGGTGCTTGAATATAAACTATTCCCAGCAGTGAACTGATATGATTGTGTAGAGCTGAAAATAGCTCAGCTTTCCAGTAAGAACACGTTTTCTCATATTTCTACACTTAATGAATTTATCTGGGCCTGATCTTGCACTCCTTAAACCCCACGACTTGGGAGGCAGAGGCAGGCGGAGTTCTATGAATCTGAGGCCGGCCTGGTCTACAGAGTGATTCCCAGGACAGCAAGAACCCTGTCTTGACAAAACAAAACAACAACAAATATTTTTTTAAAAATTATCTTAATGGCTTTATGTCTGTAAGTACTAGTCCAAGTTTAACTTTTTTTGAACAAACCAAATTGTACATAGCACACACAGACAAACGCACGCTCTTTGACAGTTTTGTACATTTGATCATATGTATCACTCTTCTCCCACAATGTTTTTGTACACAATTTCAGTCATCAAATTCACAAGTGGTGCTTTTAAAACTCCAAAAACATTTTTTTCCCTTGGCTTTTTGAGACAGGGTTTCTCTGTATAGCCCTGTTGTTTTAGAACTTGCTCTGAACAGGCTGGCTTCAAATCAAGGGATCTGCCTACCTCTACTTACTGAGTGCTGGGATTAAAGGTGTGTGCCACCACTGCCCTGCCACAATAACTTTCTAACAAGGCTTTTTTTTTTTTTTTGGTTCAGTTGCTTATTTGTGATAGTGTCTCCTGTAACCCAGGATAGCCTCCAACTCACCTATTTTAGCTGAGGCTGGCTTTGAAGTCTTGGTCCTCTTGCCTTAGCTTCCCAAGTTCTAGAATTACAGCTATACACTGCCATCACTGGCAGCATTTTTTTTTTTTTTTTTTTTTGCATCAGCGAAAGAAAAATATTTATGTTGAAAATGCTATAAAACTGTTTTGAGTAATACAAGCATAAGAGGAAAATTTCACACCTGGATTCATGTAAAAGGTTATAGTAAAAATGCTGGCACATTCAAAATACTTGTACAATACAGTCTTCAGGCCAGGGAACTAAAGTATCAGTAAAACAATGTGAAATTCATGTTTTGGGATCAGTGGGTAAACACACTTGCTTTGCAAGACTGGAGATGGACTTTAATTCTAGATCCCACAAAGGGAGGAGAGAACTGCTCCTGACCTCTGCCAGTGCCATCTGGTCTCTGTCCCATTGCTATATCCCTTCTCCTGAATACAGGCACGACTCAGCCCCATATAGAGATGTGTACCGTTCAGTTAGAACTTTCCTGTTTCCGTGCTGGGCAGCAGGACCTTGTGCATGAGAGGCGAGCATTCTACACCCGACCACATTTCTGTGTCTAGTAATCCAGAACTTGGTTCGCGCACCAGGGTACAAACACGGCTTTGTGCCGGAGGTGTTGAGAGTGCCTGGGTTCCATGTCTAGTATTTAAGTAGTTGCTCTCTCCTCTTCTGGCAGGTGAAATGTCCCACCACGATGTCCTAGATGCTGCTTCTAAAGGAATAAACGTCATCCTTTGTGAACACAGCAACACTGAGCGAGGCTTCCTTTCTGACCTTCAAGAAATGCTGGGTGTCCACCTGGAAAATAAGATTAATATTGTCCTGTCTGAGACAGACAGGGACCCTCTCCATGTGGTTTAAAGTGGACAGGGACATCATGACACAGGCTACACATCATCTGGAGTGAAGCAGGACGCAGGGAGTCAGTGGCATGGCCACACTGCTGTACAGGTGTAACGGGTGATGTCATTTCAGCTCGTTAATCCAGCTGACCAAGTGTTATAGCTCATAAGGGAAAAACTGTGTGAAGAGTTTGTGTAAAGAGTATACCAAAGACAAATAAACTCTTAGAAAAGACTAAAACCTGTAGGAATTTCTTGTTTGATTACTTGTGCCGGTTTCCTGTGTAACCCAAGATAGCCTCCAACTCACTATTTAGCTAAGGCTGGCCTTAGACTCTTAATCCTCCTGCCCTCTAAGTGCTGGGAATAAAGGCATGCATTCCTGAGAACATTCTTGGGAAGTAGCTCTGTGTAAATGGTGTTTCAGCCTCAAAGATCTCTGCCCTTCAGTTAATCCTAATCATTTAAAAACTGATTTGGGCTGTGCATAGGTGGCACATGTCTTTTAACCCAGAGTTTTAGGCCAGCCTGGTCTATAGAGTGGATTTCAGGACAGCCAGGACTGTTTGTTATACAGAGAAACTGTCTCTTAAAACCAAAAAAAAAAAAAAGAAAGAAAGAAAGAAAGAAAATGGAACTTGGTGTGGAAGTGCATAACTACCAGTATTTGACAGGCAACGATAGGACACTTATGAGGCTAAAGCCTGCCTGGCATGCAAAGTGAGGCCCTATCTCAAAAAAAAAAAAAAAAAAAAAAAGGAAAGCAGTTGGAGAGATGGTTCAGCAGCAGAGCACTTGCTGCTCTTGCAGCAGAGTGGAGTTCACTTTTCAACTGTAACTCTAGCCACGGGGTATCTGACACCCTCTTCTCCCTCTTCTCATCTCCACAGGCAGCTACACTCACCAAGACCAGAAAACCAAAAATCATGGACTTAGATTTATTTCTAAACAGCACTTTTAGTGATAAGGTCAGTCAATGTGCTTTTTAAGTTAAGCAGCAGAATGATCTTTTTTAAAAAAAAAAAAAAAAAAAAAAAAAAATCAGGCTTAAAAAAAATCTATAGGTGATTACTATCTACATTTGCATTTATTCCTATAACTTTTGTTTTGTGTTTTGGTAGTGGAAGGATCAAACTGAACACTGGGTGTGTTTACCACTCTAGCTGGCAGTGTGAACTTGGGAGAGTGGGGCCTGAAAATGAGTTGGACTAAAGTCTAAGGCAATAGCCAACTTTACTCAGAGCCTCAGACAATGTATACTCTGAGAGTCGAGTCACCCATGTAAAGCATGCAATCACAAGGACAAGCCTCATGGGGTAAAAACATGTGTTTCCATTGGGGCATATGAACAAATAGCAGCCAGTTATAATGAGTAATCTGAAGTGAACTCACTTGTATCTGATATACCCGGGAAGGGCATGAAAGCACATTCCAAGAACAATTCTGTAGTTTTGAAGAAACTGAGGTCATGAGACTCTTACCTTGTTTTCTCACAAGCACTCAGACTTTCCCTTGCAGGCTCTATTAGAGCATGTTCTTACACTGAATGGCAGGCAAGTATTCTACCTCTAGCTATTGGGGAGGGGACGTGAACGAGAACCAAGCACAGTGACAGTATATATGGAAATGCCATAAGGGAACCATTACTTTTGCATGCTAACCTAAGAATTAAACACGAAATAACAACAGAAGAGCTCCCCCTGGTGAATTAAGCCTCCAGCCCAGAAACAAATTAGCCAGAACTTTAACTTCAGGACATATGACAGTTGCTAGTCAGGAAGCAACTGTGCTGTTGAGAGAAGGGAGCAAGTGGATAGTGATCTGCCTCAGTGCCCATTAGATTTGTAAGATGCACTCAAAATCCTTTCCAAACACTTCGGAACAACTAGCACTATAAAATGACTCTATAAATGGGTCTCCATTTATGAACAGTGATGTCTATCAAAACTATAAAGGCAAATGCAAAGATGTGCACATTGTATAATTAGATGCTTATACTATAAAAGAGAAGTTATAATAAACTAGATATATTAAGCAAAAATGCAAGGTATGTGGAGTTAGGGAGATGGCTTAGTGGGTAAGAAGGCCTGCTCTGAGAGCGCCAGGACTGGAGTCTGAATCCCCAGCACTCATGTACAAAGCTATCCTCGGCTATGTGCCTGTGACGCCAGCACTTTGTGGGGAGACAGGCCGACTCTGATAGCTCCCTGGCAGCCCGGCTAACTACAAGGAGCTTCTGGTTCAGTGAGAGGCCTTAACCTCAAGGAAATCAGGCACAGCATCTTACTCTGACCCATCTACAGATGCCGACACGCACCACAAAAACAAAGTACAAACCAGCGGGTTTCATGTTACCAGTGTGTATTTATTTATTAATGTTTGTTGTCTTTTGAAACAGGGCATCACTGTAGCTTCGACTGGTCTAGAACTCACTAACTGGTCTAGGCCGTGAACTCATGTTTTTCTCCTGCCTCTGCCTTCTTGGTGTTGGAATTACAAATATGAGCTCATGTCTTGATACTGTTGTCTCGAAAGGAGAGAAGCAACCTGCCCGCCCCTGACTGCGGAATGCTGAAATTAAAGATGTGTGCCAGCTATACCTGTGTGCTATTTAAGAAAATAAAAAATGTCAATGTACAAGAATAATCCATTTTTTATTTTCATTTAATAATTGAAAACAATTACTAAAATTAAGATTTTATTTCCTAGCCTGTCTTCTCATTTGTATCAAAAATTCAAGGTCATAGTACAGACATTCACCATTTTAAATACGCTTTCTAGATTGGACATGTGCCTCTACATCCCGCATCTCAGTCTCACCTGTCTTAAGTATGTGCAGCTCGGTCCACAACGAGAGAGTGGGTCACCTTAGTCTGCTAATTTCAGAAAAAGGCTGGGGATGGACCCCCTCCTTCCTCATCAGATCTGTGACCCCTACTCTGTAATCTGACGATCTAAAACAAGTACACTTGTAGTAATTCAGCTCTGTAGTGCTAACTTGCCCTAAAAGTTAGGGATAGCCTCTATTATCAAACAGTCCAAAACAACCAGTTCCAAATAATCCCTGAGCACACTGTTCATCCAGCAAGAAGTCTCCAGAGAGCTAATAAATTAAAGGCACATTTTCCCCAACTCAATAATGACTGCATAGTATTAGAGACAGTACACCAGCCAGACTAATGAAAGTTCAAATTGGTTATTGTCCCATCAATAGAACATCTTGCATGCTGGACAGATGACCTAATGTTGGCTGTAAACCAGCATTCTTACTAGAGGGTGCAGCTGGGGTATAGAGAGTCTTCCACATAACATTCAAGGGTCAGAGACAGTCTAAGCCTCCTCCTCTTCCTTCTCCAAGAAATCTGCCAATGTTCCGCTGTCAACAGGAATTAATAAATATTCTACACCATCAGTTCCCTACAAGATAAAAGAATATTTCATGTTAATCACTTGTAAGGGAGCTATCTAGACCCTTCTATTGCAGGTTAAACAAAACCAAGCCAAACAACAAATAAACAAAACCCCTGGATTTTTAATTTATTTTTTTGTTTTTGAGATGGTTTCTCTGCATAGTGTTGGCTATCCTGAGTACTGGCATGCACCACTACTGCCCAGCTGGATTCTATTTTTAGGCAATATTTTAATTATCTAAATAAGCATTTACATATGTAAGTAGAAAAAATAAGGCAAAGGGGCATGACTGTTTATCTACTTTAAACCTTGATATAGGGTCAAGTGCTTTAATAGGAAAATCTACAGGGCAGATAGATGATGGTTTTCCTCACTGTGCTTCCAGGCAGGACTAACTTGCTGACCCTGTCATTTATATAGTTTACACTTGAGAACCATGCACAACAAAAATCTTAACATCCCCTCAAATTTTTCTATTTTCAGTAAGTTTACATTTGGACCATATCCACAAGCTGAGGCCAACTAGACCCTTCATCCCTCTACCCTTACACAATCTGACAGTGCTGATTTTTCTGTCCTACTCCCCTGCTTTCAACAAGTCCTCTTATGGACTTTTGTTGTGTTTTGAGACATGGTCTTACTCTGTAGCCTTGGCTGGCCTGCAGCTTGTAGAGATCTGCCTGCCTCTTCCTCTCTAGTGCAGGAATTAAAAGTGTGCAACACCACACCCAGCCTTGAGTTTGAAAGACATTCAAGTAGCTTTCACCCAAAAATATCTTTTGGGGTTGGAAAGATAGCTCAGCAGTAAAAACATTAGCTGTTCTCCCATAGGATCTGGGTTTGATTTACAGATGACAGCTTACACCCATCTGTAACTCCAGTTCCTGGGATCCAATACCCTCTTCTAGTTTCTGCAGGCACCTGGCATGCACACATGACGAAGAAACATACAAAACATGCAGGCAATGAAGTAATTAGAAGTAATTTGTTAGGATCATTCCTCTTCTAGCACTGTCCGACAACTTTCTAGAGTTGTCCGTGGTGTGTCTCCTCTGCATTCACTCTACCACAGGGTAAGCGCTCATTAGTCCATCGTCCCAGATGTTTTCAATCTATGGCTTCCTGGCCTCTCAGAAGCAGCTGACAACACAAGTATCATTCATTCTCTTGTCCCTTGGCTTCTGTGACATCAGTTTTTTGGTTTTTTTTCCTTTCTGGCTGTTTCATCTGCCCTTCTCCTTAGTAAACACTGTGCACCAGCCCTCATAGCCACTGCTACAACAGCAGCCTTACCTTCTTTGTTCTTAAAAGTTTGTGGTCCCTAAATTCAGTTAACTGGGCTCGGAGTGTGAGATCACTGTTTACAAGAAATGCTTCCCGACACTGCTGATAAAAATCTTGAAAAGAAAGTCCTGGGGAGATGAAAAGATATTAATCAATATTTAATTGTTAATATTTAATGTTTTATTTGATTGGTTTTTGTTTTTTTAAGACAGGGTCTCACTATGTAACTCTTGTCAGCCTTGAACTCATCATGTAGACCAGGCTGACCTGGAACTCACAGAAATCCACCTGCCTCTGCTTCCTGAGGGTTGGCATGCAGTGTAGGGATCACCATGCCACACACAATCAATCAGTATCTTTTGTTTGTTTGTTTGCCTCCCTGCCCGGCCACAATCAGTATTTTTAAGAGAAGATTTACTTTATTTTAAGTTGAGAATATGACTCTGCGCAGAGGCCAGGAGAGGGTGTTGCATCCCTTGGAGCTGGAGTTACAGGTGGCTGTAAGTTGATCAACTGAGTGCTGGGACAAAAGCTGGGCACTCTGCAAGGGCAACAAGGCTCTCAACTGCTGAGCCATCTCTCCAGCTTCATAACATCACTTAAGACATGCCCCCAGACATAGATAGCCTGTAAATAACCCTAACATGTTGCAAAGTGGATCAATTGCTGAAAGTTGTCACCTGTGACTAAATAACAGGTAACCTTGCAGGCAGTTTTAAGTAAGCATTACAAATAAGACTGACTCTTAAGGAAGGTAGTAACTTAAAAACTGTGATCACTAAAATTTGTATACACAGTAACACATTTTGCCAAATGGTGACAAATAAGATGTCCCACATAGAAAAACTATGAAACTGCCAGATACACATCCATAGTTCTAGTAGTGCTCAGGATTCTACAAGTAAGTGGGTCTCACGGACATACCCACCACAGACCAGTCATTCATCTCTGCTGTGAGAAATGCTGGGCTCCCAAGGGAGTCTAGAACAGGGAGCATAGGGGGACAGAAAGTCACATTAAATATCACAAATGTTGGATACCGATGTAGGAAGGGCTGTCCTGGTTATCCAGCTGGAACTTTATAAGTAGCCTGAAAATCCCCCTACAAAAAAGCAAACAAACACAAAAACATCAGACTCAATAGACACGTACTCTGCAGTAGTAAATACAAGTAAGAATGGAGACTATTCAGCTCAGCTCCATCGCCTTTTGTTCCTTTCTCTAACAGAATCATATCCTCACAGCGGGGGGGGGGGGGGGGGGGGAGTTTCGATCTAAGAACAAATTCTTCTCTCTCTTTCTCTGTCCCCTGCAGGATGTGGTGGCGCAGGCCTGTAGTCTCAGAACTCAGCAAGCATAAACAAGCAAATCTCTGCAGTTTATTCCAGGAAAGCATGGTCTATAAAGTGGGTTCCAGGGCAGCCAAGACCACACAGTTTGAGACTTTGTCTCAAAAACAAAACAAAACAAAACAAAACAAACAAACAAACAAAAAACCCAACCAAACCAAAACCAAAACATCTCTAGTGCAGTAACAACACATTAACAACAAAAAATACAACAGAAGCTCCCAAGTCTTCTCTATATTCACAACTCAGTTTTGTTCAGAAACATAAAAGCTGCATGTGTGCATGTATGTGTACCGTGTGTGCCTGCTGATTCCCCTGGAACCTAGGTTACTAATGGTTGTGAGCCACCATGAGTGCTGAAAATTGAAGACTAACAAGCACTTTACTCAAACTCTGAGCCAACTCCTCAGCCCCGAACAATTTGTTAAGAAAAAAACTATTCTAGCTTTATTAGTCAATTTCATAGGTTAATACTGAATATTCCACCTGTTGTGTAACCCAATCCTGGTGCCACTTTTATTTTCTCTTAATCCTTTACAGCAAGAAGGTAATTTTGTTTCTGTCCCAGTTATTGTCAGCTCACAACTAGCCACAACCTAGAGTTACCTGAGAGGGACTAATTGCAGAGATTCTCAGATCAGACTGTCCTGTAGGCACGTCTGTGGGGGAACTGTCTGTACGGTTAACTGACGAAGAAGGGACAAACCACTGTGGGCAGCACCGACCTCAGTCCACTGGAGGTGGGCTGTGAGATGACTAAGCATGAGCTTATGAGCAGGTCGGCAAGCAGCATTCCTCCATGGCTCTTGCCTTGAGTCCTTTCCCTGATGGCCCTCAATGATGACCATGGCCTGTAAGTGCAAGTCAAATAAACCCTTTTCTCCCCCAAGTTGCTTTTGATGATGGTACTTTACACAACAGCAGAGTGGAACTACAGCGTGCCTCTGGTAACCATAGTAGCACATCCCAAGCGTACAAAATCTGTTTTGTTTTTTGAAGAGCTAGGATTGGATCGAAGGCCTTGTACATGAGAGGCAAGTGCTCTACCACTCATCTCACTCCTAGTCCTTGAATGTACAGGTTGTTTATTTTCTTGGTGGTGCTGGGAGTTGAATTCCGGGGATTTAAAATGATAGTAAGCACCTGACCACTGAGCTACATTTCTAGACCTAAATGTGTGTGTGTGTCTTTATAGCTATTTTAATAATAGTTTTCATTCTTACCTTGCATTGGGGGTAAGGCTCCGTAAGACATGAATCAGAGAACTCAGTGGTAGAGATCCAGACTGTTTGACCAGAAGGGAGTTCTCATAGGAGGTTTCTTCAGTATAAGGACTGTATGTAGTAGTTTCATACCAAAGCCAATTATAGAGACTCTGCTTTGCATGATCCCACACTACAGAACACGATCAAAACAAAGAATTACAAATTACTGCCATTTAGTCACGTTACGTGAGATTTCACTGCAGTGAATAATGAGGAGACATTCAAGGAAAAGTGCCAAAGGCTGGGAGTGCAATTCAGCGGTAAAAACGCTTGTTTTAAGTACACAAGGTTCTGGGTTCACACCTTAGAACTACATTGAAAAATCATAAAATTTTCCATGTCTGTCACTTCTTTATCGCTAATCTCTAAATCACAATCTGATCCTACTATTAATCAGTGTCTGTATTTTTTTCTTTCTAGGTAAGGTCTTACTGGGTAGGTCATGCTGGTCTCAAATTCACAATGCTCTTGCCTCAGGCTCCCAAGTGCGAGGGTTTACAAATATGAGCTACCTTACTTGGATAACATCTGAATGCTTATTTGTACATTAAATAGACGTGAAACTGTCTTAGCACCATCAGTAATCCTTTTAAAAACTAAATAAGGCAGCTGGGTGTAGTGGCACACATCTTTACCTCCTAGGCACACAGCTCCTGGGAGGCAGAGGCAGGTGGATCTCTGTGAGTTCAAGGCCAGCCTGGTCTACACAGGACAGTCAGAGAGAGCTGCAACAGAACCTGTCGGGAGTGGGAGGGGGGAGATAAAGTAAAACTTGAATGAATGCATAAATAAAGTGAAACTTAAGGAGGCTAAAGAGATGGCTCAGCAGTTAAGAATGCGTACTCTTGCAGAAGACCCAAGTTCAATTCTCAGCACCTACTTCACAATCACCTATAATTTTAGTTCTAGGAGATCTAATGCCCACAAACCTCTGGTGCACATACACTCACAAAGGCAAAACCCACAGAAATAAAATAAAAAACATTAAAAACGTGATGACTTAATCTTCTGTTTTATCATTCTCACAAAATGAATTTATAAAATAAACGTGAGAGTATGAAGAGAAGGATGGAGAAAGAATAATGGGTCTACTCTTCCTCTTCCTTCAGGCGCAAGCATACTTTAGTGTGGATTCTTATTCCTAATAATTACTTTTTTTTTTTTCCCGAGGTAGAATTTCTGTCTGTAATTTGGGTTGTCCTTGAACTCACAGAGATCTGCCTGTCCCTGCTCCCCTGAGTGCTGGCATTTCAGGCATGCGCTACCATGGACAGGCCTGACTCAATAATTACTTTGTTTGTTTGTTTTCTTGAGACAGGGTTTCTTTGTGTAACAACCCTGTGGCTGTCCTGGAACTGTATAGGGATTAAACTGGGATCAAAGGTATGCGCCACCAGACCCAGCTTCAATACTTTTTAAATCAAATTGACAAGCTGAAAGTTTACTGAAAAACAGTACAGTTTTGTAAGAAAAATCTCAGAGGGAAGAGAGACAGCAACATGTAACTTACTGAGAGGAGCATTGAGGTGATCAATAGATGCTATAAGGTACACGTTCTGTAAAGATGACAACTGTCCAAGAATTTGCTGGCTGTTATCTCCTCTTAACATTTGGCTGTCCAAATTGTGGATAAGAAGGAAGAGTTCTAGAGAAGAGTCTGAAAGAAAAAGGATTGCAATGATTACTTTCAGTGAGGACTGTGAAGTCTTTAGCACATAAAATGCTTAAGTATTAAAAGATATGCCCAAGTAAGGTACTAAGCAAGCACTCTATAACTGCGCAGCAAAATCCAGCCATAGGTATAGAAATGTTACTCAAAAACCTGGGCATAGAGGCAGAGGATGATATAGGAGGATCCTTGGGGCTTGCTAGTCAGCCAGCCTAGCCAAATTTTTAGCTCAACATTACAGTGACACACTTGCAAATATACACACAAACACACATATATGCACACAGAGGAGGGGGAAGGAAGATGAAGATGGATTAAGGAAGATACCCCATGTCAATCTCTGGCCTCCATATGCACAAGTACAGACATGCATGCTCATTCCTGCTCCCATGTACACACTTACAAACATGCACATACACATACACACAATATTAAACAACATAAAAATGTCACACAAAGATGAAGAAATCTGTTTCAGGCACTTTACACTGACAAATAAAAAGCAAAATTATCCTAAAATAAAAAAGGCCATACAGAGTTAAGACAACAGGAGTAACTCCTTTCAGTTAGGTGAAATTCATAGGACAAATTAATACGATAGGAAAGACAATTTTTTTCTCCTGAGACAGTTTCTCTCTGTAACAGTTCTAGCTATCCTGGAACTAACTTTGTAGACCAGGCTAGCCTCCAACTCACAGAGATCTACCTGCTTCTGCCTCCAGAGTGCTGGGGTTAAAGGCATGCACCACCACACCTGGCTAAGACAAATTATTTTAAAGAAATCTAAATTGGTGTTGACTACAGTATCCATATTAAAATAATCATCTTTTGTCTAAAATACAGAGATGCAGTGTGTAACTTCATGTTAAATGCTACAGATGATTTACTTTGTTACCTTTTTTAAATCTGTTTATTATCCAGTCTCGCTGATCCAGAACACTTTGGAAAGTACCCATATAATCAAGGACATCTTCGGTTATATAATTCAGGATCTACATCATAGAAGTGCAAGAGGTACCATATCAACGGCAATTTATTCTGTCACATGATAAATACAATTAGCAAATTAATTATTTTTCATAAATTAAAAGTGATTTTGAGTTACTTAAAATTCAACTAGGTATTTAAGTATATCTAATTTTTTTTTAAAATACATTAAGGCTACAAGGAAAAGGAAAGAATAACAACATGAAAAGATACTATGAGAGGGAAGGAAAAATATAACCAGATCCCGGCAGTCCTGATGCACACCTTTGATCTCAGTGCTCAGGAGGCAGAGGCAGATAGATCTCTGTGAGTTCGAGGCCAACCTGGTCTACTGAGTGAGTACCAAGACAACCAGGGTTACACAGAGAAACACTATCTTGAAAAACAAACAGTAAAAAAAAAAAACATTATCAGACTATGAATATGACCCAGGTGTGGTGGTATACACCCTTAATCCAGTATACTGGAGGCAGAGGCAGGCAGATCTCTGTATGTTGAAAGCTAGTCTGGTCTACATAGGGAGTTCTAGGCTAACCTGGTCTATACAGAGACCCTATCTCAAAATAACCAAAGGAAAAAAGGTGTGGAAGGGAGTAGGGGGGGACTATGAATGTGTCAGAAAGAACAGTAACACGGATGCTAAAAAAAGGGTTACCACATTGGTTAAAATCCAAAACCTTGATGTAATTCTCAAAGGATAATCATTTGAAGTAACAATAGTCTATGATAAATGTACTCTAAAACTATTATATACACACACATACACACACACATATATAATAATTATTATTATATTGTTTTTTTTTTTTTTTTTGAGACAGGGTTTCTCTGTGTAGCCCTGGCTCTCCTTGACTTGCTTTGCAGACCAGGCTTGGCAGATCCACCTGCCTCTGCCTGGGACTGATGGTGTGTGCACCATGCCCAGCTCTTATTTATTGTTTGTGTACCAAAATGATAGAACTATAATGAAATTATGATTCTCTATGCCTAGTCTTAGCTCTTCCACTACTGACATGGTATAGTAAACGAAGGCAACATTTCCCTAAGGTTTTAGACAAGTCAGTTTCTTTGTCAGTATGGTGGCTAGTTTTCTGCCAACTTGACACAGCTACAGTCATCTAAGAGAAGGGAACCTCAATTAAGAAAATGCCTCCTTAAGATCCAGCTATAGACAAGTCTAGAGGGCATGTTCTTAATTAGTGATTGATGGCCGAGGGCCAAGCCCACTGTTGGTGGTGCCATCTGGGCTGATGATCTTGTGTTCTATAAGAAAACAGGCTGAGAGGCTGTAGAGATGGCTCAGAGGTTAAGAGCACTGGCTGCTCTTCCAGAGGACCTCTGAGTTCAATTCCCAGCCACCACATGGTGGTTCATAACCATCCATAATGAGATCTTGTGTCCCTTCTGGCCTGCATGCACACATGCAGGCAGAGCACTGTATACATTAAAAAAAAAAAAAAAAAAAAAAAAGTAGGCTGAGTAAACCAGAAGGAGCAAGCCAATAAGCAGCACCCCTCCATGGCCTCTGCATCAGCTCTTGAGTTCTTGCCCTGACTTCCTTTAATGATGGACTATGATTTGGAAGTGTAAGCAAAATAAACCCTTTCCTTTCTAGCTTGCTTTTTTCAGTAATGGTGTTTCATCACAGCAATAGTAACTAACTAGGATAATGATCATGTGTGTATGTGCTTGTATGGGTGCACATTTGTGTGTGGATACATAGGACAAATTTAGGTGTTATTCTTATGTATTGTCTATGCTTATTTTTAGTTACTCTAACTATTCCTAATTTTTTTCCACTTTATGTGAATGAGTGTTTTGCCTATATGTATGTATGTGCAACATGTGTGTGCCCTAGGAGGCCAGAAAGGCGCATCCGATGGCTGGGATTAGAGTTACAGTTGTGAGCCACCATGTGGTTCTAGAAACAGAACCTGGGTCCTGTGCAAGAGCAGCAAGCACCCTTAACCACTAAGCCACTGTCCAATCCTATTAATTTATTTTGAGATAAGGTCTCTCAATGGCAAGAAACTCATCAAGCAGGTTAAACTGGCTGGTCAGTGAGCCTAAGGACTGTGCACTCTTCCTCATCTCCCCCACACTGTGATTACAACCACAAGCCACCACACCTAGCTCTTAAAAACAAAGCAAGAGTTAATGAGCTTGAACTCAGATCTTCTTTACAGAATGAGCCATTTCCCCAGCCCCAAGTCAGTTTCATAGTAAGACATCAAAGATGAAAACTAAAAGATGGATTACTCTGAATTAAAAACATGATCTAATTGGTAGGAACAAAATCCTTTATATTTAGTGTTCAGAAGCAGAAATTGCATCCTCACTCCCATAGAGCCATGACTTGGCAGAGGACATAATGTTACTCATAACATAATGTTACTCCTTTTAATAGTTTTGAAACTTACTGATTTCACACTGATCCCAGGAAAGAAGCCGTTGATGACAACATGAATGGAATCTTGAAGCATGGTGGTTCGAAACTTTTCTAGTAAATCTCTCTTGGACCCCAAACCATAAAGCACAATGTTGAACCCAAGGCTATAAGGAAACACAATGTCCATAAAATTAAAGCTTAAGACTCCTGGCTGCCAACTTTATTACCAACCAGTTTCTTTTATGCTTATGAGGATTGCAGAAAGGAAAACATGAAAGAATAAAGGGTAGAAATACAAGCTAGATATGTGGTGTACACCCAGCACTTGGTAGACAGCAGCAGGAAGATTGCTGTTATCTTGGAGCCAGCCTAGTTTACAAAGCAAATTTCAGGCTAGCCAGGGCTACATAGTGACACTCTGCCGCATAAATGTAAAAATAAACAAGTGAATGAAATTAAAAGTACAAAGAGAACAGGCAGAACTAAGGCACCCAAATAGCTAAGTTGCGGGTTCCCTAGAACACAGCAAAGTCACCCATCCCGTCTATGAGAGCTCACAGTTCCAACTGTTTGGCAGCTTTCTCTGTAGGGCTGAAGATAAGAGCAACTATGGCAGATACTGTAACATTTAAAACATACTAAAGGACAGTTGAAATTAACAGATTAAACCACAACAGTGAATTACACTACAATGTTAAGTCTACTTTATTAAATAACATCCATCTGAAAGGAACCTGTAGCTGGAAGGTTTTAACCGGAAAGGGGCATATCATTCTAGAAAGACTATTGTATTGGGGAGTAGGGAAGGGGAACAAAACTGCCAAGGATAGAAGGCTTGAATCAACTGTCATGTAGAAAACTCTAAGCATTGCAAAACAATAGGCTTTAGAGACTGATGTAGAAGACAAAAGGAAAATGCAGTTTTCTGATTTAGGCAACTACAGAGTGATTGACAGGTCCTGAGCTAGAAGGAAGGCAGGTGGAGAGACTGGTTTCAGATGAGGTTTATGTAATGTTCACCATGCCTCACAAATGCTAGGCACACACTCTACTAGCGAGATATAGGACCGCCTTTGCTGTTGTTTCCAATCTTGAAACAGGGTCTTGTTAAGTTACTCAAACCTATCTTTACACCTGCCTTGTTTTCCTCAGTGACTTTGCTATTTGCATGTTTGTGATTGGGTTAGTATCTGTCAACTTGATACAAACCTAGACATATCCAAAAACAGAGAACTCAGTTGATGAGCTGCCTCTTTCAGGCTGACCTGTAAGCACATCTATGGGGGAAGTTTCTTTCTTCTTTTTTATTTATAGATTTATTATTTTATTTTTTGTATGAGTGTTTTGCCTGCATATTTGTCTATGCACAATGTGTATGAAGTGCCTGCAGAGGACAGAAGAGGGTGTCAGATCCCTTAAACTGGAGTTATAGACAGCTGAAAGTCATGTGGTTGCTGAGACTCAAACCTGGGTTTTCTGGAAGAGCACTCTATCCCTCTACCAGGGACTGATTGCTAATAGGACAACCGGGCCCACTGAGGGTGATCCTGTAGCAGGGCAGGGAAGTCAGGGCTGTTAGAAAGATAGCTAAGGAAGCAAGGCAGTATGCAGGCTTCCATGGTTCCATCTTCAGTTCCTGAATTGGCTTCTCATTATGATGGACTAAAAGCTGGTGTTTATCACAGCAACAGAACTTGGTACTGGGAGGGAAGTGTTGCTGTGAGTCCCCAGACCATGCTGTTTGTTTGGAGGCTTGTGGAAGCATTTGGAACTGAAATGAAACTTTTATTTTACTGTGTTAATGAATGCTGGCTAGCAGGGCCTGAAAACTCAGCTTTGATTCATAAGAGGCCAACACCATTATGGTAATATCTACAGAGAAGTATTTCTGCAGGGTCACTACACAAAAAGCTATGGTCTAGTGTGAGTGTTGGGGGATAGACTGGGGGTGGGGGAAGGAAGGCTGTATCTCAGGCTGGTAGCTGGACTTGACAATGTTTAAGTCTCTCACATGGTCCTGGTTTTGAAGAGGTCATGGAGAGCACCTGAGGCATGCCCGGAGTCCTTAGAGAATTCAGGAGGCCATTGGTGAAGATGCAGCATTAGCTTTAATCAAGGTCCCAGGACTAATGGGGTCTTGAAGAAAAGCTGAAGTTTGATAGCATGTGGCTGGGTCTAAGTCCCTGGTGAAAGTATAGCTTCAGCTGCAGTGGTGACCTTAAGATCCTGGAGATAAGGATTGTAAGATGACCATCAAGGACAGTGGCAGGTGCAAATGGAGCTTGTCTGAGCCTACAAGACAATGTGAGTGTGAGTCAATTTAGACGGCAGGGCTGGAGAGGAGGGATGCCCGAGTCCTTTGGTATCCAGTGAGACTCAGGGGTCAGATACTGAGCTACAAGACTTGAAATGCACTTCTAGGTTTGGTTTTGCTACAGGTGTGATTGGTTTACACCTAGGTTCTCTTTCCCTCTTAGAATAAAAAAGGATGTAACTTCCTTTTTTTCCTATAGAAACTCTTACAGTTAGGAGACTTTGGATTTTGTTTTGTTTCAAGATGGAGTTTCTATGTATAGCCCAGGCTGTCCTGGAATTCAGAGATTTGTTTGCCTCTGCCTTCTGAGTGTTGGGATTAAGGGCATGCACCATCAATTCATGGCTGAGACTTTGGAATTTTAAAGAAGACACTAGACTTTAAAAAAAACATTTCTTTTATTTTATGTGCATGTACCACTGACATGAAAGCTTGACACTTGCAGAGGCCAGAAAAGAACATTGAAGCACCTGGAACTAGAGTGAGAAAATCGTGAGGTGCCACACAGGTGCTAAGAATTGAACTCAGGACCTCTGGAAGAGTAGCCAGTGCTCTGAACCACTGAGCCATCTCTCCAGCCCTGACACGGGACTTTTAAAATGTTGCCATGTTTCGAAGACTGAGACTTCTAATGTGTGTGTCAGGTTGGTAAGGGTGAATTGTGCTGGTATTTTGCTAATTTGACATAAACCTTGGCAGCAGGGAAGGAATCTCAAATGAGAAATTGCCTGTATCAGACTGGCCTGTAGACATGACTATAGGGCATTTTCTTGGTTGCTGATATGTGAAGTAGGGTCTAGCTCACTGAGGATGGTGCCATCTGTGGACAGGTGAGCCTGGGCTGTAGAAGGAAGGCAGCTGAGAAAGCCCAGGGATGCAAGCCAGGAAGCAGAGCCCTGTGGTCTTGCTTCAGTCTTCTGCCTGAGTTCCTGCCTTTGTTTCCCAAACTGATGAACTGTAACTTGCTATACAAAATAAACGCTTTCTTCACAAAGTTGCTTGTGGTTATAGTGTTTGAACACAGCACACAGTGTGTGTGTGTGTGTGTGTGTGTGTGTGTGTGTGTCTGTGTGTAAAAACACTTCCCACACGTGCCTGACAATGTAAGTTTTATCCTTGGAACCCACTCCTAAAAGTTATGCTCTGACCTCCCACATGCACTGCAGTACACATGTGCTCACACTCATATAGGAAATAATAGATTAAACAACAACAGGGGCTGGGGAGAGGGCTCAGAGGTTAAGAGCACTGGCTTTTCTTCCAAAGGTCCTGACTTCAATTCTCAGCACCCACTTGGTGGCTCACAACCATCTATAGTAAGATTTGGTGCCCTCTTCTGGTGTGTAGGCAGAACACTGTATAAATAATAAATAAATCTTAGGAAAACAACCCCACAACAACAACAAAAAGGAAGTAAGATCTACGCTATGCAAATGCTCTACCACTGCGCTATATTACAACCTGAAAATTATGGGTTTGCTTTGTCTTTTAGACAGGGTCTCTCTATATAGTCCCAGCTGTCCTGGAACTCACTATGAAGACCAGGCTGGCCTAGAATTCACAGATATCACCTACTTCTGCTTCCCAGGTGCTAGGATTAAAGGTACACGTCACCACCTTGGCTACAAATTATGTATTAACACAAACATACATATTCTTCATTGTGCAAGTGCTTAAAATGAGAATACTTACTGTAGCTGTAGCATCCATTTATGAAACATTTTCTCATGCTGTTGATTTAACTGTTCAATTTCAGCAGAAAAGGAAGGTGAGAATTTGCTCAGTAAGTTACGAAGAGTTTTCTATTAAGAGAGAGGATGTTCTTAGTAGAGACAGTGACTTAAATCAGGTATGAAAATAATTACACCAACTGAATATAAAAAATACAGCAAACACGACTTAAATATTCACTTAATTAAAAGCTATTTTAAAAGACTTGATTATACCTATGTATGTGAGTGTGTTGTGCATAACTGGAACGGGGCGGTCAGCAGAGGTCAGAAGGTGCCCGGGACCTGAATTTATAATGGCTGTGAGCCACCATGTCTTCAGCTCCTCTTAATGTTCTTTTTATTTCAAGTACAAAAGAACAATACAAAAATTTGCTAAGTTTGCCTAGATCCATTTAAATGATTACAGCAAACTCCAAATATAAAGCTTTAATTTCTAAAAATAAAGTTACTGTAAGATGGTTGAATCTGCTTCTCAGTTTTCCTAACAAATTCAGACAGACAAAAACAAAAACAAACAAACAAACAAAAACCCAGTACTACTCCCCAAACCGGTGGGCCCAGGCCATGCAGCTCAGACTAGAGTGCTTGCCTCGCAAGCTTGAGGTTAGCTCTCAGCACAACACTGGTAACAACATAATAATTCCAAACCTGCAGATTTGAAAAACTGCAAAAAGCTAACAACTCACTATTGATTTCTGGAAAACATTAAGGTTTCTTTATAATTTACCATCAAAAATAAACTTGTATTTGATCCTTTTCAAAAGCTATTTTTAATAAATGTTGTCTCTCTGGTGCTGTGGTGTGGCTATAAAAGGCTCCTGTGTGGAGGCTTGGTCCCCTGGTACTGAGTGAAAATTCCCCAAACGGGAGCTGGCAAGCATGGGAGAAGGATTCCTTCTGGAGTCCAGCTCAGGAAGAAGGTCAGCCGGGTACTTTCTCTGTCTCTCTGAACTAGCAGGTTTTCACCCCAGCATCTGGGTTCTGACTCTTTATTGGTAAAATCAAATGACTGAGATTTTGTTAAAAACAAATAAAAAAAGTAAAATTATGTCAAATAGAATTCTAGTCACTGAATGATTTACACTTAATGTAACAAGTACTTAATGACCCCAACACATTAATTTGTGTTTTACTTTATCAGGAAATAATTCTGTTCCTGCTCAGGACTTCTCCAAATGTGCTGCTAATGTATTTTTAGGTCACAATAAGCAAAATGTTGATAACACCCTCATGGCATACCTGGTCCAGTTTAGTCCTCTTCAGCTTCTGCAGTGTTCTATCAGACGTTAAGACTTTTGAACTACTATGAGCTTCAAAATATTCTTCTACCAAGTCACTCTGAAATGAAAAAAGTAAAGTCACGTCTAAGTAATTTCAGATATTTGTGCTACATAAAGTCTAGATAATAATATTAGTTAAAATTGGGCTCAAGAAATCCTCCTGCCTCAGTTTTGCAAACAGCTGGGAAATGCAGTTGTGTGTTAACATGCCTAACTAAAATACCTTATGACAGTATTTTTTTTTTAAAGTAGTATACAGGTCAAGGATCAAAGATATTTAATTCCACTAATAAATTCAAGTAACTCTCATGAAAAAATAACTTAAAGATTAGACTAATTAACAGGGTGTGATAGCAGAAGCTTTTAATCCCAGCACTTTGGAGGCAGAGAGGCAGGAGGATCTCTGAGTTCTAGGCCAGCCTGGTTTACAAAGTAAGTAAGTAAGTCCCGGACAGCCAAGGTTACACACAGAAATCGGAGGGGTGGGGGGTGTCACATATTCAGTAAAGTGGATAATTACATACTCTGACTTAAGGTAGCATTAACCTCTCTCCGGCAGCAAGTTAAACAGTATGGTACCTACACTGCTCTGAACCTTTAAGAAGAACAGCAGGACAAGGTGCACTTTGTGAAAACAGTGTGAAGTTGAGAGTGGTGGAGCATGGATTGGGAGACTGAGGCAGGAAGACTGTTCTTCCACAGGGCAGCTTGTGGCCACATAACTCTTGCAGATAATTCACCACAGAGCAGCACTCAGACACCCATCACCAAGTGTAATGACTACACAAACAAAACCATCTGAAAGGGAAGCCCTGAAGCTCATCACCAGTGATCTGATCAAGTTCAAGTTCTCACACAACTGAGCTAGGATACTACTTTCAGTGCCTTTCCCAGAACTGAATATGCACCCAGAACTGAAAAGAATGTTCAAGGACAGAAACCAGCACGTGTGGGAACTCAGGTGTAACGCGAGGAAAACGATGGCTGACCCCTGCTGACGTGCTGGTCTCAGGCGACCCACCAGAAGGGAGCACACACGGTCCTCCTGCAGCACCACGTCCCCCTCTTCACTTACTGCCTTGCCTCTTTTCCTTCTCTTAGCTGGTGTCCCTCTGGAATCAGGAACTGGAAGGAGTCTATTCTGAACTTGACCCTTCTGAGAGGACCCCACCACTTCAGTGTCTTCTTCATCTATCGCAATCACTTCATCATCCTCCGAGTTGGAAGCCGAATATTCACTTTCACTGTCACAATGAGACTTCGGTGCTGTAGAAAGATATAAGCAATTGGGAAAATTTGATAGGCTGAAAGAAAAGCTACTTGGGGAGAATCAAGAATGCAGGCTTTGAAGTAAGACATTTTAATTATAACTTTGTCAGACTTGCTCATGATTTCACATCTAATTACATACATTCTCTAAGCACTGTTTTTTTAGTTATCAGATGAGGGTGTGCACATCTAACTAACCTGTTGGAAAATTATATTGGAATGAGTCACTTGTACGTAGGGAACACTCCTGTGTGTATGTGTGGGGCAGCATATATTTGTGTATGTGCCCTTCCATGCATGGAGGCCCAAGGTGGATTTAGGTGTCTTGATCATTTCCCACAGTATGTATTGGGGCAGGGCCGCCTACTGAGCCTAGAGATTGCCAGCTTGCTCAGTGGACCCTGTCTCAGCAACCATACATGCTGGGTAAAGAGGTGACTTTTATGTGGTCTATGGATTAGAATTGCTATTCTCACCCTTGTAAAGTAAGTGCTTTACCTGGTAAGCCATCTCTCTGTCCCCTGAAATGTATCTAAAGCAACCAGTAAGGTCAATTATACTTAATGTTATTCTCTGCCTTTTTCTTTGCTAATAGAGCTTTTTTTTTTTTTTTTTTTTTTTGGGGGGGGGGTCAGTGTTGTAATGTGCCTCACTATGCAATAGAAAAATTGTGATAACCACCTTTTCCTTCTGCCAAATACTTGCTTTCCTTCAGACCGTTGCAACTAAGTTGGTTATGTAACACTCTAACCACCGAGACTTGGAAAGTTTATTGAAAGTTGGATTTTCTTCCCATAGGAAAGGAAATCTCCTGATTATGCAACAGACACTATTCTGAATAATAAATCTTAAAGGTGATCCAGCTATACCACTCCTAGGCATATATCCAAAAGAGGCTCAAGTACACAACAAGGACATTTGCTCAACCATGTTTGTAGCAGCTTTATTTCTAATAGCCAGAACCTGGAAATAACTCAGATGTCCCTCAGTTGTGGTACAGAAATTGTGGTACTTTTACACAATGGAATACTACTCAGCAATTAAAAACAAGGAAATCATGAAATTTGCAGGCAAATGGTGGGACCTAGAAATGATCATCCTGAGTGAGGTATCCCAAAAACAGAAAGACACACATGGTATATACTCACTTATATAGACCTATAAGATAGGATAAATATACTGAAATCTATACACCTAAAGAAGACAAACAAGAAAGAGGACCCAGGGTAAGATGATCAATCCTCACTTAGAAAGACAAATGAGACTGACATTGGAGGTAGGAGAAAACAGGTAACAGGACAGGAGCCTACCACAGAGGGCCTCTGAAAGTCTCTACCTAGCAGTGTATCAAAGCAGATGCTGAGACTCACAACCAAACCTTCAGCAGAGTGCAGGGAATCATATGAAAGAAGGGGGAGTTCATATGACCTGGAGACTACAGGAGCTCCACAAGGACCTAATATGTCTGAGAACAGGGGTCTTTTATGAGACTGTATCGCCAACCAATTGTCATGTATGGATATAATCAGAACCCTTGCTCGGATGTAGTGCATGGTAGCTCAGTATCCAAGGGGGTAACCTAGTAAGGGGACCAAGGACTATTTCTAACATGAACTCAATGGCTGGCTCTTTGACCCCTCCTCCCTCGAGAGAGAAGCAGCCTTGCTAGGCTACAGGACATTGCAGCCAGTCCTGAAGAGACCTGATAAGCTAGGGTCAGACGGAAGGGGAAGAGGTCCTCCCCTATCAGTGGACTTGGAAAGGGGCATGGAGGAGATGAGGGAAGGAGGGTGGGGTTGGGAGGGAATGAAGGAGGGGGCTACGGCTGGGATACAAAGTAAATAACCTGTGATTAATATAAAAATATGTATACATATATAAAAAAGAAAAAAAATGTCTGTAACACACACTGCTCCACCCCAGCTGATTAACAAATCTACCCACTAACACTCCCACCACTCTCCCAGAAACAAGAGTTTATCTTATATTTCTCAAAGATATCAATAGTTTTATAGTCAAGAAAATGAATATAGGACTCCCAAAATGTTGGTGAAATAACTAACCAAATCAGTATGTTTACTCTGCGACACTAAGATTCCCTAAGATTGTGCAGAGCTGGCATACAACACATACGCACATTAAGAAGGAAACAACGAAAAGAGCTCACTATGCAGGTACAGACAAGTCCTGCAGCCTAGGAACATGAGCATGCTTTCTCATGGGAAGTGGTAGGAGTGACAGTAGGAACTGATTAAGCTTGTAACCAAAGTGAAATCCTACTCTGAGCATGTCTGATGTCCCTTATTTTAGCCAGTCCTCAAAACAATTCTAAGGCTGGTTACACCTAGTCTATAAATGAACTAACGACAGAGAAGAACCAGTACGTGGCCTTCAGAGTACTGAAAAGCCAAGCAGTTGATATTCAGAACTGTACACTAGTGGCTCTGATTTAGTTGTTATTAGGCATGCCTGTAATCTCAACATTTGGAACAGATGAGGAGGGGCTCAAGGCCAGCCTATTCTATACAGTGAATCTTAAGCTAGCCTGGGCTACATAAGATCTTATCTCAAAAACAAAGCAAACAAACAACAGAACTTCACATAACAAGAAATCATACCTAAATACATACCTAGTCTTTTTCTTAGATTTTGAGGTTGTGTTGACAGAAGTTCATTTTTCTTACAATTCTGTTTAAAAATTTAAAAAGCACAGTAATATGAATAATAAGGGAATAATGTATAGTCAATCCCAGAAGTAAAAAAACAAAACCAAAACTTTTAAAAAAGAAAACCACATTGTTCTCAATACACACTAGAACTAGATGAGTCAGTGGTTCTTAACACTACAAGACAGTAACAAATGAATTTGCTGAAATGAAAGAAGAAATATAGATGTTTCAGGGCTGCACAAGCCACCCCTGGCAAGCAGCCGGGGGACTGGAGACTGGAGTGGCTGGTTCTGGAGGGCTTAATGCCTGCTCTCTCTGGCCAGAGCCACTAAGCCTGCCTGCTGTCTGTCTAAAATAGTCTCCCGGCCTCCCAGGCCCTGTAGAGCCCTAAGGTCTACCCTTTTGTCTGTTTTTGCTTCTGCTTCACCATGCCATGGGATCCCTTGTTTTTACATTCACTTTCAAGTTGCTAAGACATGAAAAAGCAGAACAAACAGACAAACAAAAACCAACAACAACAACAACAACAAAAAACAATTAAATAAATGCTCATATGATCTCTTTCTGTGGTGGTGTAAATAATAATGGCCCCCTTAGGCTCACATATTTGAATGCTTAGTCACCGACGAATGGAACTGTTTGACAGGATTAGGAGGTGTGGCCTTACTAGAGAAGTCGGCTTTGAGATTTCAAAAGCCCATGAGGAGCCCAGGCTCCCTCTCTCTGCTTGAGATCAGGACATAGCTCTCAGCTACTTCTCCAGGCGATCCTCAGTTAGTGGTGTTGTTTAGGTAGGTTTAGGAGGTGTGGCCTTACTGGAGGAAGTATGCCACGCTAATAAAACTCCGAGAGTTAAAGACTCAAGTTATTTCCATTTTGTTCTCTGCTTCAATCTTGTGGTTCGAGATGTGAGCCCTCTCCCTGCTTCTGCTACAGCGGCCAAGCCTGCCACCTGATGCCTCTCCTCCAGCCTCATGGACTCTAGCCCCCTGGAACCATGAGCCCAAATATAGGCTTCTGTAAAGTTCCTTGGTCATGCTGTTCTATCACAGCAACAGCAAAGAAATTAATACCCCAACAGGTTACAAATTTGAAGAAAAGGATCAAAAGAAATGTTTAAGGAAAATATTAAAGGTTCAAACCACAAGTGAGCCAAAACCCTTACCTCATATAACCATTAAAAACAGACTTGTAGCCATGGATACCTTAATCCAGCACTCAGCAGGCTGAGGTTGGCAGATCTCTTAAATTCAAGGCCAGTTATGTCTATATAGGGAACTTCAGGAGAACCAAGGCTACATAGTGAGACCCTCTCTAAACAAATCAAACCAAACCACCCAAACCAAAATAACATGAAAAGAGAAAGGGCTGCCTCTGAGTTCTAGGCCAGGCTGTCCTGCAGAGTGAGTTCCAGGACAGCCAGGGCTACACAAATAAACCCCAGCTCAAGAAAACAAAAACAAAACATTAAACAAACAAATCTGGGGAGAGGGGGGATTGGCTGACTTCCCTCATCAAGGTCACAGGTGATGGGAAGACTGAATCAACAATAGTGAGAGAATACAAAATCCTCATCTTCCCTCACGATCACAATGAAGAAAGACCATCATGCCAGTTTTTGAGGCTCATCTCATGATTCTTCTGAAAGACCCCAGCCTCACCCTAAGTTAAACATAGCTAACGCCATTTTGTGAGACACCACTGTTTTGTAAAACTCTGAAGGCCAGATGAGAAACTGGAAAATTACTGAGAAACCTAGCTGTGTCACCCACTTGGGATATCTGTGGTCAGGCTGCCCCTGTTGAGTTAAAAACAACTTGTTGTGACTACCCTCATGGGATATCTGTCAGAGGTTGTTCCAGCTGAGATAGGGAAAAACAAAATAACAGGTGGCCACGGTAAGGGGTGGTCAATCTTGGTGTCCCTGCCAAATTTTGACGCAAACCGTGGTCTCATGTAAACGTACCAATCAGCCCCCTGTAACCATGCTTCTCGCTTCTGTACCCACGGTTCTGCTCTAAAACCCTATAAAAACCCCAGCTTCCCATCTAGGGGGGCGCGCAAAGTTCTCTGAGTGACTTTCCGCCCCGAGTACTCGTGTATCAAAATACAAGCCTCTTGCTGTTTGCATCCGAATGGCCTTGTTGTTCCTTGGGAGGGGGTCTCTCTGACGGAAGATACCCTTTCACTTCTTGTCCTCACAGTCACTTATAAGGGAAGGGATGTTAGACAGGCAATTCTGTTGGCCTGCCCCCAGGGACCTAGCAATTGCTTACTTCATCACCTGCCACCACTGCCAGGTTTGACAGGTTTGTAGGGCCTGATAAAAGGACTCTCTGCCTGCCTTCATGGCTCTGCCCCATCTGTCTGCCTGCCTAAGTAACCACTTGTCCGCCTGTACCTCTTCTCCAGGCCCTCACACCTCTCCCTTCCCCCAATAAAATTACTTATACCAGATCTGTCATGTGGCGTAACTCCTCAGGGTGCATACCTTGGCATGGGCCCACCATGGTACACCCATGGTACATTATTATATTTCATAACAAGAAGAGGAAAGGGAAATGATCAGGAAATGTCCTGTTGGAAACCAGGCAGTAGTGGCATGGACCTTTAATCCCAGCACTGAGAGGCAAAAGCAGGTGAATCTCTGAGTTAGAGGGCCGCCTCTTCTACAGAGGGAGTTCCAGGACAGAAAATGCTACATAGAGAAAGCCTGTCTTGAAATACAAGAGACAGACAGAGATAGACAGAGAGACAGACAGAGAAAGAAAGAGTATGTCCTGGTAGAAATAAGAAAATCCAATATTTTTAACAATTCATTTTTTTTTCTGCCATCTCTTTTTGGTCCTATAGATGGAAAACTGTCCATCATTTGTTTGATTCACAGACCTTGCAGAGAAAAACCTGGTATTTTTCTACACTTGAGTGTGTCTTAAGTTTAAACTAGAAGATAAAAAGTGACCTCACCTCCTTATCTAACTCAATGAACAAGGCTCTTTTCCTTTTTGCCTCTTCCTGAGAGCTGCCAAGATTTTCAACTTGACAGTCTTTTCCTTTCCTTAAAAATGAATTACATTTATGTATTTAATATGAATGTGTATAAACACATTTGTTCCTTGCAGGATAACTCTCTTCTACCACATGGGACCTAGAGATTGAACTCAGGTCATCAGACTCGGCAATAGGTCTTTACCCACCGAACCATCTCATCAGCCCTTGATTTTTCTTCAAAAAAATTTATTTTTTATGTGTATGGGTATTTTGTCTGCATGTATGTCTATGTATCACATATATGCCTGCTGCTCTTAGAGAACAAAAGGCATCAGATACCCTCTAAAGATGGTGAGCAGCTATCTGGGTGCTGAGAATTGCACCCAGATCCTCTGGAAGGGCAGCCAGGGCTCTTAATACTGATCATCTCCAACTCTCTTGTTATTTTTCTAATAAACTCTAATAAAACCATAATTGAACTTCCCTCTGAATTCATTCAAAACTTCTTGATTTAAATTTTTAGATTCATTTTAGGTGTATTGCATGTTTTACTTGCAGGTATGTATGTGAACATTTATGTGCCTGGTGACTGCAGTTTAGAAAAAGCGGGTCAGATGCTCTGAAACGAATGGTGAGCTACCATGTGGATACTGGGAACCAAACCTGGGTACTCTGCAAAAGCAACAAATGCTCTTAACTGCTGAAGCCAGCTTTCCAGCCCCTTAAATTCTTTCACTAAAAAGACTAAGAACCAAATAGGGAGACTCCAATTTCTCTAGAAACCTATGGTGGCATCCAACAAAGTTCATTCCAAAGTCTCTGGCGATATCAGGAATTCCTTCTTCTCTATTTCATTTCTTTTATGTGTTTGTGACTCTGGGTGTATGTACGTACACAGGTGTTGCAGGTCAGTTGATCCCACTGTGAGTCCCCAAACTGTGAACTGTAAAACCCTGTTTGTTTGATTTGGTTGAGCCACAACACACACCTTTAATCCAAGAACTTTCCTGTTTATGGGTGATTATGGTGTGGTTCAGGCATCCCTAGCACACACCTTTAATCCAAGAGCTTTCTGTACACAGGATTTAGTAAGGTTAACATAGGTCAAGAGATAGATCAAGAAACCAGCTGACAGGGATTAAAAAGTAGGAGGGACTTTGAGTTGAGGAGTATTTAAGACAACATTGAGAAGAAAGTGCTTTTAGCTCAAGCTCTGGTTTTAGCTTTGGCTTCAGCTCCTCAGCTGCCTGGTTTTTTGAACTTTGAGCTAGAAAGGCTTGGGCCATGGGTTTTTTGGCCTTTTCCTCCTGGGCTGTGAGCTGAGCTAGTGAGCCTTTTGGGTTTTTTCTATCCAGATCTGAGCTGAGAAGGAAAGTCAGCTGGGTGTTTTCTCTGCCTCTCTGAGCTAGCAGGTTTTCACCCCAGCATCAGGCTCCCTAGTCCTTATTGGTAAAATACAACAGTTGGGATTTTCATTATTGTTTATAACAACACACATGTGTGCAGGAGTCTGAAGAAATCAGTATAGATTTCTGATAGAAATCTATAAGGGCATCAGATAGAGACCCTGTAACTGGATTACAAGCAATTGTGCTCCACCTTATGGGATCCGAATTTAGGTTTTCAGTAAGAACAGTTAGGTGCTCTTACCCCCTATTTCTTTCTTTCTTTCTTTTTTTTTTTTTAAGTGTAGGTACATTCTACTAAAGTTAGTTTAGGATTGAGAACTGATATCCAGGCATAGCAGTGCACACCTTTACTCCCAGCACACAGGAGGCAGAGGCAGATGAATTTCTGCGTTCAAGGTCAGCCTGGTCTACAGAGTGAGCTCCAGGACATGACGGCAAAGCAATGTTTCTAGTTTGCTGAGATAAACATTCTTTCATGAAGACAAAAAGTTTGCCCCTAAGACAAACAGCTTGTTCACCACTGCCCCCACTTAACAGAAATTTAATAAAAACCTGCCCAGATAAATTTAATCCTATCAAAAAAAATTTTTAAAAAGAACTGCCTACTGAGCACAAATATAGGACACACCCACAGGAATACAAACGAGATGTCTATATTCCTTCCTGTTACAAGTGGGGGTCATTTGCATGTTTCAGTCCTGAACAAAATATCAGTTTACAGTCTTAGTTCAGTTATAACAATAAGATACATTTCATTTCCCAAGTTTGTGGGTGATAAATATTTACATTTCTATAGTTTTCTTTTTAAAAAGACAAAGCATGCTGGAGTACACTGAATATGGAGAAAATGTTTCAAGACCATATGGTAGCATAAAACAGCTTTCTATACACAAGAACACCATCCTTGGAGACACTAGGATGATCCATCTCAGGATGATGGCCAAGTATGCTCTTCAGAATACTGTTATCTAGCACACCTCATAAGTAGTGCTCTCTAACGTCTCTCCATAACCTCTTCCACCATAGCCCCCTCTCCCACCTTGTCTTGGAAACTTCCTCTACCACCCTTCACACCCTCCCCTGCCACAGAATTCAGGTCATCAATCAACTGGGCAGAAGGGGCCTTTACCTTCTGAGCCATCTCACTGGCCCAGTAACACAACACATTGAGAAGAGCATTAGTAAAGTCAATGTCTCTGGCATGTCTAACTGTTTGCCTAAACAGGGTTGTACATTGCCCAGGCTGCAACCCTGGTCTTGGACATCTCTACTCACTTTTTATTGAATGAATCCCTTTCCCTAAACGCAGGCATGTTTAATTCTTTAGTCATTACAGGCTGGATTCTGACACAGCAAACGTCCAGTCCCCCCCACCACTGAGACTTAACCACACCTAGACACCATCACTGGACAGGGCACAGGGAAAAATCAAAACCAACAAAACACAAAGGAGACAAAAACTGTGGATTTGTTTCACCTATCTTGGAACGAATCTACCCAAAACCAATAGAGACTTCAATATAAATTATAAAATATAAAATAGTAGATTTAATGGACTAATCCTCTAAGAAGTAAGAGAACATTATATACAAATATAAAACCAAATTCGTAAAATTCCTAGGACAGGCCTACTAAGTTAAAAGTAATCAGGCTAGTTGTTAAACAGCAGAAGAACAGAGAATATAACACAGTTATATTTAGGGAAATTTGGGCTCATTTTCCAGTTTTATTCCAAGTGAGGTGAACTCAGTAAGTCAGTTGATCTTTCTGAACCTCAAATGACAGGCATATAACAAATGCCCATAAACTATCATGTTCAGTTTCAACTAAGAGATGAAAAGCTAGCGCTCATCATGTCTTGCTTGCTTTGGCAATTGCTTACCTCCAGCTGAACTTTCTCTGAAGTAGAATAACCTAAATGGAACAAAAAGTCACACTTACTACAAGTATTTCATTTTAGATCATGACCCAATTTTGTTGAAAGCAAAGTTGCACTTTTTACACAGAGGCCACTATATTTTACTGAATTCTCATAAATACAGGCTAAAGGATCACTAAGAATTTTATAGGTATTCCTCCAATGACAGCATTTTGTAGCATCCTAGTAAGGAAACAAAAACCTGAGGCTTTTATCAGAAAGTACACTGTTTCTCTTAGTTGGAATGGGGCATTGAAAAATAGATGCTCTGCAATTTGCAACAAGCCATTCAGTTTCCAAACTTTTCATGAGAAATTGACTCAGACAAATGATTATGGGGCTTGATGATTGATTTTAGGTGCCCCTGTCAATTCTCACAATGTAAGATGGCACAGACACTTTCCAGCCTTTACTGACTGACAAGTATAGATACATAAATGTAGGTAGGATTTTTAAACTGCAGTCTGTTGAATAAATTTTCAAAAGAAAATATATGATAAATTTAGCTCAAAAAACAAAATAAAACAAAAAAATAAACAACAAAACAAACCCAAAAATGCAGCACTGATCACCTTCAGATGTGTCTTACCCTTCCTTTTTTGAGCAACATTTTTCGTCATTTCAGGATCATTCTTTGAGTCAAGCGGAACAATTTTTCTTGGCGCTTTGGCTAGTTCTAAAGCTGTAATCAGAAAAAAAGTACCTTTGTTGAATAGCAGATTTAGAGGAAAGTCGCTTTCACTTATTTGAACTTCTTAAAACAAAAACCTGCATTACTTTTATCAGAAAGATAAATAAACCTACCTGTATTAAGAGTATTGCTTTTAAAAAAGCCTTTAAAGCTGTCTTCCAAGTATCTTTAAGAACACTACATATACTTGTGTGTGTGCACATCACAGTGCGTATATGGAAGTCAGAGAAGTCAGTTTCTCTTACCACAGTGCAGATGACCTTCAGCTTGTGATGTTTCATGGCAAATGCCTTACCTGCTGAGACTTCTAGGCTCTTCCTAGCATCTACATTTCCCAGTCATGCACAAATGATTACTCACACCTCTAACAGCAGCTTATACTCGGGCCACTTCTTTTTCCCTTTGATACATTTATTGTTTGCTCCTTGTTTCTTTTGTTTGTTTGTTTGAGACAGGGTCTCACGATGTAGCTCTGGCTGTCCTGGAACTCACAGAAATCTACCTGCCTGTTTCCCAAGTGCTGGAATTACAGAAGTGCGCTATGCCTGGCTCTCCTTCTGTTTCTTATCATATATATTACAGCCACAAGCTTCTTAGATGATATAAGGGTAAGAAGTTGGGAATCTAAAAACTACATGCAGTTAAAGTTATGTTTAAAAATTCTTAAATTCCCTGTTAAGTGTGGTGTTCTTGTGTTTAAAACTGTACATTATGAATGATGCATAAAATACAATATGGTATTGAACAGATGGCATTTAGGTGATATTTTAAACAAAACATCTAATCTTTATGTTCTCACACGGTGATAAGCATGCGGAAAATGAGCCCACACGTGGGAATAGATACGCATTCCCTAAACTTAAGACTCACGTAATGGTGCATACTAATCACATTATCCTCCTTTACTCTTTTAAAGGTTGGCCTTCACCGTTTCTAATTATGCTTCTAATTATGCACGTGTTGAGTGCAGTGCCCACAGTGTGGGGCAGCAGACACCCAGCAGCTGGAGTTACAGGTGGTTGTGAGCTGCCTGATGAGCATGCTAAGAACCAACCCTGGGTCCTCGGCAAAGGCAGTGCCTACATTTAACTACTGAGCCGTTTCTGTGGCCTACTTTAATTCTTTTAATGGAGAAACGGTAACTGTATTTAAACTTAAGCCCTTTTACTGGGCCATATGTGCTAGCAACTCTGTTACCATTTTATCTTCTGATCTTGAAATTTAGCTGAGACACTCACAAGCCTCACAAGTACTTCTTTTTCTTTTATTTTTGTTTTTGTTTTTTGAGACAGGGTTTCCCTGTGCAGCCTTGGCTGTCTTGGACTCACTTTGTAGACCAGGCTGGCCTCAGACTCACAGAGATCCGCCTGCTCTCACCTTCACTCTGGCTCTATCACACCTATTTGTACTTCAGGAATGTCCAGTTCAAACTACAACAGGCACTTTCTCAGTAACAAGTCTGCTCAGGTAACATCTTTCCCTAAAAGCATCCAATACCTGTGCCTACAACATAGTTCAGTGTGTAAAAGCACTTGCTACCAAGCCTGATGACTTGAGTTGATTTGTAGGACCTACGCTGCAGGAAAGAACCAATTCCAGAAGGTGGTTCTCTGACCTACACACACATGCCATAGTACTCATGTGCCCATACATGTTCAGCCATAAACACAAATAAATGAATCTGTTAAAAAGAAAAAAAACATCCAAAGACTTCAACTTATCCAAAGATGAAGTCTATACAGCCTTGCCTGGCATATAGGCCTTTCTACTTTGAGCAACCACTGTAGCTTACACACAACACTATGAAGGCTTAGGAATGAGTATAAGCTTTGAAAGCTAAACCTGGCTCTGCAATGTATCTGTAACTAATACACATTATAGGCTCCTTTAGATTGACAGGCAAACAGATGTCTATATTAAATGTGGCACCAATCCTGGCATATAGTACTTGGTCAAAATAACTTCTATGGTTAGTATAAAAATTACTTTCTTTCTGGAAATTTCTATACTGGAATTACAGGTATATGACATCATTCTTTAAGGAAATGTCTCATTCTCTAAATTCTAAGAACAACTTATGTCATCATAATTTTAGGGGATATAGTAAGATGATAACCATGAGAATGTGGTATTCGTCTACAACAAATATACAAAACAGAAAAGTAACATACCTAACTTAGTCATCTCTTCAGGGTGTTTTCTATGTTGAAAAGAATAAACTTTCTTCCCACTATCTATAGCCGAGCCATTTTTCAAGGATTCTGAAAAAGAAAATATAACATGCATTAAAGAAAAAGCAAGATTAAGGAAAAAGATAAAACTTTAAATGTAAAAGCTATACCCCTCACTACTTTTCATAAAAGTTTAGTTGAAGAGATGGGTCACTGGTTAAGAATGCTGGGTGGCAGTGGTACACGCCTTTAATCCTAGCTCTTGGGAGGCAGAGGCAGGCAGATCTCAGTGAATTCCAGCCCAGCCTAGTCTACAAAGGGAGTCCAGGATAGCCAAGGGTACACAGAGAAACTCTGTCTTGAAAACAAAGCAAAACAAAAAACAAAGAAAAAAGAATGTTTTCTCCTCTCCGAGAAGATCTGAATTCAGTTCCCAGCACATACGTTAGGTAGCCCCCAGCAGATCCAATGCCCTCTGCAGGCCATGGACACACACATAGAAATAAAATAAAATTTTATAGAAACTTCATAAATAAAAGGTGTTCCTTTTCCTAGAAGTGGAACTAACTTGGGCTTGTTGAAAAAATTTCCCTTGGTTGTGTCACATTGCAGGTCAGGAAGCTTGAGAGCAATCCAGGGGACAGCTTACATGTTTTTATAACCAGCTGTTGCAAGAACTATCTTAATTCATTCAAATGGTCAGCACACCACTGTTCAATGTACTAAGAGTCACTTCAACGCTGCAGCTCTTGAGGAGCATGCCTCAGGTGACTTAACTCCCATTAGACCTTGTCAGTTCTCAGCATCACCACACTGGGAACCACACTGCTAACGCATAAACTTGGGAACAAAGCACAGCAGATGTTCTTGGTGAACTGGCTTTTTCTTTTGACTCTTCCTAAAGATTCTGTGTTAGAGCCGGATGTGACGTTATATGTCTGCAAATCTAGCACTTGGGAGGATGAAACGGAATGATCAGTAATTCAAAAATATCCTAAGCTACATGAAACCAAGTTTCAAAATGCCAGTGGAGGAAAAGATCCTTTATTAAATGTCCCTCTGTGTTTTAAAACATAGGCCAGTGAGATGGTTCAGTGGACAAAGGCACCGGCCCCAAAGTCTGACAACCTGACTTGATCACCGGGACTGATATATTGGAAGGGGAGGATCAACTCTACCAAGTTGCTCTGACCTCATATTTAATAAACACACACATGAAATATAACTTGAAAAATTGTTTTTTTCTTTAAACCAAAAAAATCCAAACACAAAACACTAGATTGTTTTCTGATTATGACAAAAGAGGGCTGAAGAAAGAGTTCCCCAGTTAAGAATGCTTTCTAAAGTCCGATGATGGTGGTGCACGCCTGCAATTCAGCGGTAGGGGAGGCAGAGGCAGGTGGATCTCTGTGAATTTGAGGACTACAAAGGGAGTCCAGGATAGCTAGGATTTTGTTACATAGAGAAAGCTTGTTTCGAAAAACCAAACTGAACCAAACTAAAAAAACATGAAGACTGTTCAATTCCCGGCAACCACATGGTGGCTCACAACCATCTATAATATGAACTGATTCCCTCTTCTGGCAGGTGTAAATGCAGATAGAACACTCATATACATTGAAAGGATGAGACTAACTCTGTAACCTATATGTCTTCTAAAGCCTATAGTTTTGAGTTTTAGGTCCAGGTTAAGCTAAAGCCTTGTAGTACCTTTCCAGAGAACAGAGGAATGTGACCCTGGCCATCTGTGAGGACAGATATAAAAAAATCAAGCAAGTAATGACCTTCACTCAGCAAAAAGAATGACCAGACCCTTGTCTTTGAGATAGTGTTTCTTAGCAACCAACCCAGATGGCCTCAATCCTTATTCTGAGTAGCCCCTGACCTCCAGCCAAAAGCCCGCAGCCCCAATCTTCAAGGATGAGCTAACCACCCCCACCTTTAATTGCAGCCGCATCCACACTTGGCAGGACTGGCCAAGCTTGAGCACCTAAGACTAACCAATTATCTTACTTTATAGCTTCCTCATCCAATCCTGAATTGCCAAGACTGCAACCCCATGCCTTGTCCTTTAAAAACCCAAGGCCTTTGTCTCCCAGTGCCACTCCTTGTGACCAGCAGGGGTGACCCCATCATTCGATGGTTAAAATAAACCTCTTGCATCTGCATTGATAGATGGTGGTCTCCAGGAGTTTTCTTCAGTCATCTCCCAGGTAACTAGGCACCTGCCGGGCCTGACAGGCTCAGGCCAGGGCTAACATATATAAAATGAATAAATTAAACAAACAAACAAACATGAAGACTGGAATTCAGATCTGAGCAACCTGTAAGAACCTAGGTGTCAGCCAGCCTACACTGGCACACGCCTTTAGTCCCAGCGCCCAGGAGGCAGAAGCAGGAGGATCTTGAGTTTGAGGCCAGCCTGATCTACAAGTGAGTTTCAGGCCAGCCTGATCTACAAGTGAGTTTCAGGGCTGCGAGGGCTACATGCAAAAACCCTCAAAATCACGAAAAAGAAGCAGGCAGGTATCACGTGCACCTGTGTATGAGCACACACCCGAGTACACACACTTACAGATTTACACATAAACAACAAAACAAAGATAATAAAAAAATTCTCAAATCAGCTTAAAAACAAACAAACAAACAAACAAACAAAAAATGACCAATGGGGTTGGAGAGATGGCTCGAGGCTAAGCGCACTCACTGGCTGCTCTTCCAGAGGTCCTGAGTTTAATTCCCAGCAACCACATGGTGGCTCACAACCATCTATAATGAGATCTAGTGCCCTCTTCTGGTCTGCAGGCACACATATAGGCAGAACACTGTGTACATAATAAATAAAAATCTTAAAACAAAACAAAACAAAACAAAAAGACCAAGATAAATGTAAAAAATGCTACTTTCTACGTATCACCTGGAACATCATTCCCTACCTCTAAACATGTGTTGGCGAATGGGGGCGGGGAGCAGGAACAGAAACAGGAGGAGGAGGAGAAAAATTTATGCCGGGCATGGTTGTACAGTTCTTTAACTGCACAATTTTTGGGAGCCAGAAGCAGGTGGATCTTTCTGAATTCTGGGACAGTGGGCGTTATACAGTGAGACTCTGGCAGAAGATGGAGGGGAGAAAATTAAGAAATAAGAGGGCTGAGACCTAGATCAATGGAAAAGGACCTGTCCAGCATGTACAAGACCTTGTATCCTATCCTCCGTAGTGCAAAAAGACTGTTAAAATATTTTTAAAATTTGTTCCTACCTGTGTATGTTAGAACAATATCCTTTTAACCAATAAGTTTCCTAAAGAAATAGTGAATGTATCTAAAGACGTAGCATGAAAATATAGCAAAAAAGCCTAAAATATCCATGTGTCCAAAAATAGGGAACAGATTACTATTGTAGACATATGATGAAATAGTCTCTGTGGCCAGAAAAAGAATGTTTAATAGGGCTGGTGAGATGGTTCCTTCAGTAAAGTGCTTTCTATGCAATCACGTGGACCTGAATTCAGAACCCCAGTACCCACGTATACAGTCCGGCACTGTGCACACTGTAATCCCAGGGCTGGGAGGCAGACATAGGGGATCCCTAGGGCTTGTTGGTCAGTTGCTTTAGCCAGATAAGCATATAGCCATAACCAGTAAGCTCCTGGCTTGGTGAGAGACCCTGCCTTACAAAACAAAGTGAGGGAGGCTGGAGAGATGGCTCAGTGGTTAAGAGCACTGGCTGCTCAGAGGACCTGGGTTCAATTCTCAGCAACCACATGTCAGCTCACAACTGTCTATAAATCTAGTTCCAGGAGACATAGCACCGTCACACAGACATACATGCTGGCAAAGCGGCAAAGCACATTTAAAAAAAGTGAAGAGGGCTGCTGAGTAACTCCGTTAATAAACTGTTCGCCGGCACGCGCAAAACCCTGGCTTGGTACCAGGACTGCATACAATCAGGCATGGTGGCACCACAGCTGGAGAAAGGAGAATCGGAAGTTTAAGGTCATCTACAGCTCTGCAGTGACTTCAAAGCCAGCATGGGCTACATGACACCATGGCTCAAAAAAAAGAAAAGAAAAGAACAAAGAGTGAAAGAATAAGGTGGGCAATGACTATGGAAGATGTCCAACATCATCCTCTGACCTTTCCATACACATCCCAACATACACACATACATATATATCAATATAGCTAACAAATGAGGCTGAGAGATCAGGCAGTGGTTAGGAGGTGTACTTTTTGCACAGGACTCTAGTGGGGCTCCTTACAACATCCTGTAACTCCAGCTTCTGGAGGGAACTCATGGTTCTGCCCTCCACAGGCATTTGCACTCACATGGGTACACACATAAGCACTCAATTTAAAAAATACTAAATCCAAAAATACCAAAACACAAAGTAATGTAATTTATACTTACAAATATAATAGGCAAATAGAAGGCACACACTGAAATATTTCTACATCCTCTGAAGTGAAGTGAGCATTCTACTTTTTTATTTTTATTTTTTGTATTACAGATTAAACTTAGGGCCTCAAACACGCTACAAGTGCTCTATTACTGAACTGTACTCTCAGAACTTTTTTACTTTTTTGAGACAGGTCTCACTGCCTAAGCCCAGTCGGCCTGAATTCATTATACAATGCAGGTAGGCCTTGTGATCCTACTGATCCTCTTGGCTCAGGATCCTCAGTACCTCAGATTAAAACTCTGTGCCACCAGTCTAGCTAAGCAGGCATTAAGGGGAAGGAGATGGGGGAGTGTGGAAAACAAAACAAAACAAAACAAAAACCCAAAGCAGGGATGGAGAGATGGCTCAGAGGTTAAGAACACTCACTGTTCTTCCAAAGGTCCTGAGTTCCTAACCATCTATAGTAAGATCTAGTGTGCAGGCAGAATGTTGTATATATAATAAATAAATCTAAAAAAAAAAAAAAAAAAAAAAAAAAAAACCAAGGCAAAGCTGGATACTACAAAAGTTTGTGGCCCTTTAAAGAATGACATTACAAAACCAGATATATAGCATACATGTAATATAAAATGTTCATGGATGGGAATAACTGTGAGAAAACAAAACACCAAAAAAGGGCAAAGCTCAAAAATAAAGGAGATAATGACCAAAGAATGAGGAAGAGCCTCCTCAAGCATAGAGAAGTTAAAGATAGGGGTCATGTGTATACTGATCCTCCAGGCCAGTCAGGGCCTGTGGGGGATAGGGAGAGGGGAGTAGGGCTGGGGGAATGGAAGGAGGGGGGTGGGATTAGGGTCTTGTGGCAAAGCCTTGACCTTGGTCTCAAACATTATCAGGACACGTACCAACACCATTATATACTGGAAGTACTCTATATGGAAAACATTTTCAATTAAAATAAGAAAACAAGTTTGTGCTGTTGTCTTCTTTTTCGAGTTTGCATATAAAACAATGGACTCATGATCTCCATAAATCTCATACTTTGTTCTTGTTTTCCACCCGAATGTTGTTTTCAGTCTCTTAGATTAGCATAAGCAGTCATAAAAATTCTACACAGAATACATCCTAAAAGTGTCAGCTGCCTACTAGGAACACTGACGAGTCCCAAAATACTCACTACCCACTGAGAGGCAGCGGCTCACTGAGCTCAACTCAACTTGGACTCATTCTTGAAAACCCAGACTAGGGCTGGTGTTCCAGGTCTATAATGCCAGCTACTCAAGAGACCGTGACAGGAGGACTGCAAGTCCAAGTACTGGCTGGGCCACAGAGAATTTAGACTACGAAGACCAGAGACTAAAAACCCAAGTCATTTAACCTGAAAACACCACCATAAAAAGCAGCCATTACTTCAAAAGTGAGAGACCAGGAGCAGTCACCACGGTCAATAAGTATGAGAGAGTGACAAGCACAATGAACAAGGGAGGATAAGAGACACACACACACACAACATGAGGGAAACCAGGAGACCCATGACCCTCAGGACTTTTTCATTATTGCCTGGAGAGAGTCTTGCTGTATTGTCGAGGCTAGTCTTGAACTTAGGATCTTCCCGCCTCAGCCACTCAAAAGTTGCTCTCAGGAGCTGGCCATGGTAGCACATGCTTTAATCCTAGTACTCAGGCGGCAAAGTCAGAAGGTTCTGAGTGAACTCAAGGCCAGCCTGGTAAGTTCCAGGATAAGAGAGAGGGAGAGGGAGGAAGAGACAGAGACTCAGACAGGGAGAGAGAGAGACACAAAGACAGAGACAGAGAGAGAGACTGTCTCAAAAAACCCAAGTGAAACTAAACCAACGATTAAAAAAACAAACCAAACAAACAAAAAACTGGACATGGTGGCACATGCCCAGCACTCAGGGAGGTAAGAGGTAGGCAGATCTCTTTGAGTTTGAGGCCAACCTGGTCTACAAAATGAGTCCAGAATAGCCAAAGGCTACACAGATTAAACCCTACCTCAACAACAACAACAAAACCCCTAAACCAAAGAACATTGCTGGGAGCTGGAGAGATGGTTCAGTGGTTAAGAGTGCATACTGTTCTTGTACAAGACCTGAGTTCAGTTACCAGTACCACTTTGGGAGGCTCACAACCACCTATAACCCGAGTTGATGCCCTCTCTGGCCCCCAAGGGCACCTGCACTCATGTGTACATTTACACACACACAATTTAAAAATTAGACCTAAAAAAAATGCAGCAAAACTTAAAGGAAATGGTTTTAGACTCAATACACAACTATAGTATTCTACTTTTTAGCCTACTGAGTTATTTTTGTGCATCCTGAAAGCAGTTCATGCCACTAGCCGAAAAATGGGTGTATGTTACCCCGAATGAATACCTTGAACATTTCTTCCCAAAACTTCCACGTAGTCCTGATCCTTTAAGACTTCCTGGTCAGTTTTCTCCAATTCACATTCTGACTTCTTTATTATCTTCTGGGGATTGACCAAAAGCTGAGGTTTCTCCTTTTTTAATTTAGTTACTACAAAAATATACAAAATAGAACATAAGGGGTGTGAATTCTTTCTAAGTATTACATTAGAGCCATCCCGATGGCTCAACAGGTAAAATGTGCACCACACCAGCGTAATGGAATGCACAGTGGAAGGAGAGAAGCAATTCCAGAGCGTTGTCCAATTCCTCCACATTCATAATATGTACATGTCAGCAGACAAACTACACTAAACCCATGGACAGTACGTAAAGCTGTAGGGGAGTCAATGTCTTCTCTTTCATTGAAAGTATGAAGTCAGAGAGATAGATGGCTCAGCAGTTAAGAGCACTTGTTGCCCAGCAGAGGACCTGGCTTCAGTTCCTAGCCCCCCCATGGTGGCTAACCACTGCCTGTGATTCTAGCCCTAGGATATTCTAATGTGTTGTTCTGGTGTATGTGGGCACCAAGCACACTTGTGGTATACAGGCAGGCAAAAAACTCAAACAGCGGGGAAAAAAATACCTGTAAGTAAGTTAAATACACACATCCCTTGCAAGTATTTACTTAGGGTTAATGAGTATTATTTCCCACCATTACTAAGCGTTTCATTTTGGATAAGGCTTTATACTGACTTTCAATTAAATTTCAAAAGAAGTAAACTAAAAATTAGAGAGTTTTTATTTAGTCTTACTGGAATGAATACTGTATATCACGTTTCTAAGAATGATGTGATCCATAAGCATCTCTTTAACTGTACAATTACACATACCTCCTTCTCTATCAAAAATGTGATTAAGAACATCATCATCTCCCACAAATTGAACATCCAGCACCTTAGCTTCCTTTAATTGCAGAGTGCTCATCATGTCCAACCTAAACAGAAGAAATAAGTCAATGAGATGAAGAATTCACAACAATGGTCACGCTAATTAATAATTTGTGAAATGAACACAGATATTACTTTAACATTTTTAAAGGTAGAAACATACCATGCATTATTTCTATCAGTATGCCCTTCAATGATGGTTTGTGATTGGGACACGTAAGCCAAGCCCTTTCCTCCCCAACTTGCTTTTTGGTCAATCTTTTACCACAGCAACAGGAAACCAAACTAGGATGTGTCCTATTTTTACCTTTCCTTCTGATAAAAAGAACAAAACCAAAACCCAACAAACAAAAAAAACCTAATGACTATCTCTCACAACTTTTTGATTATAAATAGCTAAATGTTCCTAAAATTTTGTTTAATGACCAGCACAATTAAATGGCTTTTTCTTTTTCACTTACCTTGTAAGGTGCTATGCATTCTGCAGCTTGAAAATTCAGTCACCTGTAACTAGAAGTCAGTCAAGGTCAGCTAGTAAGTACAGGAAGGCAACCACGGTAACCACCCACCCCCACAGTGAAGAGTTTTAACTAACAACATGGTGTGTAGATAATTGTTCTCAGGAAGCTAAAGCTGAGGCTGGTCAGAGGAGAAAGCGAAGCACTCACTGGGAGCTTTCTTTTCTGTTGTAGTAATACAGGGTCTTGTGATATAGCCAAGGCTGGCCTTGAACTCAAAAGCCCCCTACTTATGCCTCTCAAGTAATGAAATCATATTTGCCACCAAGCCTAGCTCATTACAATTATTCTAATTCTTCAGAGCTCCAAGAGGATACACTTTGTAGGGAAAAACAATAAATATTTCACCCGTAGAGTGAGAACTGTATCTAGTAAAGCAGTCCTTTTTGGGTCATTCTATAACCAAAATGCTGCTTTCTATTCTAGAGACTGAGTATATTAGACAATACACATGATACATCTATACAATATGTATGAAGAAACTAACACTTTATATTCCGATAAAAAGGGCTTTTGTTTTGTTTTAATTTTTGCTATATGGGAGATACTTTATCAGGTACCTTTAGATATACCAGAAACTAAATAGGAGTCAAGTAAGTATTTGTGTATGTGTGCAATTACTTATAAATAAGTAAACTGTCAGTTAAATATTGAACAATTCACCAAAATTCACACAACTAGAAACCCAGTTTTGACTGACTCCTAAATTCCTGATCGCTTCATTATATAGCTTGTGCCTTGGAAAGCACTTCCTGCCCCTGAATAAAAATCTTATTCTAATTACTTATGCTGCTCTCTGAAAACTATCCACAACATGTCAGTTTAAAATAAAACACTTGGCTCTGAACTTTAGGACAATGAGAGGAGGGGGGGGGGAAACAGAGAAGAATGTGGCATAATTTTCATTAGCAAAAGCTAAGTAATTCTTGGGAATGAATTTTCAAGGGTTCTTATAAAAATATTCTAAGTAACTAAATATTATCACAGGCAATTTCCCTCTGTTAGTTTAGTGTATATGTGTGTGGATACCAGAGGACAACCTTTGGTGTCATATTCCTCAGGAGTCGTTCATCTTGCTCTTTTTAGACAGGGTCTCTCCCTAGCCTACAGTTAGTAGACTAGGCTGGTTGACCAGCATGCCCCAGGAATTCACCTATCTCTGCGTTCCTAACAGCTAGGACTGCAAGTTCTCAGGCCATCAATTTATTTTATTTTTTTAAATGTCGGTTCTAGGGACTGAACTGAAGTCCTCATGCTTCCAAGGCCCTTTAGCAACTGAGCCATCTCTCTAACACCTACCACTATTTTAATCACTCACTAGCAAGTCAGCCATTCCATGTGGTCAAGGATAGCCATGACTGCAGCTCAATAAAAAAACATTTAAACTTTTTTTTTTTTTTGCAGGTTTTTTGTGTAATTGGATTGTGATGGTCTTGGCCATGAACTTTGTTGATGGCAGCAACATTGTATTGAAATGTCAAAAGGCTGGATATGCCTGCCATAAGTAGGCTAACTCGGCCTTTTTTTGCCCCAAATGCATTTATACAACATATCCATTTTTAGGGTATCTTATGCAGTACAAACAAAATCACCTCAATTGAAATTTTCACCAAGATCTCATGAGAGAATTTTCTCTTTCTTTCCAACAAATCGTTAGAAAAACACCAGTTAACAAACACACAATAAAGTATGAACATGGGGACTGACTAGATGGCTCAGTGGATAAAAGCAAGCATCAGAATGGGAGTTGAGATGCTTGTAGTCATTTAAAAGTTAAGAAGTGCTCAGAACTAGGGTGGCGGAGAATGGGGGATCCCTGAGGTAAGCTGGCTAGCCGAGCTAGCCAAACCAACAAGGCCTCGGTTCCAGTGAGACCCCGCTTCAGTAAACAACGTTAAAAGCAATCAAGAAAGTCATCTAAAATTAACCTCTGCCCTCCCTCCACACACTACCCGCACACATGCCCCAACATCCACACGCACACGAATGCACACACCACCCGCCCACCATCAACCAACGAGATGCAGATATTCGTAGTGAGCGTCTATGGGGTTAAAACGGTCAAGTCTCCCCGTAGTCCAACTATGCGATGACGGCAACGGCGAGCGTTGGCAACCACACGCAATCCCCAGGGAGCAGACACACATTTTACAACCAAGCCCTGTCCCAAGGCGACCGTTAGAGGCACCCCCGGCGGGGGCGTCAGAAGAGAGGTTCGGCAGCCCTTCTTTCCATCCCGTGACCGCTTGGGCCACCTCTCGCCGAGCCCCCTCTCCCCCGGCAGGGCACGCTGCTCTTTTCGTTCCAGGTCCTGACCACTCTCCGTCCCAACAGAGGGCCGGGCTGGCCGGGGAGCAGGGATGGTGCAGGCAGGAGAGCTCTCGCCACGGGGCCGGCGGCCTGACGCGGGCTTCTTCCCCGGGGGTCCCTCCCCAGCGTCACCCCGGCCCGCAGGGGCGGGCGGCCAGCGAGGCCGCCGGGGCCGGGGAGGCGGCAGGGAGCGGCGGCGGCAGCGGCACCCCCGGGACTCACCTCTCCAGCCGGCGGGGAGAGCGGCCGCGAAGCCCACACGCGCCGCAGACGGCCCCGCCGACCCGCCGAAGGAAGCCTGCTTCCCGGGGAGGCTCCCCAGGCGCCAGCCGCGCCTCGGTGCCCAGCAGCGGACGGGAGGCGCGCACCGCACACCGAACCGCTCTCCCCGCCAGTGGTCGGGGCCCTAAGAGACCAGTGAAGAGCAGGGCGAGCGAGAGCGAACGCGCCGGGAGCCCGCTGACGCGGGCCGGAGAGCTGAGCCGGAAGGCCATCCCCCAAGTACTTGGGTTCCGGGGATTTCCTCTTCCGTTTCCGGGGGAAGCGACTCTACTCGGAGCTCGCCGGATCGCACCTTGCTGGGGGCCTTCCCGGTGGTACGACTGGTCGGTGTTTTGTGGCCATCTTAATGTTGTTAGTCTAGCTACCCACACACATCTTTTCTCATTTGCTGCAAAGGGATCTATCTCAAGGGTTGGAGGGAGAGAGGCATGGATGGAAAAACAGAACCATACAACTAAAGAAATAAAGAGATGAAGGGGGACAAAGAAAATGAGGGGGCAAAGGAATGAACCTGGCTGGGATACGTGACAGTATTTGTTCACTAACAGGATTGCGTTATTTGGACTCCCTTATTCCAAACAACGCACACTTAGTGCCAACAGTAGGATACAAAACTGAGGTAGACGAAAGCCACCTCAGGTGCTTCGATAAGGCAGCTGAGTACTTACAAAATTTCTAGCGGATGGCTATCAACACACAGGCTGGAAATACCGTGTCTAGGCAGCACGGTAGTGTAATTCTATAGAACATTTTTAAAGTTTCGACTTTTGTATCATTTCATTGGGCCTTGTGTAATCGGGGCTCGCAGCTTGAGGCCGGTTCACTAGCTTATCAACACAACCTTGAGGTTAGGTTTTGTTTTGTTTTTTAGCATATCAAGGCCTGTCCTGAGCTAAGTTGGTAACAGCTGCCAAGTGGCCTGTTGTGGCTTGCTTCTAGCTCTTATCAGAGCTACTTGGTGGCAAACGTGTGTCTCACATGCATGACATTATTCCAAGCCACACAAAATGGTTTCTACGTTACCCAGAATGATTCTTAAGTTATAGTCTAACACTGAAGCACAGGAGTATATAATTAAAAGACCAGAAGGAATCAGGAGGACTTTACTTGAAGAGGTCCTTAAATTGGAACCCGAAAGCCTGAATTGATTTATGTTTTCCAGAAAGAAAAGCAAAATGAAAATGAGTAAAATGTCAAGACTCGGGTCTGATATTACAAGTTGGTACTTAGGGCTTGGGTCATGTTTGTTTTGAAAGAGTATCTTGGAAGGAGTAGAACAGTGGGAAGCTGTTAGAGCAGTGGTTAATCCTCCTAGTGCTGTGACCCTTTACAATACAGTTCCTCATGTTGTGACCGCCAACCATAATTTGTTGTTGCTGCTTCATAACTGTAATATTGCTGTTATAAATAATAATGTAAATACCTGATACGGGACCGTGACCCGTGGGTTGAGAACCACTGCTCCAGAGTCTTAAGTTTGAGGCGCGGGAGGTTAAGTTAGACGTGTGAAACAGGGAGGCCCTGTTCTACTTAGCTGAGACGCTGGAGGACAGAGGTGAATCACAGTGGATCTACACTGACCATCACACTGAAGCTGGATTGGCTAGGGAAGGGAGTATGTGGGAAAGGCTTTTATTTGGCTCCCACTGGCAACCATCCATATATCCCCTCTGATTAAATTTTAAAACGTACTCTTTATGCTTCCTGCAGTACTGGGGATTGAACCCACGGCTTCATGAATGCTATGCAAGCAGTTTTTCTTTCAACTGAGTTATATTCCCAGTCATGCTATCACCACACTTTTGGAGGTTTTATTCTTGTTGCTTTTGTTTTGTTTTGTTTGAGCCAGAGTTTCTCTGTGTTATAAGGCCTGCCTGTCCTGGACTCACTTTGTAGACTAGGCTGACCAAACTTTTGAATTAAGTGCTGCTCTGAAAAAGAAAAACACAGCAGGACCAAATCTACTATTTACAACTGGAAACAATACACCAATTTATGCAATAAGCTTAGATTAAAAAAAAGTCACATTCAAGAATATTATCAATCTATGTGTTCTAAATATTGTTGGTCTTGTGAACAAGATACATTCATTTCATAATGGCACCTAAATTTGGGAAACTTTTTCTAAGACAGGGTTTCTCTGTTAACAGCCCTGGCTGTCCTGGAACTCTCTTTGTAGACCAGGCCTGCTCTGTCTCTCAAATGCTGGAATTAAAGGTGTGTATCACCACACCTGGTGGGAAACTCAGTTTTTGTCCTTGCAAATTTGAAAGATCTGCAGGTCTATGAAAAATGTATTTTTATCTCAGAGATAAAATAATCTCTGAGACTCCAAAACAACACAATTATCAATGCTTTGGCACAAGAACTGGAGGGAAAGACCTTGTTACTGAAAGTACTGGATACTTTGTTTGCAGTACATAAAGAAAAATCTGGAACTGAGTAGGAAGTTTCTTCTCTGGCCCTTAGCTTCCACAGGCCTAGAAGGTGCTCTGCAGGTTGCTGGGGCGAACTGTCACCAACAGTCTTGGTTAGCGCTGGACCTTAGCATGCTACACTTCTGACCTGGCACTTAAATGTGGCTACTGGCACAACGAAGGCATGACTGGTATGGAGGTAACCAACCACTTTCTGACGGAATCTGATGCCAGTTCCATGGGAGGTACCTCATATCCTAACAGTGAACCTGGTAAAAAGCTTATGGCTGACAAGGTTACAGGACTTTGTTGGGGGGAAGATCTTGCTACTCTGTTAAATGGATATGATCAAATTGCCTTCAAAATACCTGGTTATGCTCAAAGCTGTTGTAAGCTTTGGTCAGAGAAGCTTCTCTTTGCAGTGGGCAGTAGTTATTACAAAGACTTATAACTGGTCAAACTGCTAAGTATAAATGACTGTCATCATCGTAGCACCTTCCAGGCCTCTGAAACCTAGACAGCAGAGAGGAAGCTTCCAACTAACTTCCAGTTTTATTTCTCTATGTCCTGCAACCACAGTATATGCTATTTTCAGCAACAGGGTCTTTCTCTCTAGTTCTTGTATTAAAGCATTGACAATTGCCCATGTTGTTTTGGGGGCCTCTGAGATTTAAAAAGAAAACATATTTTTCAAAGACCAGCAGCTTGACATGAAGCTAGATATTCCCCTCCAAAGCTCAGAAGAGGTGCCAGAAAATAACAGTTGGAGGAGAGTGAAGTCTGTGGAATGCTTCCTTCATGGCATGGCATGGCCACTGTACTTTTGAACTCAACAGCTGTGATCATCTATACATAACCTGCATAATACAAGACTGGGCTATTCAACACTGTAATGAAGGGGTGAGGGACTCGTCAGGCTCCTCCCCTCACTAGTCATCTGTCTATAGATAGTTACTGGTTACAAGGAAGAAGTTCATAGGTCCCCAACCTTCCCTCAGCATCTTTACAGGCAGGTAACAGTTGCTGAGGGGTCATAAATAAGCATGAGGACCCAGAACTCACAGAAAAATGCCCAAGGATGGCTTTATTCTTTGTAGCCCAGGCTGGCCTCAAACTCAAAAATCGCCATGATATTTCCACAGATGTGTTGCCAGTGTTGTAGAGGCAAAGACAAAAGGATCCCTGAGACTTCTTGGCCACTTAGTCTTGAGCTCCAGGTCATTAATACTGTCTCAGGCTGTCATTCTTGAAGATGGCACCCCAAGTTTTGTTCTGGCCTCTGCACACAATGTGAACCTTGGCCCCCACAGATGTATTTAAAAAAAAAAAAAAAAGGAAGCACAGTCAGCAGGAGTAGGGTACAGGAGAGAGGCAAGTTAAATTCTGAGGCTTCCCATTAATAAAGCTGACTCCTCTATGAACAAGAAACTTAATTTGTTTAATCTTAAAGCTCTGCTCCTCTATTTGGCTGCTTTAGTATTAAATTTGTGTCCCTACAATTAGCACATGGAAAAGTATAGTTCTATATACTTTATGACTTAACTTCACTTCTGCATTTACAATTAAAAACTTACACTTATTCATTGTATATGTGTGTGGAGGTTATAGGAAAACATCTGGAGTTGTTTCTCCTTCCAACCATGCAGGTCCCAGTGGCTACACTCAGTTCATCAAGCTGGGAGGCAAACATCTTAATAAGATAATGCCTCTTGTTGGCCCTAATCTTGTTCAGAAACAAAGTTTTCTCACTCTGCAGCCCAGGATAACCTCACAGCAGTGCTCCTGCCTTCGCCTCTGACTGCTGGGGGTTACAGGTGAGCACCGCCACACCAGAATCTTTTGTGTTACTTCCTGTTGTCATATAATTTTAATGTCCTGCCTTACATTAATAAGATATATATTAAAAATTCAGATATATGCAGGCAGGTATGATGGTACATGGCTTTAATCCCAGCACTTGGGAGGCAGATACAGGGAGAGCTCTATGAGTTACATGCTAGCCTGATCTACATGATAAGTTCAGGCTAGACAAGACTACATAGTGAGACTGACTCAAAATAAAATAAAATCAGACACTCATAAGTAAAATCACATTTAAAAATACAATGAAAGGACTACGATAAAGTATAAAACTAAGGTAGGATAAAATCAACTCAGGGAAAACCAGTTAAAAGGCAAATAAAGCTGTATTTTTATACTGTACAAAAGAAAATTTACATTCTTAATGTAGCTAGATACATCAAGGGAGAAATAACACATCCCTGAAAAGACACAATATTTAACATCTGAGATGTTATGCTTCTGCATTGCAGACTGATACTGGATTTTATACATCTTTATTTACAATAACTTAAAATATTTTCACCTCTGGCAGATATTTACAAGTTTAACAGTGACACACTTCACATGTCAACTATTAACAGCATCAATCCATTGGATAAGACAAGACAATGGCTCACATGCACCAATACATAGGATCTTACGTGTGCATTTTTTTCTTCAGCTCTGGAAAAAAGATTTTTCCACTAGTCCTAAATTGAAAGGACGTCTGTCAATAAGATCATTCTTTTTACACTCCTGCCTAGACTTTTCACCAGCAGAATCCTCTCAACAGTTGGGAAGTTTATACTAAGCTATAAATTGATGGTTAAAAACAACAACAGGCTGATCTAATATATCCTTTTATGAAACAAATAATGTAAGTGGGGTAGTCTGTTTACCTGTTACAGAAATCACATTACAGACAGCCAAGGTAGTAAAATCCTTGCACTGTAAAAGCAGTTTCATTTAACCAATTTTAAACTAAATGTAAAGCCAAGCCTAGTTTTTAGAAGAACCAAAAAGATCCAGTATAAGACACGGATGAATTTCATACTAATATTTTTAACACCACATTGAACATATCTTTGCATTCTACTTAGATAATAAAATTTTAAAAAATTCAAAGCATTATCAGTCATTATTTGAAAGCCAATCTTCTCTTCCCAAGAGCAATACATTTTTGTTTGTTGTTTTGAGACAGGTTTCACCATGTAGCCCTGGCTGCCCAGGAACTCAACTCTGTAGATTAGGCTGGCCTTGAATTCAAGAGATCTGTCTGTTAATCCCTGTTAAAGGCATGTGCCACCATGCCAAGTCCAATGTTTATTAACAGTAATGTGTTACTAATGTGGAACAGCAGTTTAAAAACCCAACTATGTTTCATGATTTAAGATATCATTAAATAGCTTAAACCCTTCAGATGTTTTTGGCCTACATATTTTAGAAGCAAATATTTTAGCTTCCTTTAACCCAATCATGTTTTAAATACAAAGACAAAAAGCAGTCAAGAGCAAATACATACACAAATCAATGTAAACTAGCCATACCAGTTTAGCTAATATTACACTAGAAATAAATGCCATTGCCCATTGAGGGGTACCCTTTCAATAATTTCCCCTATAAGTTTATCTAAACTCACAATATACAACATACCAACTTCAGGAGTTACCCCCTTTATATTCAATACTGATAAGCAAAATCCTCAATTTTAATAAAAATATGTTATAAGGAATAAAATTAAGACTTATTTTTTAATTGGTACTTTTATTGGAGTATTGACATCTTATTGATGTAGGGAAAAATAGAATCTTGTATATCTATTTACTATATATGTGTTTTCCAGTTCAAATAATGTGTCAGTATTTGTTTCAGGCTTAGAAAGCAATCATTACATTAAAGGAAGCACGTTCCTTAACAGGTGCTTTAAAAATAATTTTGGTCAGTAACCTTTTCTTTGGTAAATTTTGTAAATTGATGATGATGTAAAACTGTCTTCTGCTATGATTAACACTGAACTGTTTGCACTCAAATACAGCAAGCCACATAGCAATCCTGTAGATGGGGATAGACTATCCAATTAGCTTCTTTTCTCTTTGTAAATAAAAAGATCTGTTAGACCTACCTCCAGATACACAATTTTTTTTAAAGACTTATTTACACCTCAAATACACTTAATTCTACTTTTTGGTAAAACCGTACTAATGCAGTAGTACAACATCAGACATATGAATACAACTTAATTTGTAAACATTACAAACCCATCTTCTCAAAGTTCAGAAACAAAACATAGAAACTCTTTCTGCACTATGCTGCCAGTTATTTCACATCATTCCTAGATTTCTGTGAAACTGTATCCTGAATTATTTGGTGTTGTATATGTTTATCACAGGACAAATGGCTAATATTACAAAAATACTGGAGAAAAAAATGCAAAATTTTGTCATTATGAGGTTAGGGTTAGTCAATGCACCTACAAGGACAAGAGGCTGGGTTGTACCTCCTATATGAATATACATAGTTCCTATATAGCTCAGTACCAGGGTGATATAGCCATCAGATTGATACAATATAAACAATACTAAAATTTGTCTTACCACATTTGCATGGAAAATTGTACCAATCTGATGACTCATGATTTTATTAGCATTACTTTACACTGTATTCCATGTTTATATAATCTGGCAAATATTCTATTTTTTAGAGTATTTGTCAAATAGCTAATTTTCAATCACTTGTTGAAACAGTAGTCATTAAGCTTAAAAAAGAAAACCTCCTGTTCCAAATGCTTAACATACCACAGTACAGAAAAGCTGCACTAAGATTCCTGTAGAATTTCTGATCACTAGCATGATGTATTAATCTTTTTTAAATTGAAAAACAATATATATACTTTTGGTTTAAAAAAAAACTTTACTTTATAATGTAACCAAGTTCAGAAATGGAGTGGTCCTCCTTGCCAGTGTTTGTACAGTACGTTACCCTAGCCATAAAGACAGAAACTAGTATTCTTACTTATAAATGAACATGCAGTGAATTAAATAGACAGCTGATTGCCAACAACTGAAGTACTCAAAAGTGGACCCAAATAAACCTCATAAAGCAAGGTAAGCAAAACCATACCTTTGCATTAAAGTATTCACAAAAGTAGTGCAAACAAGAACAATTTGAAAGAGTTCTCGGTATTCTCATATCTAATAAATAATTCTAACAGATCCAAAGGCTACTAAATGGAACTGAGACTACCTACCGGGTGGAGATACTGAGCTTATATAGCTGAGACTACCGCACCTGAGTCATTTTTATAAGGTATATATATTATAAATGACACAGGGGTCACTGTTCATGGATTTGTAAGCTTCACACTCACTATAAATCTTTTTCAATAACATACAGAAATATTGCTTTTATCTGCTCTAAGCACAGTAAGGAACAGTCTCTAGATTAAAAATTAATGGAATTGAATTTATTTCATCTTTATTTTCAAATCCCCCACAGTGTATGTTACCTACCTCTGGTGACTAAAAACTGAATGACTCAAAAATCACTTTCAAATAGTTAGAAACACTGATCAAAGTAAGTTCATTGGGTTTATTTTATATTTAAACAAATCCCCACAAATACAAATAACATGGCAGCATATAACTGTTATGTGGTAGAAAATTCATAAGGCATAAATTAGAAAAGAATAATGTGCTATAACAGATACCTACATTTTGAACACATCCCCATCTATATTATTTTACCTTTTTTATGGAGTTAATACTTTTTTTTTTAATGTGGTCACCAACTACGAGACCAGAAACAAACAAGTTACAGATATGGAAAATACCATATTTACTTAAGTATGGCTAACAGGAGGCAACAGAGCATTAATACGCATCTGACTAGAGACAAGGTTTGATTATGGCTATGCTTCTTAGTTATGGACCTTATTTCACAACTTCTTTAAGCCTTGGTTTCCTGAGGATGGATGTGTGCACGGCAGACAGAGTAGCTCATTCCCTGTAGGGCCTCTTCTAGCACTGAAGGTGGATCGGAAAGGAGAGGGTTGCTAGTCAAGGACTGAGATTTTAAATGACAACTCTTCCCTCCCTGGTTTCTTAATATATTTCCATATTTGAAAACCTTACTTCTAACTTAACTTTTTACATGTTTGTTTTCTTACTAGCAACATTAACTTAAAAGTCACTTAGAACTCCTGAAACCTTCAGATGCTGTAGTCCTTAATCTGGCCTGGTGCAGATGGCATCAATCATTCTTTTAAATTATATAAACCAGGTATTTCCTCCTAAATGTCTTTTTCTATAAGTGGGATGAAGCTTCATGAAAGCTGAACAGTATTAAAGGGAAGTTGTTGAAGGATGAAGCATGGACACTTCTGGCTTACAGTTGTAACGGCTGCTGTATAACTAAACGAAAACCATTTTAAATTTGATACTGGCAACACAAAGTGGCTAAAACGATTCTTAGAAAACTGGCCAGTTTGTTTAATTCATTTCATTTTGACTATTATTTCATACAGATAATTAATTCCCAGATCCTAGCTATAAAGTGTAAATGGAGGATTTGCTTAGTGAGACCACATCATAACAAAAAGATAGGAAGCAAGGGTTACGGGGTTGTGAAATATTAATTGGTGTAAATATTAATCTACACACACCAAAAAAGATGAGGAAAAAACTTTTTTTCTTTTGTTTTTTTTTTGAGACAAGGCTTCCCTCTATAGCCCTGGTTGTCCTAGAACTTTCTCTGTAGACCAGGCTGGCCTTGAATTCAGAGATCTGCCTGTCTCAGCCTCCCATGTGCAGGGATTAAAGGTGTGCACCATCACACCTGGTATCTTAAAACCAACTTTTCACTTATAGCATTTTTAATCAAAGGATGTTCTTACTGTATGTATAACAGTTTGTGCTTTCATTTCAAATTATTTTGTATTTTGTGCGTTAACTCAAATGCTTGCTTTAGTCGCCAACACGCGTGCAGCTGAGCCCAGGTACGGTCATTGCTGTATGGCGACTCACACCTTCCTTTATGCACTAGAAACCAGCTCTGTTTAGTACATTAGAAAACCATTTTACTTCACTAGTTTTCACTGTTTTATAATCTTATTTTTTTTAGATTAATTGGTATCTCTTAGTTAAATTATTAGAAATAGGGCTAAATCTGTGACAAATGCATATACATACCATACACTAACTATAAAAATCAATAAATCACATATTAGCTTTTAGCTTTATTCCAAAGTTTGGCAATGATATGGATAATAGCCGAGGTTCCGTTTTGCTGGGAGCTGAAAGATGTTATAGACTATCAAATCTAATTAAAAATTATTCTGACACAAAACCGCCTAAACAAATAAACAAACAGACAAACAACTCTTCCAAAAGTGGTGGTTTATGTGTAGGGAAAAAAAGAGGCATTTTCCTGGTTATTTAATTTATCAAATTCTACTGTAAATAGAGATAAAACAACTTTGTCAATTAAGAGAACACTTGCTTTCTATAAAGGCAGTGTAATTTTCTTTCACAATAACACATAAAATGTCTACATGTATGAGGGCATATGTAATTCATATTTGAGATAAATAATTCATAGCAGTTGAAGTCACAATACTGATTTTCAAAATCCCAATATATTCCCTTCTTTTTCAAACAAAGCCTGAGACCCAGAAGAGATTATCTAAGAAAATCTTCCCAACCAAATCACAACAAACAAGTTTAAACTGATAATGTATTTTTGGAGCCTCTTAGCAGTTACCAAATGCTACTTACATTCAACATCTAGCTTACTGGCAGGATTTCAAAGTTTTATAAAAAACAAGAAACTTTGCAGATACTCAGAAGATACACAAATTGCATTAAACACAAAGGCAGTGTGGTCCTTGTGGAGAAATCAAGTCAGTACCCTCTGGTAGAAATGTTCTATAAAAATGTGTCACATTGAAGCATCAGTGTTTTCAACCAATTATCTATCCCTGATGTATTTCCTTGGAGTATATGATCTCAGGACTTTAGGTTTCTTTATCCAATATCTGACTGAATTGAGGTACATCTAGGAAGCAGCTGAAAGGGTTTCTCCAATAGTCTGACATCACAGAAAGTGGACTGAGAAATCCCTCTTTTTACCTGAAGATGTACAGTTTCTACTTCAGTCATCATCAACTCACAAAGGAAAGGAAAAAAAGAAAACAATTATAACTTCACCCCATATACAATCTCACAAAAACTAAACAAAGAACACCCTTCCCCCACAAAACCCCAGCACCATAATATCAATCATTCCTAGGAAATAGAACATGCCCCTTGGAGTCTCTGATTTGTAAGCTCAAACTTTAAAGACAAGAAATGTCCTTAAGTCCTTGTGGGAAGAGGGAAGACATGTTGTTAATGACTAGAGAGCCATTGAGAAAGTGCATTATCATTACACAATCAACTTAGAGCCCCGCCCTCCAATAGGGGTGGTCACAAGTTGATTTAAATGCCTCAATAATTAAACCTTTATGTCCTTGGGATAAAGAGGGGGCAGTTCGCCTCATTTTAATGAAAAACTGCAGCAGTCCACCACCTTCCCCCATGCTTCTCAAGAATACACATTGCACAGACTCAGAGAAGCCCAAAGTCATAGCAGAATCTCTGAGGCACTCCTGGTTAAGAGAGAAAAAAAATATGATCCAGTTATCTTCATAGTTCCATAGATTATGTGAACAAACCCGTTTTTTTTTTAAACAAAAGCCAAAGAATCATTTCATAGGGATCATATACACCATTTCCTCTAACATACCCTCAGTCTCACAGTGTTGAAATGGGACCGATCAGCCTACGATGGATTGCACATCACCCAAGGAGAAAGAAAGGCCTGGGAAAGGCAAACATTTTACACTGCTTCACAAACACATTTACAAGGAAGAGGTGGAGAGGTTAAAGAAGGGAAAAGAAAACCTTATTGCTGTTTCCATACAAAATACAGTATGAAGATACCTAAGCTAAATCAGATCTGATTACAACGACATTTTTTCACAATGTGGGATGAAGTGTCTTGCACAATGAAATGTTCAGTTTAAAATGTAAGCAGAATGAGGGGACATCAAAACTACACCTGGGATATTAGCTGCATATTGAAACTTGGGGATCGAGACTGCTTGGTTAAGGGGGCTCCTGGGCTGAGGAGCTCTTTACCTTCACCAGCATGACCTAGCCGGTCTTCTTGTAGACTGATAGTTGAATATCGATTAGCATTTGTAGCTGCTAGATTAGTAACTCCCTCAGTGCCAACCCCAATGCTGGTACTTGCTTGACTGCCATTTACATAGTCAAATGATTTACTTGAGGAAGCACTGGCTGTCCGAATTAGACTTAAACTATTGGTTTTTGGCACCACCTGGCCAGCAGGCAGGCTCAGGTGTTTCTTCATCGGTGTCAGCTCAACAGAATCTATACTAAGATCGGCTGGTTGTTGTACAAACTGCTTGCGAACTGCTGAATCTCGAGGGCTCTCGTTGGATTTGACAGCAGACCGCCCAGTTGCTGCTTTCCGTAAGCTTCCCCTCTGAGAGGAGGAGGGTTGCTTGGTCCCATGCGGCTGGCTGCTGAGGGAAGCCCCTGATGAAAACCCTTCATCTGCATCATTCATGTTTAAAGACTCCTCTCCTCCATTTAGACCCTCAGCACCTAAAAAAATAAACCAGACAGACTCAGCAATAGCTAAATTAAGTAAAAGAGCAGCTGTGAATACACTAACCTAATCTCATAAATGGTTTGCTATAGCTTTGTAACAACCTCAGTAATTTAATTTAGGGGAATAAACCTCTATACAAAACTCTATCACACTATTCATTGCTTTCATCTGGCTTTATTTGACCTGATTTTGTAAAACTGTCCACAAACATTAACTAGTAAACTATCAACATCTAAGGCATAGAACACTAAAAAATAACACTTTAAAAACACACTGACACTCATTCAAAGTCATCATATCTATCTATATACACAAAACTTTTTCTTCATTTTTCTTTAACCAATCATACAACATAATGTACAAAAGGGATTCTCTTCTAATTTCAGTTACTTAGAATTCTACCAAGTCATTTAGGCCTACAGGCAAAACCCCTTTTCAATTATAGTAAAAATGCATTATCTACTTGGCAGCTAACTGCACTTATATGCTTTCTAATACATTTACTAAATTCACCAACTCATTGCTGTAGTAAATTTACAATCACATTTTGTCTTATGGACACACACTACACATTGATTTCCATATTCTCTTGGTCAATCAATATGAAGAATTCACTCATTTTGAGGCAGCAACGGTAACTAGCAGAGACATTTCTACTGTCTATTACATATTTCTATCAGATCACATTCTGGGCAGGAGACTGAGTGCTGTCACGTTCACAGAGCACTGCAATATGCATTACATCGCACACAGTAACTGAACTTAGTCAGAGAACCTTCATCTTGAGTTTTTGTGAGACGAGAATCATATATAATATGAGCTTGTAGTTTCCAGACAGCCCAAATCTCTTACTGAAAAGTATGATCAAACAGTCTCAAAATTAATGTTTTCTTCTTTCAAAAACTGAAATACTTTTCCCAGACTGAAAGAAAGCATGAATCTATAAAATAGATATTAACATGATGGTTAAGGTAAAATCTAAATACTAATTTGAGATACAGATTACCTAAGCAAAATGTACATAATATTTTACTTAACATAATACCTGGAAAAATAAAATATTTTCTTATCTATATTTCTTCACATGTATTAATTATTTTACTTCTAAAAAAAAGAATTACATTAGGCTATCCTTAAAGCAAAAAGCAACTTGTTACATATATGTAAATTTAAACATCTACAGCAATTTAATGTTTAATCATCATGCAAAGCCATGTGGAAGTACATTTACTAAAAATAAATGCAACTGACACTATTTCTCTCAATCCCTTCAAAAGAACTGAAAATAAACATTTTAGATCATATTATATTACCTCTTAATAACTGACTTATAATTAGCATAAAGAGTCCAAATATTCAGAAATAATAATATAAAACTGGACTGGGTTTATCTAAGTAGTTAGGGCAGGAGACTGAGAGAGTTAGTGCTGGCTCTGAATCTTGCTGGCCACATGCAGATTTGACACCCAAGCAGTATGGCCATAGAAGAATGATAACATAAAAAGCCACCATGCAAGAGAATCCAGTGCTGTTCTATATGCTCTAAGTGGTGTTTCGATTTAATGGAGCGATGACTGTACATAAACCACAGGCACTATCTTAAAAGCTCAGAGTCTTCCTTTAAACACATAATAAACAAATTAATTGACAATTTTTATTAGTGTTATTTTTATTAGTGGTGTCTGCTGTGTATGTGTGTACAGAAGGCAGAGGACAGTTGGTGGAATTGGTTTTCTCCATCCCCCTTTACATGACTTCTGCAGATCAAACTCAGATCATCAGGTTTGCAGGGCAAGCACCTTTAACAACTCAACAATTTTGCATGCCCTAATAGACACATTTTTATTACAAAACTATTTTAAAATATCATTAGTACAAATGTTTTCTTTTAAAGTAAGTTATTTGTATAATGTAAAAGTTCCAGCATTCTAGCAAATTATCAAAATTTTTGTAAATGTTAATCAATTTCCTTTTCTCTGTCTTAAAAGCCCTCAAAGAAAGTCTGGTGCCATGGTACACACCTTTAATCCCAGCACGTGGGAAGCAGAGGCATATGGATCTCTGAGTTCAAGGCCAGCCTGGTCTAGAGAGTAAGTCCAGGACAGCCATGGCTACACAGAGAAATCCTGTCTTTAAAAAAGCCAAACAAAAACCAAAAAGGAAGTAAAAATGCAATTGAGTCTCAAAACATATTTCCCTTTGTAGGTTTTTTGTAGCTGACAACAACTAAGAAGACGAGACTGAAAGGGGGATGTCACTGACCTTTCTGTTCATAGCTAACTTCCCATAAATTCTGCATCTACTAATACTTATTAAAACCACAATTAATCCAGGTTAAAAGATAAAATACTCCTTTTTTTTTTTTTTTTTTAGACAAGGTCTCACTATGTAGCTCTGGTCTGGAACTCACTAGATCAGGCTGGCCTTAAGCTCACAGAGACTGACTGTGTCCTGAGTGGTAGGATTAAAGAAGTGCACTAACACACCCAGCTTCAAACACACTAAAGAGATGTACTTACTTTCCTTGTGGCTATCTCACCCCTGAAAACAACCCCAAACTAACAGTTTTAACACTGACAGGGAGCTCAACAGAGTTCAAACAGATATGAAAGAGGAATTACTACTTTGGTTACTTTTTCAAAGTACATGACTGATGAATTAGAAGAAAAAGCCTTAGCCTAGTGTCATTCTTGCAACAATTTCATCAATGGTTAATACAGTATTACTTTTAATACTCTCAACATCCTAACAACAGGTATATATAATCATCAAATGGCTTACTTAGTCAGCATGGATGAGAAATAGACTGTTGTTCAGTTTTGGTCCACTCTGGGTTTCAAATTTACTCATTTTTCTCAAATTTCTTTCTTTCTTTTTTTTTTGCATTAAAACAAGGGGTAAGATAAAGATATACAAAAAGACAGAAAGGGAAGGCCACATCTTCCACAGCCATGTCAAGAAGGATCTCTAAAACAATACCAACTTTGGGGTCATTAGGTCATGCACATGCAATACTGTTAACAAATGAAGTAAAGTCAATTTGGGCAAACAGGTAAGGCACTGAGGGTACATTTAGATTCTTACTGAGCATGCTCAAAGTTCTAATACACCGAAGAAAAAGATACCTCCTTAAAGTAGAAGGTAGACATTTTATGTGTGTTTAGTTTTTAAAATAAATACAAATAGTTGATTTCTTTTAAAGCTACTTATAGGAGTATGAGGTTTTGGAGTGGTACTCCAGGGGCAATTAACTAAATAATGAAATCAATCATTTGGCTGCAATTCCCTTTTCCATGAAGCTAACTCAGATGACACTTCATACAAAGCAGCAGGCAAATACTTTCCTGTCAGAGAGAAGTGTTCTTTTATAGGTAGTGATAGGGCACAGTTTTCTTATTTGCAAATGCCTACATTGTAGAAACAAGGGATCTTCTCTGTACCTGATCTGTAAATAACACATTTCACTTTTATTTGGGAGCTATAACTCTCTCTCTTTGTAACTGTAAGCTCCAGGATAGCATATTTATAGAGAAAAGATGTCAATAATTTACTACACAACTTAATTCAGCTGATGAGGAGTCAACCAATGCCAGCATTCTTTGTGAGAGACTGGAAATACCTATTAATTGAACACCCTCGTAAAATAGATAAATGACAGTTCCACTTCAACTTCTTAAATGTGCTTGTATTTTAAAATTCTTCGCACAAACTTTAAAGGATAAATAATCATGTGTACACATTAGTATTGACTGGTAAGGCTCATGACCGTTGGGTGAGTTTTTTTCCCCCTAATGTTAGAATAAACATGCTCAGTAATGAAAAATTCCAAGCATTTGCAGACCTTTTCATCCAGGCCCCTGCCTTGTTAGTAGCCATGCCAAGCTGTCGTTTGACACAGGGATGCAGACTCCAGGCCAGCACAAATGGCAACTGAAGATCATACCTAACCTGGTGCTAGGCATATGGGGAAGAGGGTTGCTCTGCAAAGAGGAGCTAGCACACCCAGGGATAGTGGAGACACACACTAGAATGGAGAGGTGCTCTGCTTGGGGACAGAGAGCCAGGATCCTTCTCCAGCAACTGCCTCACTGACTGCTGCCTCCTCATCTCTGTCCTACCCTCTGTTGTGGCTGCTGCTGAGTTGGGCTCCGACGAGCCATGCTCAGGGGTCCTGCGCACCAGCACCTCCCCCTCTTGCACACGTTTGATCCCTAGGTCAGTGGAGCCGTGTTGGATCGGGGAGCCAGGAATACTCGAGTCAGCCTCGTTTGAGAAGTCAAAGCCATCTGGGATTCAACATATAAAATTTTAGTACTTTTGTGCTGCTCTATTCTTTTCTGAGCACTCTGACCCAGGCAGATAAGAGAATGTATATATGGATATGATATTAACACAAACACTATTTATATAGTTACATGTGTGTACACAGCTTGCACACACATAAGGCAGCAAATGAACAATGTGAGGTTTGCAAATGAATAGGACAGAAAAATAGGGATCATTAAAATGACAATGTCTCTTAGGCAAGACAGTTTAACTATTTAAGGACCACATGTCTACAATATTGCTAGGTTCAGCTCTTAGAGAAAAAAAAAAGGAAAAGCAAATATAAAAATCCAAAACTAAGAACCAATTCTTTTATGGACAGTTTATATGACAGTGTTCGTTTGACCAGTCATATCATTTCTCCACACTGCTCATACATGTACCTTTTTTCCAGCTAATAAGCTTAAAGCAACTTTTGCCCCCTATTTTTATTACTAGTTTAAAAAAACACAAAATTTAGCTAGGTCTTATTTTACATGTTAACATTAAGAAAAATAGTCTAACATTTTCCTATTTTATAAACAGAAACATATTTACATAAAAATAATGAAGCATTATCACATTTCTTGTGCCATTTTTAAATGAAAATATTTTACTTTAATAAACAGAGCATTAATTACAAGTGTCAGTACATTTTGTATAAACAGAGATAAGTTTACTTGAACCCATGAGTGGACAAACGATAGAATTTTGTACTTACCTTCTCTTCTCCATCTGTGGCGACGGATTGAAGCTGTTGTAATTGCAGTCCGAGAGATCCTCGGCACTGTCGGAGTGACTTCCACTTTAAGTACTTTCTGGCCTTCTTGTGAAGAATCAGGTGCATCAAATGGTAATGAGTTTTTCATGGCATTGGCCACCTAAAACGATAATGTAAGTCTATACAAGTTTACAATAAGCATACAATTTTTACCTATTCTATAATGCATGTTTCCATTATTTTTGAACATGTTCAGCTTATATAATATATAAAGTTGTATAATATAAAAGCAAAAATGTGTCAGAAATATTTATTTTTAATATTGTATATTCTTTGAGCAGGCTTTTCAAATAAAAATTTATTATTAAAATATAAGTCATATAGTCTATTGGATTCTTGATGTTGAGTTTCAAAAAAAAAGAGCACTCCAAAGAAAAACGTTTAATATTTGTGAGCCATGATTTACAACAAGTAAAGATCCTGCTTTTCATATGATAAATAGCAGAAAACTATCTGTGATATAAAGAGTACACTTTTCTGCACTCCTGCGTACCCACAAGGAAATATTTTTCCAAAATGCATGCTGACACTGTGTCCTTTGCTCCTGAGGAAGAGACTGGAAAACTGGAGCGGTAAACAATTGCTATCTGACTGTTTCCCTTAACTCGTAAGTAGTGATCAGCGAGGACCTTGAGCACGTGGACAAGCACACGTAGGATGCAGCAGCCTGGCAGCTATGTCTGGTCTATCCACACAGAGCTACAGTAGGAAGTTTGAGGGCTTGATGGATATAATAAGTAAGGTTAAGTATCTAAACCAAGCTCTTGTCAGTGAGATAGAGGATGATTGTTTTTCCATTTCGTTTTGCACATAGCTCTAGATATTAGAAAAATGCTACACATTAGTAAATTTAGTTTGTGCTTAAAATTAAAAATGATATAAATAAATAAAATACCTTTAAAACTATCCCAAGTAGGAAATATAAAAATACTTTAAGTATCATAAAACCTCAACAAAAAGCTTAATAATTGATAAGAAGCAAAAACAAACTAGATATGGTGGCACCCATCAACATAACACTTTTTAAAGACCAAGAAAAAATTATAAATTCAAAACCAGACTGGGATACATAAGAAGGAAGAAGGGGAAGGAAAGAAGAGACAGGGCTGAGATACAGCCAAGTTACCCAGAACTACTAGGTACCTTGTTTTCTTGTTCATATGTAGATTTAAATACATACATATATATAGAGGGGGGGGGGAAAGAGAGAGAGAGACTTTCCTACTTAACATAAGTTACCACTTTTTCTTTAACGTGTAACTTCTCAAATATACAATTTCATTAAGGAAATACCAAACTTCAATTGTTCTCTGTTATTGAAGTGTTTAGAGTACTTTTATTTCTTTGCAATTAAAGTAACACTGTAGGCCAAGTATTAGCAGTGGCAAAGGCCTTTACTCCCAGCACTCAGGAGGCAGAGGCAGTTGGATTTCTGAGTTCAAAGTCAGCTTGGTCTACAGAGTGAATTTCAGAACAGCCAGGGCTACACAGAAAAACCCTGTCTCAAAAATCCAAAAACCAAAATATAAAATTAACTGTAGTATTATACTTGTAGTCCTTTTAATTTAATTTTATTTGTATAAGTGTTTTGTCTCTGTGCGTATATATATGTATATACACACATTGTATATACACACACATTTGAACCATGTGCATGCCTGGTGCTCACAAAGGTAGAAGAGGCATCACATCTCCTGATCTCCTGCATGGACCTAGAGAGGGTTGTAAGCCACAATGTGGGATCAAACCCAGGTCCTTTGGAAGAGCAGCCAGCGTTCTTTTCCATGAAGGCACCTCTTCAGCTCTCTCTAGATTCTTTTAAGGTATTAGTTTCCATAGATAAAAAGTTAGATGTGGGATAAAGAGTCTAAGAAAATAGGCACTCGTTACTAAACTGCTTCTGAAAAGATAGTTAAGAGACTTATTATCTGCAAAGCAAAAAGAATGCTTCGCCTTCACCTACTGTATGCTGACATTTGTCCTCTAAACTTTATTACTGTGTATGTTCAGGCCTGAATAACATGTGCGCGGAGGGTTGCCACTGTGTTCATGTGCAGGTCAGAGAACAATCTATAGAGTTGGTCCTCTCCTTCCACCTTTCTGTAGGTTCTGGGGATAGAATTCAAGTTGCCACATTTGCATGGCAAATGCCTTTACCCGCTGGGTCATATCGCTGGCCCAACATTATACTCGCTTTTTTTTTTGACACTTGTTTACTATTTGTGTGTGTAAATATGCCATGGTGTGTATAGAGACCACAGGAAAACTGGTGAGGGTCGGTTCTCTCCTCCTACCAGGTGGATCTGGGACTGAACGCAGGTTGTCAGGCTTGGCAACAAGTGATTTTGTCCTGAGTCATCTCACAAGTCCCCTACACACTGGGAAACATGAAATCTTTAAACCGCTAAGATTATAACCAGGGTTTTCTTATGCCTACAGAGAATTTTTTTCTTTTGTGTATTACCTATTAATTTTACTTTTTGGTTTGTTTGTTTTTTGAGACAGGATTTCTCTATGTAACGCCGATGTCCTGGAACTCACTCTGTAGACGAGGCTGGTCTCAATGCTCAAAAGATTCTCCTGCCTCTGCCTCCCCAGTGCTTGGGATTAATGGTGCATGCCACCACTGCCTGGCTCTAATTTTACTTTTTAATGTAAAAGTAATGATTAGAATTTGCCTGTTTATGTGGAAAAAAAAATAACATCCTTTAGTGACTACTCCGTTTCTAAACTGTCCTAGTTTTGATTATAACAAAATGAAGATTCACTTAAGCCTTTTTGTTCTGTATGTCTCAATAAACTTTCTGTGGCTGTGTTCTCCTTAACAGGACATTACTTGTCTAGTCTAGGATAGGCAGGAACTTCCCCCTTCCTTCATTGCCTGCTTCCTTGTGCTAGTATTGCCAGTATTAAAATATACTCAACTTGGTTTTCTCTTTTATTAAGGATTTCTTTTCTTTTCTTTCTTTCCTTCCTTCCTTTTTCCTTTCTTTCTTTTTGTTTTGTTTTGTTTTGTTTTGTTTTGAGACAGGGTTTCTCTGTGTAGCCCTGGCTTTCCTGGAACTCACTCTGTGGACCAGGCTGGCCTTGAACTCAGAGATCGGCCAACTACCACCCCAACTAAAACATTTTATTTTTCAATTTATCTCAATACCTCCCCCTAATCTCTGCCCGATGGTAACATTTTGACCGCATATATTCTTTAAGAAGAGTCAACATGCCTTTAGAACCAGGACCTCAATTCTTCACAGAAAAAAAGTATATATATAAAAACTTACCAAGAGTGGCTGAGAAAAGAGTTCTAGCTGAGCTCTATAAATGATGTCATCAAGTACTTCCTGGCCAAGGTCCCACTGTCCATTATACCTATGAGATGGATTGTTTAGTACTTTTAATAGATATCTCTGATCTTTAGCACTTAAAAAAAAAATCTGTCCCAAATCCTACTGCTTTAGTTATAAAACAAAACTCTTATTTCAAATTTATCATTTCATTATTGAACTATCTTAGTTTTGGTTATAACAACAAAATGAAGATTTCACCTCTATGTTTAAAGTAGTTTACAGCCATTTCTTTATACAAAAGTACTGAATAGGAAGCATATTAAGGGAGCTGGAGAGATGGCTCAGAGGTTAAGAGTACTGGCTACTCTTCCAAAGGTCCTGAGTTCAATTCCTAGCAACCACATGGTGCCTCATAACCATCTATAATGAGATCTGGTGTTGTATACATGCAGACAACATTGTATACATAATAAATAAACAAATAAATAAATGAATGAATGAATAAATGAATGAATAAATAAATAAATGATAAATCTTTAAAAAAAGTATATTAAAACAAACATAACAGATCTATCATGAAACAATTCTATGATGAAGAAAAAGAGATAGCAGAATCCATCTTCTTCCTACTTACATAGCATAGTAAAGTCCAGTGAGTAGCTGCACCATAAATTCAGGGTCTAATACTATTCGACCACAGAGTTCCTTCCACTGTTTCTCCTGTTGCCGTGGAAATCCACTTACACAAACCCTAGGAAAATACAGTAGTTAACATGTCATTTCCTAATTGGCTAAATGTGTAAGTTTAATGATTCATTCCTCCGCTAAATGCCTGAGTCATGAACAGGTAGAGGACGTTGGTTTTCATTTTTTTTAAAGTATGCCTTTATGCATACAGTATGTGTTCTAGAGAACTACATAAAAAGTAGTAAGTTTTCCCCAAATAGCTAACAGCATCTTTCTCAGACATCCTTTTTCCTCTTTTGTCTCTCTCAAACACATAAATACATAGCTTTTATCCATCTCAAATTGTACTGGGGAATTACTAGATATTACACAACTCTTAAAACAACATTTCAAAATACTGTTGTTCATGAGGCCACTATTATTTATTTGATGTTTTATTTAAGTAAAGTTAAAGGTGCACAAATATCTCTTAATTTTCATTGTTGTGCAGCCTAGTACAGGGGTTGGTGACTCTGACCAGTGGGGCTGTTCCTTCCACAATGGAAACAATGTGAGCAATCTCCAACAGCAAGATGTGTTGTCCAGACATCAGCAGCACCTCTAGTTCTCCATACTGTAAGACTAAGGACTTCTGGAAGCTACTGGGAAGCATGAACATTATCTCCTTTCTTTCTTTCCTTTTGAGACAGGCTCTCATTATGTAATCTTGGTTGGCCTAGAATTTTCTGTGTAGCACAGGCTAGTCATAAACTCATAGAGATCCACATGAGCTGATACTTAAATGCTAGGATTAAAGACTGGGATTACTGTTCCTATAACCAAGCTTATTAGCCAACCAACATATTAGCTTGATGGCAAATGAACTTCTTGGTCCTCTTTTGAGAATCTCATGATTTACAAGAGGTATAAGAGTGGCCATGACACCAAATAGAAGCAAAGACCAAAGAAGCAAGCTGTGATGTCATAAGCTGCCCATGTTACAAGGCCCATGTAATAGGGATGGATTCCAGCAGACAGCCAACTAGATGAAGAAACCTATAACCCTACAACTACAGGAACAGAGTTCTGCCAAAAAGTGCTTGGAAAACTACAATTCCTCCTGTCTTTCTATAGCTTAAAAGAAGCTGCCAGGTGTGGTGGCACAAGCCTTTAATCCCAGCACTCATGAAGTGGAGGTGGGTCTTCCTGAATTGGAGCCTAGTCTGGCCTACACAGGGAGTTCCAGGCCAGCCAGAACCACATAGGGAGACCCTTGCCTTCAAAATGCAAAACAAACAAACAAAAACTCTAAGCAGAGGTGAGCCATGCCTATATTCCTGCTTCATAAAAACTATGAAATAATAAATGTGTGATGTTACAAGATGCTAAAATTGTGGAACTGTTTCTCTTTAAAAATCACTTAGTGTGTATGTGAACTTCACAGATGTTTGTGGAGGTCAAAAGACAACTTCTAGGGACTTAGTTCTTTTCTCCCGCTGTGCTGTTATTTCTGCCACTGTACTTCACTCAATAAGAGCTTCCTGAATCTTGCTATAGTAGTGCTGGAATTACATATGCAAGCCTCTGCATCCAAGTTTGTAATCTGAGTTTTGGAGGTTGAATTCCCACTTTAAGAGTTTTTCAACAAGATCATTTATCTATTGAGCCAAGAATTTGCTGGTCCAAGAATTTAGAATGTAGCACAAGAAAGGGATTGCATATGGTTTTTTTTCTCTTTTCCAGAGGCAGGGTCTCTCTGTATATTCCTGGATGCCCTAGAACTCACTCTGTAGTCCAGGCTGGCCCTGAACTCAGATCAGCCTGCCTCCTGAGTGTTGCAATTAAAGATGTATGGCACTAATGCTCAGCTGGGATTGTGTATGATTTAACTCTGAGTGGGAGGTAGAGGTGAGGGCGGGAAGTGGGGAGACTCAGTTTTTTAAAGTGAAAGGTCACTTGGAATACATAAGCTCTTTAATTCCAGCCAGGCCTAACTTCTTAGAAATTCTGAAGTATGGACTATAACCTGTCCACACAGAATGTTTCTTTGCCATCACATAGAAAATTGACACAATACTAATCTTTTCCAATATAGATAATAGTTTACAAAATATATAAAGGAGCATACCTATAATCCCAATGAAAGAAATGGAGGCTGGAAGATCAGGAGTTCAAGGTCAGCCACTACATAAGGCCGTGTTGTAAACAAACAAAAATGCATAAGATAAAGAGTCACATTAAAAAAAAATAACTTATTACTTTTTTAAGTTTGGTGTTTTGCCTGCATGTATGTCTGTGTGAGGGTGTCAGGTCTGCTGGAACTGGAGTTACAGACAGTTGTGAGCCACCATGTGAACTGGGATCTTCTGGAGGAACAGTCAAGGTTTTTCCCATATATAGGTCTATTATTCAAAACTCTTAACATGGTTTACTTTAAAAATAAATTTGGTGTGCTGATGATCCTTAAGTTAGTGGACTTGACCTAACTTGTTGAGCTAAGAAATATTCTGTTGAATGTTAAAATATTTTATATTTTATATTTACAATATTTTCATTATTTATTTTTATGTGTACAAGTGTTTGCCTGCATGTATGTATGTGCATTGATGTAGTTGTAGGCCCCAAAGAGGCCCTAAGAGGACACTGGCACACCTGAAACTGGAGTAAAGGAGAGTCGTAGGTTATAATGTAAATGATGGAAAATGAACCTGTCCTATGCAAAAGCACTGAGAGCTCTTAACTGCTGAGCCATTTCTCCAGCCTCTTAAAATGATTGTCATTCCTATAGGAATGTAAGCTCCATGAATATAATTTACTACTGTACCAGAGGCCTGGCACATGTAATACCTTCCATATAACTATATGGATATGAACGATAATAATTACTCTTCTCACCTGGAACCCATTCGACAAAGGGATTGGTAAGATGAAGCAGGCATATACACAATGGCTGAATTATAGCATAGCATGAGAAAACTCAGGACTTCGAATCTGGAAAAATAACAAAAAATTATTACAATTATTTTTATCAGAGACAACAGTAATTATTTACTTATTAAATAGCTATAATAATGCCTTAATATAAATTGTCATGATTTCTTAATCAGTTTACTACAGTATCCTCCTTAATAGTTTGTTTCAGTCTTTTTTATTATAAGCCATTGCTATCATCAATATTTTCTTCTTTAAGAAACATTAAGGCTGGGCATGGTTGTACATGCTTTTAATTCCAGCACTCAGGAGGCAGAGGCAAGTGGATCTCTGTGAGTTCAAGGCCAGCCTGGTCTACATAGTGAGTTCCAGGATAGCCAGGGCTATGTAAAGAGACCTTGTTGCAAAAACCAAAAAAGAAAAAAAACATGAAAGCTGGATGTAGTGGAGCTTACTTTCAGTCCCAATATTCGGGGGACTGAAACCTCTGTGAGGTTGAGGACAACCTGGTCTATGTAGTGAGTTCCAGGCTAGTCACGGTTACACAGTTAGACTCTGTCTCAAAAAAAAACCAAAAAAAACACCCAATCAACTAACCCAAACCCAAACTGCAAAACCAATGAAATCAATGGTCTGGAAATGACTCAGTAAGTAAGAGCATTTGTTAGTATTGTGGGTTTGGTTCCCAGCACCCTCACGGCAGCTCCCAAGCACCTGCAACTCCAGTTCCAGGGCATCTGATATCCTGCAGGAACTGCTGGATGCTGAACAGCATTCCTAACCTCTAAGCACCAGATGCACAACAGCCCTCGCTCCACCCATCTCTATCAACCAAAGCAATCCTCCATGTTGATTGCTAAATGGTATACATAGGAAGTGATGGACACCCTGGGTAAGAACCACTGGTTAAAAGTCATTTCACCTTGAAAAGGGAAAATGCAAGGGAGGAGGAACGGAAGACAGCAGTTTTTATTAATGAACTGTGTGGAAGTAGTGCATATTGAATTTGGGGGTAAAACTACGTACATTTGTAAGATACTTCACAATAAAAATTATATTGCAAAAAACTCCCACAACATCACAATGCAATCACTCTCATAATCACTAAGATCAGAAAATAGAAATCGGGCAGGTGAGGACAAGGAGGAATTTTTATTACTTATTATTTTATGCTATAGGTATTTTTCTTATCTGTGTGTCTGTGTACCACATGCATGCTTGGTGTCCACAGAGGCCATACGAGGGCATTAATGCCCTGGAACTGGAGGTACAGGTGGTTGTGAGCTGTACAGTGGGTGCTGGGAATTGAACCCCTGGCCTGTGCTAGAATACAAAGGGCTCTTAACTGCTGAGCACCCTCTCCAGCCCTGCAATATATATTTATTTGATTGGGTATATTAACCTTGTTTAATAGAATTTGTTCAATTCACCCATAAACAGAAGCTATTTATAGTACAGTGGGGAGAGGGGAGGAATTTGATCACAACCAAGACATAGTGATAAAACAAGGATGCTGACCAGTCTGCGGTACAGCTCCTAGATCTAAAGCTACAGGTCGTCAATGGCTGCTGAGTGAGAAAAAATGTTTTCTCCATGGACAAACCCCCAAATAGGCTGTCCAATCCCAAGTGGTCATCCCTGACACATGTATAAGCAAGCAGATGGATTCAGTAGAAAAAATGTATGTATATATACACACACGTGCACATATGTACATTTATGCATATGTATATACATATAATAATATTAAGAGATTGCTAATGCAGGAGGTGGGACACTAGAAGAGTTGGAGGGGGGAGGAGTGGTGTAGATGCAGTGTTGATGTAGTAAGTTCACAAAAAAATTCTTTTTTGAGCAGTTCTCATCCAAAATGCCAAGGACCTAAAATGTTTCAGATTTCGTAATCTGTGCCTTCTTCAAAGCTAAGACCTAAGGATATACAAGAAATCCAGTGATGCTTCACATGTCCTATACACACATAGCAGGAAGGTAACTTTACATAATATTTCAGTGCATTTTTCCTGTGTCCCAGTCACACAGACTCTATGTAGATTGTTTGTTTGTGCTATCATGCCATTGCCACCAGACTTCAGATTTTGGGACATTTCAGAGTGATTTTTTTTCAGAGAAGGATGCTTAGCCTATACTATACTATACTATACTATACTATACTATACTATACTATACTATACTATACTATACTATATTTTACCAGTATGATGTATTTAATTTTTGGACTCTATCATATCATGCTTGAAATTTAGCCATTAGGAATAAATTCACCATTGTTGGTGTGTAGTTAAAAATTTTCTTAGATTTCTGTATTTGAGTATTTTTTTTTGGCATGTGTGTATGTGAACCACATGGATGTCAGGTGCCCTTGGAGGGAAGAGGAGGGTTTTAGATCCTTTGAAGCCAGAGTTACAGATGGCTGTGAGCCACCATGGGGAACTGAACCGGGTCCTCTGGAAGAGCAGCCAGTGGTTATCCACTGAGTCATCTCTGAGCCCCGACTATGTAACCCTGAGCATTACCGGTTTTGTGCAGTGAATGTTTCTCTCTGAGGATGAAGGTCACTATAGACAACTCTGATGAGGTCATGCTGACATAATGCCCCTTCTGTCAAAGCCATGGAACCAATGGTTGAAGGCTACAAAAAACAAGATTTATCATGAGATAATGTCTCCAAAATGAAGTAAAAATCTGTATCATGTAATAATATTTAATTTTGTTGAAATAAAATGTAGTTTGAAGTTAAGTTTTCCCTCTTCTTCAATGATATTTTATGCCTTCTTTTAAAAATAATATGTAGAAGACATAAAATTTGAAACATATCACTTCATTTTTTGAAATACTGAGTTACTCTGTATTTAGGAAAAAGAATGCTCTTGAAAACACTAAGGTTTGAAAGAAATCCATTTATTTTTGTTTACATTCTAGGACACAGACTATAACTACAACTATATAAAATAAACAGCATTGAAGACTATGATCAGAAATCTCTTTAGTATTTACACAACTGATTTTGTTTTTCAAGTTAGGATAATCTTTATTAATGTCACTATCATCCATTTTATTTCATAACATGATACAAATAATTTAATTAAAATCTATTATTTAGAAATATTCTGTGTTAAAATGGATCCTGGTTAAATAGAAGACATACTATTTGTAACACAAAACAAACTCAGGGAAATTAATTAAAAAATTAACACCTGCACTGAGCTACAAGACAAACAGGATGATATGTGTTGAAAAATGGAATATAATTTTTAGAATAAGCTTTTTAAATGCTCACAATCTGATGTATCAAAAGACCAATAATGCCCGTAAATTTGATTCTTGACACATTTTTCTTACTGGGTTTTACTAAAGAGAACTCAGTTAAACAGCAACTTTTACCTACATAATAATGAGTGTTCTCATATTCTTTAATGGAATAAACATAAGCAAAACAAACACATTATTGACTAGCGAGAGTGTGCACTTAGACTCCTTTATACTGAAACATAATGGAGCATTAACACCCTTTTGAGTAATTACTTTTCTAAAGGAATAATAAAGAAATGAATAAATGGATCATTCTAACAAAGATAATCACTAAACAATATGGAAATTTTTTTTGACAATTCACTTTAAAAAATGATTTTATCTTCTTTTTTTTTTTTTTTCCAGAGCTGAGGACCGAACTTAGGGCCTTGCGCTTGCAAGCGCTCTACCACTGAGCTAAATCTCCAACCAACCCCTAAAAAATGATTTTAAAAGGTGAAAATGATACTGGTAAAGGAAAATAAATGAATAAACAAGAACTAGAAAAAAATTCCATTAAATACTAACTCCCTTGACATCACACATAACATCTACTCTATTTTTTTTTTAACTTAAATTAGTTCATTTATCTAATGTGAGTGTATACACATATTGAAGTCAGAGGAGAATTTGTGGGAGTCAGTTCTCTCCTTCCATTATGTGGGTCCCACTTGGGTTGTCATGTGTGGTGGCTGGTACCTTTATCTGCCAAGCCATCTGCTGACCCAATACCTACCTACTTTCTTCTTCTTCTTCTCTCTCTCTCCCTCGTTAAATAGGTATGAAGGTTTCACCTGTATGTAGGTGGACCAGGTGTATGCCTGGTGCCCATGGAGACCAGGAGAGGGTGTCAGAGCCCCTGGAACTGAACTTCCAGGTGGTTTTGATCTGTCTTCCTGAGGAATAGGCAGTGCTCTTAACCACTGAGCCACCTCAGCTCACAACCAAAAAGAGAAGACTATGTAACAGGACCCTTGCATGGTGGTGTAATCCTTTCTCTTAGTTGGTAGAAGCAGGTTCAGAGTGCAAGATCATCCTTGACCACCTGGTGAGTTTGAGACCTGCTTGGGCTACAAAAGGTCATGTTTCAAAAGCAGAAAGTATTTACAATATTTACCTCTGGCAAAATTATTTTTTATCTTTTTCTCAACATAATTTGAAACATTCCATATTCCCAATGTTACTTACTTCATGGTATATTGAAGGCTTGGATAATGAAGGGATAGTGAAAGACAACACTTTATTGTTTCCATCTTTATCAGCAATTTCCTATAGTAAAAAAATGTACAAAACAATGTAATATTAAGTCTATAGCAAAGTAAATACTTTTATTGAATATAACATTGCTAATTGGGGGAGAGTTTTAGAAACAACAGTATATAAGAACACTATTACCCTATCACACCCTTTCAAATTTATTAGCAAACTGGTATACATGTGTGACACAACTGTTACCCACAGAGACACTGAGCACAAATTACACTACACCAAATCCAACATGACAGCAAGGCAAAAAACAGGTGCACACAGAACATGAAGATTAAGAGTGATTAGACATTTTAGTAGAAACCTGGCCAAGCGAAATATAAATAAGACTAAGAGAACCACTCTTACTAAAATAAGAAAAATACATTATTATAACACAAATGAAGCATTTTCCAGCTTTACTGAGCTATAAGTGGCAGAATATATATATATATGTATTTCTAGTGTATGATGTGAAGTTTTGATACATTTTCTAAAATGATTACTATAAACAAACGTATTTAAATATCCAGTACTACAGTTAACATTTTTATACCGAGAACATTTTAAGAATGAACCTTGATTAAAAGATATGTATAATCCCTCAGCAATAAATTACTGAACTATAATAAGTTATATGTTGGCAATATCAGTGTAAGTAATCACGAAATAGACATATTTAAGTAATTTCTACTGAACTGTAAGAAAATTCTTTTGTGTTCTTGTTACTTGAGATAAAGTTTCACTCAGTAGCCTAACACTAATGGAACTAAGATGGAATCACCTCTCTTAGTTTGCATATCTATTCTGTGTTTTTCATTTGCATTGGCACAACTGAACTTTCCTTTTGTTTTGTTCATTTAATTACTGTGCTTGCCAGCTTTCGGTCAACTTGACACAAGCTAGAGTCACTTGGGAAGAAGGAACCTTAATTGAGAAAATGTCTCCATCAGGTTGGCCTGTGAGCAGACCTGTGGGGCATTTTCTTGGTCAATTTTTTTGGACCGATGTGGGAGCCAGCCCAGCCCATCCTAGATTGTGCCACCCTTGGGACAAGTGGCCCTTACTTGTCCTAGAAAGAAGCCTGAACAAGCCTCGAGGAGCAAGCCAGGAAGCAGTACTCCTCCATGGCTTCTGCTTCAGTGCTTACCTCTAGTTTCTAGCCTCCAGTTCCTGTCCAGATGATAGACTACAAAAGTACTATAAGGTGAAATAAACCATTTCCTCCCCAAGTAGCTTTTAGTCATGGTGTTTTATCACACACACAGCAAGGCACCCTTAACTAAGACAATTACTTCTTCCTAAAATCTCACCTATTCTAATCGTAAGTGATCCAAATCCAAAGTACACCTTTTCAGATGCCATTGCCTTAGGAAAGTTGCAGTAACTGTGGCTAATATATCAACTTCTCATACCCTTTTCTCTACACATACTGCACTGTTAGTCATCTATGAATATGTCTTCTGAGGTGGAAAGCTGCACTAAAGCAGTTCATTTCAGTATCCAACTTGTTTCCTTTTTCCTTTTGTTTTTATTTTTTTAAGATTTATTCATTTATTGTATATGAGTGCTCTGTTTGCATATACACCTACATGCCAGGAGAGGGCATCGAATCACGTTATAGATGGTTGTGAGCCACCTTGTGGGTGCTGGGAATTGAACTCAGGACCTCTGGAAAAGCAGACAGTGCTCTTAACCGCTAAGCCATCTCTCCAGCCCCTCAACTTGTTTCTAACATAAAGGCATTCATAGACACTGAGTCATCTAATCTAACAATGATATCAATTATATCTTCAACAACCTTATAAAAAAAAAACCTGTTTGTATTATTTTGTATTTAGCTAAAAAATTATTCAATAGACATTTCAATTGTTTCTCTCTAAACAATCTTCAAATATTTCAAAGGGGATTAAAAATATTTTAAATTTCCTAACCAATCACTTTCAACTCACCAAATTATAAATTCCTAGGAGAAGTGCTTCAATGCAGCCATTACTCTGCCTGTCTCGACTAACTGTAAGTCGCAAGTACACCCATATCAATTCAGGCAGGAACTGCAGTGTGAACCTCTTAAGTCGGACTTCAGAGCTACGATAGAGCTCAAACAATTGGTGGCAGACAGGCTCCAGGAGCTAAAAGAAAAACAGAGCAATATTATTTCCATTGCTTGAACTGTAACTGTATTTTTAAAAGGCAAATCCACCTTTATAATATTAAAAAATTAATTCTCAATATTAATTCCTTCATATAAGTTAATTCAACAGTCTTTAATAGACTATATATTAAATGGACCAAACCACTAACTGTAAGTAGCATATACTATCACTATACTTTTTGATGTACTATGCTACTAAATTTTTTAGATAATTAGTCTGCTTGCCAATGTACTATATTTACACTTGTTGAGTTTCCCTTTCTGTTCTTACCAAAGCCTTCTAGTCTCTATTTTAATTTTTTACATTTGTGTATTTGTGCATGTATGTGCAGGCACTTTAATACCATGGTACATGTATGTACGTCAAACAACACCTTTGTGGGATCCAGTTCCCTCCTTCTATGATGTGGGTTTTAGGAATCCAACTTAGGCTGTAGCAAGTGACTTCATCCACTGAGCAACCTCACTGGCCCATCTTCTATTTTAAGAAATTTTTCTTAATTAAAATGCCTTCAAATTTTAAGTAAAGCCATAACTTAAACAAATGATAGTTCACTCATTAGACGAAGAGATTTTACAAAACATGATGTGGGCACCCAACATTCTAACTAATAAAAACATACAAGGGAAATAAAAGCAGATTTAAGATCTCACTAATTATATTTATTTAAAAGAGTTGGAGGGCTAGGAAGATGGCTCAGTGGGTAGAGCTCCTGTTAACAAGTATGAAGACCTGAGTTCAGATGCCCAGCACCTACATGGAAGTTGAGCATAGCAGGGCATGGGGGAAGGGAAGAAAAGCAGATTGCCTAGGGCTTACTGGCCAACCATTCCACCTGTAACAGCAAGCTCTAGGTTTAGTAAGACGCCCTATCTCATGAAACAGGTAGGTAACAGTACTCAAGATCTATCGCTGGCTGGTACAAGCATGCACGCACACGTACACACACACAAACACACATACAATTTTGAAAGAGAAAAAAGTGTACATATAACATATAAATATGTTTTTCAAAGCTTAGCTAATTACTCTTGTATTATCACATGGAATGACTTGAGAGACTTCATGATGTTGAAAACTGAAGAAAATGAGCAGTTCCACATACTGATGATTTAAAATGGTTTTGCTCCTATTACTGTATTTTACATACCTGGTTGACTTTTAACTGCATATAAAGACTGATGAGAAACTATTTATTTTTTGAGACAGGGTTTCTCTGTGTAGCCTCAGCTGTCCTAGACTCGCTTTGTAAACCAGGTCGGCCTCAAACTCACAGAGATCTGCCTCCCTGAGTGCTGGGATTACAGGTGTAAATCACTGTGCCTGGTGAGAAACTAAACTTTTTAAAAATTTTATTTTTTATTAATTATTGATTACAATTTATTCACTTTGTATCCTGGCTAGCGCCCCCATCCTCCTCTTCTTCCAATCCCTCCCTCCCTCCCTCTTCTCCTCCAATGACCCTCCCATAGTCCACTGATAGGGGAGGTCCTCCTTCCCTTCAATCTGACCCTAACCTATCAGGTCTCATTAGGACTTGCTGCATTGTCTTCCTCTGTGGCCTGGCAAGGCTGCAATTTATTAAAATTTAATTACTAAAAAAAAAAGAAAAAAAGCAACAGCTTAGTAACTTTATATGCTTACTTCTATTCTAAGTTACATATTTATATCAGATCTATTTAAAGTAGTTATATTTTTTAATAATTCAGTAATCCTGAATGCAGTCACTATTTTCACAATTGTGAAACTGTCAACAAATCTATGTCAACTGTATAGCTAATATTTAGAGACGCTAACTTTTGTTTTTGAAGATAAATTTTAAAATTTAGAAAATTCACACACACACATATATGTCCCTAGGCTTGTAAATACTCAAAAAAAAAATCAGGGCAAACTTTAAAGGTATTTTTAAAAATTAAAATATTTAAACTATCTCCTTACACTGATGTTTATTTAGAACAATCATACAGTTTGTCAAAGATTATAGAAATTAGTAGTAGAGGAAGAGTTTAAATGAAGGTTTTCTAATATCAAGCTGATTTTCTATTCTAACACATTTCTTATACTAAAATATTGGTAAAGATTGTTTTATTATAAATACTATACTGTACATAGTGCCAGTATATAGTACCAATAATTTTGAAAAGAGTGAATCATTGCCATATGTCTTAAATGATGACAACATTGTTCTGAGCAATTAAAGACAGTGTAGTGTATTCTGAGCAATTAAAGACTGCACGCTCTTAGAAATTTGTTAACATTTATACTTTCTTAGATTTGCTCTTCTCTTTAGTGAAAGACTCTCCAAAGACTGCTTTCTCTAAATATTTATGGCCGCTGATATAATTACTGTAAGTTTATTATGAAGACCTTGACTTCCATTCATTTAGTATATGGCAGAGAAGCCACTATAAGTATACTAAAGAAACAGAAGTTCCAAAATTATGACTCTGTTTTCTTGTTTTGTTTTGAGACAGGGTTTCTCTGTATAGCCCTGGCTGTCCTACAACTTGCTTTATAGAACAGGTTGGCCTTGAACTTAGAGATCTGAGCAGGACATGTGGTACACCTACAATCCCAGCACTGGGGAGGCAGAGCAGGTGTATCTTTTAGTTTGAGGCCAGCCTGGTCTACAGAGTGAGTTCCATGACAGTCAGGGCTACACAGGAAATGCTGTCCTGAAAAACCAAAAAAACCGACCAACCAAAAAGAACGTAGAAATCCACTTCCTCTGCCTCTGAAGTGCTACGAATAAAGGTGCATGCCACCACCAGGCTTGGCTGTTATTTTTTAAAGGTGGGAAGTACTGGTAATCCAGTAGCTTTTAATCAAATACAACTACAAAATGAGACCATTAAAAATCTGGCATTGCTACCTATGAAAATCTTTAATTCTAAGCATTTGTATCATGCTTATTTGTATTATACTATTTCTGAAGTTCTCAGTGAGAATCAGAAATGGTAGCACACATTTGTAATCCTAGCACTTGGGAGATAAAAGCATGTGGATCAAAGTTGAAGGTATTCTCAGCTACACAGGTGCAGGAGATCTTGCCTCAAACAAACCAAGCCCATTAAATGGCACTATTATCCACATCACAAGTGATAACAATCATCATCATTTGCTCAAAAAATTTAGGAATTAAGCAAACAATGTTTTGACATAATTGCTGAGACATACTATCTGATGAAAACACTAGAGAGCATTTTAGGTGATATAACAGCTACTTAAGCCTAACTTGAGTAGGAGAAATAGTGTGAGGTGAATAAAAAGGGACAATAAGACAGACAATAAGCAATGAAATTATTATAAGGCCATTTGTGAATAGTGACAGAGAGATGAAGTAGATAATAAAAGGTAAAGTCAAAGAAAGTTTTGTTTTGTTTTAAAGAAATGTGATGGGCAGGTCTGGCCCATTGGGTAGTACTTGGCACTTAAGTCCCAGAACTGAGTTCCAATCTCAGAACTCATGCATTTTAACTCCTACAGATTTCCAAACATTGGGAAGCAGAGACAGTAGAACAGTCAGACACATACATACCTGTCTCAGAAAAGTGGAAGGCAAGAGTATAAAGTCAAAGAAAATAGAAAATGAACAGAGAGGACTCAAGAGTGGGGCTCAAATGGAAGAAGCACTGAACTGACTAAGGTCTGTTAAGACGAAAAAGAACAATAAGCAATATTGTTGGTGTACAGGTTAAAAGTCAAGTTGTAACAAAAGTAGCCATAACATGTAAAATTAATCCTCTAGAAGTTCATATCAAGGACTCTTATGTCTTCAAAGCAACACTGATTTTTAGACTATCCTAAGTTCAATTCTTATAATACAAAGCGCATGGCTATTCTCTGAAATAACAGCTTGGTAACACATCTAATAATGTCTCATAATATAATGAATCAGGACTTGAAGTGCACCTGTCTGTGACTACAGTGCAGAATAACCTGAGGTTCTACAGAATTTATTATCATTGGTTTTCAAAAACCATAATCAGAAGCTTCTGATTTGACAGTAAAAAGGATGGAACTGAGACCCACCCTAGCAACTTCACAATTATAATGAATACTAAAGTCTTGAGCCTGGATTTCTCAAGCTACCATTTCCATTTTGAACCATGACTTCAAGGTCTCGTGTAATTATAAAGTATGACAATACAGAAGAGTCTGAAAAACATTTTTTAAAAGTCTATCTATTTTTAAGTGAGAATACTTCATACCTTTTGAGTATTAAATCTAATGATTCTAGAATCTTTTGGTATTTCATTATTTTCTAATTGATGTTTACTTATTTACACTTAGCCCCACAGCCACATCTCAAGCACGTAATACTTGTTAGATATTCATTCATATATATAGAATATTATATTCTAGGGAAGTAACAAATATAAAATATATGACCACTGCCCATGAAGAGCTTACAATCTAAAAGGAAAAGCATAAAACAAATAATTTTTAATAAGCAAAGCTTAAATGTTAAAGACAAAATTAGGGGCAGGGTAGATAGAATTTAGCATTTAGAAATTTTCAAATACTCCTGACTAAAGATACGTGTGTGTGTGTGTGTGTGCGTGTAGACAGATCTACACACATACACAAACACAGCCCATTTCTGAAGTTTTATAAATTCAGCAATACACCGCAGGAGAAAAGCAGCAAATGAATCTTGCAGCTGCTGCTAGAAATAACAGCAGATGCAAGTCTGAGAGCCAGTCCAAACACAGGAGACGAAGAAGAAGAAGGAGGTCAATAAGCAAGCTTTTGGTGAGAAGACAACAGTGAAGATGCACTTTATGCTAGGCTGCTGGTTAGGAGCTGGTTACCTGAACTTCTTCAAGCTCACTGCAGTACACAGCAGAGGCAGTCTCGGAGGCTGTATCTGGGAAGATAAGAAGCTACTTTCCTGTGTGTTCCTTTCATTTGCATGTTAAAGCATACATGACTCCAGTGGGATAAAACTATATGTCATACCACTGTGTTAATGGAAAAATACTGTGTGTATCCAGCATAGTGTACATATTGATTCAGTTGCTGCATTTTCTATCTTCTACCACAGGGTGAATAACAGTTGACTGTTATTCTATGCTTATTGATCTTCACTATTCAGATTTTTAAAGCATTTCCTCTGATAATTTTCAGGTAGACTTAGTAAACAGCAGCATAATTTTATGTTATCAGCTTACAACTGGTCAGAGTGCTCATAAATGTGTCTATAGCACTAAAAAATAAGAGGAAACAATATTAAAACAAAGAAGGCTGTATCATATACTGTTAAAATTTGGTTTCCAAAGAAGGAATATTAAAGAACACAAAAAAAATACATTTAATAAATAATGCATCAAGATGAAGGTGACTGATGTTGAGAATCAAAGCATATCACCTTCACCAAGAAAAAAACCAAAACAATTTCAAATGTAAAAGGATGGGGGTGGGGAAGCCAAAGCAACTATCAGGATGAAAAATAGAAGAAAGAAGCTTTCCAGATTCACAAATGAGATTGAAAACTACAAACTTACATTTGTGTGATTTCATCTCACTATTTAGAAGGTACTTTTCTTAAAAGATTTCTTACCTCATTGTTTGAGTCTTGAATAACTTTATAGAGTGCTGGTACAAGTGCTTTTTTCCGGTGTAAAGTTGCTGCATAACTGGTGATCTGAGTGTCAGGTAATGCCTATGAGAAAACCATCAAAGGACAGCAAAATGAATTTAATATTTAGGAAACAAACAACTTTATTTTACATGAGTGCTACTTGAGTAAAATAACAGTCAAATGAGAAATTCAAACATAATTACTATAACATTAAATAATTAACATATAAGTTTTATAGCTGCTTATCCATGAAAAATGATCACAAGTTGCATATCATAACTAGATTTCATAAAAACAGGTCACTTTAAAGTGATAGAGCCTAAAAGAGAACAGGATGTATTTCAGTTCTTGCACTTATACTTCATAAAACACATTTCCTAAGTGTTCATATATTACATAGTTTTCAATCAAAACTATTTCACTTTTAACTATAGAAACTCAAAGCAGGGAACAAATACTATTATTACTTGTAGACTCCAATCTCCTATTGGATTTGTCTTAATCTTAACAATTATTTTATTTCTATGTAATTCCTTTGACCCTAATTAATATTAGCTCTACTTGAAAAAATCACAACCAAAGAGGCATTATTTCACATTTTGCAACTCCAATTTAAAAATATATTTGTAGGCCTCTTTATAGAACACACTACCATCATTAAATGTCTGACATGTACTTATACAACACAGTCTCATCCCAATCTATTTACCTTGAACTCTGATAACCATTCTTCTACAACAGCTTGTTCTGATCCCAGCATCTTCTGTTACCTTCTATTCTTCTTTTTATCTCTAAAACAGATAACATTACCTACAGAAATTACCAAAGGTACATAATGTGTGCCTTTCACAAACCAAGAAACTCATCTAGTCTATATTTCAGATAGAGGCTCTACTCAGTTTACAGTACAATTAAAACTTCAAAAATAAATTCTATTTGTTAACGATATCTCAGAAACCCATTGTCTTCATGCCTTCACATTTCCCCACTGCAAAATGTCGAAGAAGATGTCCTTAAATTGGGCATACATATAATCTCAGTACCTGGGATGCTGAGGCAAGGGGACTGTGAAATGGAGGTCAACTTGGGCTGTGTGCTGAGCTCTATGACAAGCCTGACTACACAACACTGTGGATCAACAAAACAAAACACTGGAAAATGACATAAGTGTCCCAGTGAAACCAAATTACATTATCCACAGCAAATACACGGAGCAAGTTACATCTGACAGAGTAAACCTGTAACAAAATATAAATGTTGAATCTTAAAAAAGCAAGGGTCATATAGTTGGTAAACTGATAACAATATATACATTATGTAAAATAAGGGAGAGCCTTAACTGCTAAAATGGAAAATGTCTCAGTAGCAAAATCAAAGTGAATAAAAGTCTGTAAATTATAATTCCAATTAAAGCTTATATTTTTTTAAAACCTGGAAACAAATATATGCTCAACTATTAAATGCTCGCCATTGTGAGTAGTCTAACTCAATTAATTTTGGATTAAAAAAAAAAACAAGACAAGCAAAAAAATAGAACCTGAAGAAGCAGGACTGTTTGTGAAATAACTGAAAAGTTCTCTTATCAAAAAGATGCTTTTGGCAGGTAGTGGCACACCCCTAGCTGTCACCATCCTAGGTAGGTGGGCCTTGGATGTATAGAGATGAAGCCCATATGAGACTTCAAGCAACCACTTCTCTGTTGACTTCTACCTCAAGATCCTGCCTTCAATTCCTGCCTTGTTGTTTTCCTCAATGATGGAACTGTAAAGTATAATATGAAAAAAACCTTTCCTTTCCAAGTTGTTTTTAGTCATAGTGTTTATTAATGCAACCCCAAACAAACCAGAACAGCCTCACTCAAACCATGTTTCAATAATGGCATATAAAGGGAGGGGCAGAAGCCATCTAGGCAGTGTCAGGTGGGGGCTCCCTCTCTGCGGTGTGGGTTGCACGTTGGACCAGTCGTTGGCTGGCCACTCCCCTAAGATTTGCACCACCATTATCCCAGCACATTTTGCAGGCAGGACAGAGAGTAGGGCAAAGGTTTTGTGGCTGGGTTGATGTTCCAGTCCCACTGCTGGAAGCCTTGGCTGGTTATAGAAGATGGCCAGTTCAGGCTCCGTATCCCCCATGACTAGGAGACTTCTCCAGGGTCACTCTCAGAGATTCCAGGGAGTTTCAACTGCACTAGGCTTTTATATCATTCCCCAAATCTCTTTCCCAGTCCTCTCTCTCTCAGTTCCCCATCCCCAGCTGATCCCTCTTATTCCAATCCCTACCCATCTCCAAAATCTATTTCCCCTTCCTGGAGAGACTCATGCATCCATTCTTGAGTCCTCCAGAGGCAGGACAGCCCAGAGACCCAGAACAGAAACAAATACTCGTCAAAAAAGGGGGCGGGGAGTAGACGGGGACAATGAAATGGTTATGCTCATAGACTGGCATCTAGCCAAACTGTCATCAGAGAGGCATCACCCAGCAAGTGATGGGAGCAGATACAGAGATCCACAGCCAAACGCTAGGTGGAGCCAGGGAACCCCCACAAAAAAAGAGGAAGGACTGTAGGAAACAGAGGGGCTGAGGACACGACAAGAACATGACCCACAGAATCAACTAAGCAGGGTCATCGGGGCTCTCAGAGACTAAAGCAACAAACACAAACCCTGTGTAGGTCTGAGTTAGGTCCTTTGCATCTCTGTTATGGTTGTGTAGCTTGGTGTTCTTGCGGAACTCCTAACAGTGGTAACAAAGGCTGTCTCTGACTCTTGTCTGCACTTAGGACCCTTTCCTCCTACTGGGTTGCCTTGGCCAGTCTTGATATGAAGGTTTGTACCTGGTCTTACTGTAACTTGTTAGGCCATGTTTGGTGGATATCCCTGAGAGGCCTGCTCTTTTTTTCTGGGGTGGAGGAGGGGGAGATGGAGGAAGAGTGGATCTGTGAGAGAGGGGAGGTGTGGGGAGTGACTAGGAGAAGTGGAGGGAGAAGAAACTGTGGCCAGGATGAAATGTATAAAAGCATTTTTAAAAAGTAGGGACAGGGGCTGGAGAGATGGCTCAGAAGTTTAGAGCACTGGCTGCTCTTCCAGAGGTCATGAGTTCAATTCCCAGCAACCACATGGTGGCTCACAACCATCTATAATGAAATCTGATGCCCTCTTCTGACATGCAGGTGTACATGCAAACACACATTGTATACATAATAAATAAATAAATCTTTAAAAAAAAAAGGTTTAAAAAAAAAAGTAGGGACAGATGATAGAAGAGTGAATCAGATACAAATATTTTTTTAAAATATATGTGTAGAAATGTCTGTGTGTGAGTATGTGCATGTGAGTGTATGTACCCTCAGAGGCCATAAAAGGGCATCAGATTCCCTGGAATTGAAGTTATGGGTGGTTCTGAGCCACCAGATGTGTGTGTTAGGAACCAAACTCAAGACTTCTGCAAGAGCAATATGCACTCTTAACCACTGAGGCATCTATCCCTTGCATGGGCTATAAATAAAGTATGACTGGCCTTAAAGTTGATAACCACGTTGTTTAGTAATCAGTACACAAAGTTTATTATATACTATTCTATCTACTTTGTTATAGCTTAAAATGTCTTATAATAAATAATGAAAACAAATTCAAATGTACAAGTCCTCAAATAATGGCTACAAAACAGGGCTCTTATATTTATTTATTTACTTCCTTCTTTGTTTTTGTGGGTGAGGCAATGGAGAGTGTACATTCATAGATTGCTCTGAGATCTAAGTAAAACTCTGAAAAAGAACTAGGGCTAGGGATGTGGCTCAGTTGGTGGAATACTTCCCTAGCATGCAAAAGGCACTGACTTTGTTCCCAGCTCAGAGTGAGGCTAGAAGTTCCAATACAGACCAACGGTTTGGAGAATTTTGGCCTAGATAACACATATTTTTGGAAGAGTTACTTCTCTGTCTCCTCAAACTGCTTGTTTATAAAATGAGGACAATACAAGTATCTATGACAAAAGTTTTTTCAGATTTTGTTTATCTGTTTTGTTCCGAAGCACAGTCTCACAAGGAAGCCCTGGCCTGACACTAAATATGTTGAACAGGTTGACCTTGAATTCAGACATCCTCCTGCCTCTGTGTGTCCAGTGCTGGGGTAAAAGGCATGTGCCACCCTGGCCAGCTCACAAGACACTTAAACAAACAAACAAACAAAAAAAACCATAATAAATAATACAGAGATTGGCTAACATTCTTCATGTTAGCTGCCATTAAAAAAATAGTAATGCAATTACTTAAGTTTTTGACAATTCAAGAAGCATTTCTATTCTGGTGGTAAAAATAGTTAATTATTGTCTTAGTCAGGGTTTTATTGCTGTGATGAAACACCATGACCAAAAAACAAGTTGGGGAGGAGAGGGTTTATTTGACTTACACATCCAGATCACAATCCATCATTGGAGGAAGTCAGGACAGAAACTTAAGCAGGGCTGGAACCTGGAGACAGAACCTAATGCAGAAGCCATGGAGGGATGCTCCTTCTGGCTTACTCCCCATGGTTTGCTCAGCCTGCTATCTTATAGAACCCAGGACCACCAGCCCAGGGATGGCACCACCCACCAAGAGCTGGGCCTTCTGCTACTGATCAATAATTGAGGAAATGCCTTACAGTTGGATCTCACGGAGGCATTTTCTCAACTGGTGCACCTTCCTCTCTGATGACTCTAACTTGGGTCAAGTGGACACACAAAACCAGCCAGTACAATTATCTATTAATAGAAATATTGTTGAATATAATGCTAAGGATACGACAATGAAGGATAAAAAGAAAATAAGTGTTCTCAAGGGTTTCAAAGGAATCAAAATTATTAAATAAACAAAGCTATAGAATTACCAGTGTAATTACCAGTGTAATGACAAAAGTTTTTTCAGATTTTGTTTATCTGTTTTGTTCCGAAGCACAGTCTCACAAGGAAGCCCTGGCCTGACACTAAATATGTTGAACAGGTTGACCTTGAATTCAGACATCCTCCTGCCTCTGTGTGTCCAGTGCTGGGGTAAAAGGCATGTGCCACCCTGGTTATTTTTTTTTGGTTTTTCAAGACACAGTTTCTCTGTGTAGCCTTTCAATCTGTGTACACCAGACTGGCCTTGAACTCAGAGAGATCCACTTGCCTCTGCCTCCCAAGTGCTGGAATTAAAGTTGTGCACCACCACTGCCTAGCTTACTGCAAATTCTTAAACTTGATAAAAAAAAAAAAATTGGGCCAGCCTTCCAGTACCTGGAAAGCAAAGACAGGCAGATTTCTGAGGTCAAGACCAGCCTGGTCTACAGCAATAGTTCCAGGACAAGTGGGCTATACAGAGAAACCCTGTCTCAAGCCCTCCTCAACCCTCAAAGCATTGGGAAAAAATTATGAAGATATTTCAAAGTATATGTCTAAAGCTTAGATTAAGGCAGTTGTTATTGAAAAGACTAAATTCCCTAAGGCAAAATTTAAAACTGTACTATGTGATACAGTAGCTCTAAGCTGAAAAGCTATTTAAATTAATTCAAATACAATTTGCTTATTTTCCTGCTATAAGACAGAAATTAGACCTATTCTGTGTTATGATAAAATGTGGGCTCAGGGGACTAAAGAGACAGCTCGGAAGTTATAAGAGCACACTGCTCTTTCAGAAGACTTGAGTTTGGTTCCCAGCAATCATGTTAAGTGGATTGATCATAACTGCTAATAATTCCAGCTCTAGAGAGATCTGATGCCTCTGGCCTCCATGGAAACACACACATGCACATGTATATGTACTTAAAAATGAATTTAAAAATGTAGGTTCAGTCATTTTATAAAGAAAGGGGTGACTATCCTCCAGAGTGATCTTTATTAAGAGACTGTCTCATGATCACTAGGGTCTCATAATCACTGGGATCTCATGATCACTTAGGTCTCATGATCACTGGGGTCTCATGACCACTGGAGTCTCATGATCACTTAGGTCTCATGACCACTGGGGTCCCATGATCACACCTTAATGTGAGAGAGTAATTAGGAGAAATAGAGATAATATTAGAGACAAATGACGGCCTTGGAGGAAAACAAAGGCTTCCCTTCAAACACCTGGAGATAAAGAGGGCCAGAGAGATGGCTCAGTAGTAAAAGCATTTGCTGACAGGCCTGATGCCCTGAGTTCAATCCCCCAAACCTACATGATGGAAGGAGAGAACTGACTCCAAAATTTCTGCTATGACTTTTACATAAGCATGTACGTGCACACACTACACCCTGTGCTGGCAAATAAATGAATATATACTTTTAAAAGACCTAGAGAGGAGCTTCATTAAGACAGCTTAGAGTAAAAAGTAAAAGAGATGATAACACATGCGAGTGTGATGGGGTGGGTATGTGTCTGCAGGGGGACAAACGGGGTTCTCTGACTGTTCTAGGTTTTGAGGGGATGACCAGAAGCTTTAGTGTGATTTAGTCTGGCATAGCCTATGTGCTGAGGAGCCTGGTACTGGGTAAAATTACCTTGTAGCTTCGAGGGGGAAGACAGGGCTTACTTATCTCCTCCCTTGCTTCCCACGACCTGTGTGTTGTAGATGTCATAGCAGGGGCCTGTCAGCGGTAAGGGGCCACGGCCTGATTTCTGAGAGAGGATGCAGCTAGAGGGTCTATGACCTAAGAGAATGCACCCTGGACAGTGTTACTGTCTTTGCCAGTCTTTACTGAAGACTTCACTTCCTGAGGCAATCTGTCCTGTACTCCAAATTCACTTTTAGTGTTTTCTCTAGAGTTGAGAACCTAATGTTGCCTATCCTGCTCTCCTAATGCAGAGTCATACAATTATAGACGCTAACTTAGGACACCATCCCAGCCAAGCTCAGTATTCCTCATGGGGTGGGGAGATAGTAAAGGAATACATACACAACCATAGTGTCAGTCCACAATCAGGCTGAAATTTGAACCCTATGTGCTCACTCCTGACAACATTCAAACTCAACATGCGACTGCTGGATTCTCTTAAGGCAAATTGATGTCTGTATCTACTCAGTTTTAGCTGAGATGGGCGTTAAGGCTGGTGGCATGGAGCTTTCTTGCCTACAGTGCCTCTGGAGACTTCATAAAACATACCAGTTTTCTGTCAGGATGCTGCATCTGGGGGTCAGACTCCATGCAGCATGAGCACTGTCTAAGTTTCCTTCTTCCTTGTACCTACTTGAACCTTGTCAACATGAAGCTTTCATAAATGTTGGCCCTGTCAGCTATTTATGAATTCCAAAAAACTGCTTTCCTGGGTACATTCAACTAAGTGATTTTGCTCTTTCCCCATTTTCTTCTTGACATGTCTTGGCATGTGTTTTTTATGAAAACAGTGGTAGTTGAGATGTGTGCAGGATCTTGGGTTATAGCAAAATAGATTTGGTAATAAGTATTTATTTGGGCTCTCTTTTCTCCTCCAGTTCCCTCTCTGAGACTGGATCTTGCTATCTAGCTAGCTAAGCATTACCTTGAACTCTTGAGTCTCCTGCCTCTACTTCCTAACTGCTAGGATTACAGGCATACAAACAACACTTGGCTTTGATTTTGCACATTTTGTATATTATTAATAAACACTAGAAAAGCAGGTTATTTTCTCTGCCACATTTCAAATACCTAAACATGTGGCTATTTTCCTATATCAGACAGAACAGAAAGAGAACATTAGCCACAGTCACAAAAATTGCTTTCAACAGTGATCTAGGAATATCCTGATACATCATGCTGAATAAATGAACTAAATAGAAGTAAAATTCAGATAACACATTTGTTAAATTGTATTTGTTAGATACAATTGCTAAAATAATTCAAAAATTGAATTCAAAGGTAGTACAATGTGATCGTGTCAGGTAAAACTGTATAATAAATAAAGCTACTCACCAAAGGTTACCAAAAACTCTTAACATGTTTTACTCGTACGAGAAAATTATTCTTCATCTATTTTTTTTAAAGTTAAGGTCATAATTTTACCTGTCTTAAGATCAGTTTTCTAAAGGAGGAGGTGGCACAGGAATGTGGCAGAGTTCAAGTATGGAATTCATTTGTTGAGAGTTAAATATTTTCCAACTCTGTAAAAAATAAAAATAAATTCAAATATTAAAAAATATTCTCAAGAACATATCACAAATTATTTAAGATGACACACTCATAAAATGGCTCTTCATTTTTATGTGTTGGTGTGCAAGCACTGACGGTGCATGTGTACTTATGTGTGTGGCTGCATGCACCTGCACATGGTCATGTGGAAGACACTGAAAAGCCAACTCTGCTGAGTCACATCTTACCCCTTCACACAGTATTGAAGATAGAGCTCTACCATTTTTTGGTTAGGTTGGCAGCCAGCAAGCCCCAGAGATCTACCCAACTCCATATTATACCCCTCCGCACTGGGATTATACACACAGCAGAAACACATGGCTTTTGACATTGGACCCTGGTCCTTGATACTTGTGTAGTAAGCACATTTACTTGCCGTAGCTCACCTAACACTAAAGAATAATTATGGACCCTAACATATTCTGTAATAACTAGCATACTTGTGTATCTTTATCATATATAAGAAAAAATTTTGGAGACAAAAAGTCTCAATTTTAGCTTCAAGCATCCCATTAATTATCTGTTTGTTTGTTTGGTTAGTTTGGTTTGGTTTTTCAAGACAGAGTTTCTCTGTGTAGCCTTGGCTGTTCTGGAGAGCTTTGAAGACTAGGCTGGCCTCAAACTCACAGATATCCGCCTGCCTCTGCCTCCCCCCGTGCTGGGATTACAGGTGTGAGCCACAGCGTCTGGATCCCACTTATTATCTTTAAGACAATGGGTAGGTTATTTAAACTGCTGGAGATTCAGGTGAAAAAATATCTAGAAAATTAAATCTTTTCCATACCAAAATACTCTAATTTTTGAAACATATTATAGTGATGCACTCTTTCTCTTGCAAGAGTTTTCTTTAGGACTCCAGAGCCTCAACAAGGCATGCATGCACCTGCCACCTATCCTCACTTCTAAACTAAATAAATAAGAAATGGAAAATAGGCAATAAGCAGTCATGCACAAATCATGTTAACTGGTTTATAACAAAGATAATTTTGCAATGCAATTGGAAAAGAGAGTTTTAAGTAAAAAGATGTTAGGTCAAGTGGCTATCTCTATGGAAAACAATGAACTTACACTACTCACAAAAGCAAACTCCAGAGACCAGCAGGTGATTGACTGGTTAGAGCACTTGCTGCCAAGTCTGAGGATTTGAGTTTGATCCTGGATGGAGGGTGAGACTGACTCCTGAAAGCTGTCCTCAGACCCTTACAGGCATGTGTCTGTGCATGAGCATCTTCCCACTCCCATCTCTAATTCGATGTTGAAAAGGAAGAAAATGCCAAGTGGAATACAGATCTAAGTATTGTGGAGCAGGGAAATGTACAGCAAGACATTTGTGTAAATAACTAAGTTTAAACTTCTATCACCTCCTTCCTCTTTCTTCTTGTTGAGACAGGGTCTCACTATGTAGACAAGATGGCCTTTAACTTATACTCTTCCTTGTGTCAACTTCCCAAGTGCTGAGATTACAGACATGCACACTCATTTATAATATATATTATATATAAATATATATATAATATATATATTATAAACATGCTCAATTAAGGAAAACACTTTTTAAATAAACAAAAAGCACTGACAATGGCAACTGGACTGTATTAAATCTGTCAACAAAAAATTAGATCATGGCTCAGTTCGTTGAGTTAATATTCCTGAGTTGGCAGAATAAATATTATGAAAATGTTCATATTATTTAATTTATAGAATCAATGAAACTTCTATCAAAATTTCTATGCTGTACTTCACAGGTTTAGAAGAAATACAAGAACTCATATGAAACTCAGAACATTGCTGGGAGCCAGGCGCAGTGGCACTCACCTGTAATCCCAGCACTCAGGGAGGCAGAGGCAGGCAGATCTCTGTGAGTTTGAGGCCAGCCTGGTCTACAAAGGGAGTCCAGGAAAGCCAAGGGTACACAGAGAAACCCTGTCTCGAAAAAAAAAAAAAAGAACAGTACTGGAGATATTATAAAATCCAACTTCAAATCATACTATAGAGCTATACTGATAAAGAAAGCCTGGTACTGCCATAAAGATAGACAAAGTAGAATGAGACTAGAACAGAAGACCTGGAAATAAGATGGCAAAGCTAAACCCAGGTAATTTTGACAAAGGAGGTAAAAACATAAAATGCTTTGGGAAAAGGACCTATTAAACAAATGGTGCTGATAAAACTCAACTACCTACAGAAGATGAAATTAGATGTTTATCTTTCACCTTGTACACAAGTCAATTCAAAATAAATCAAAGACCTTAATTTAAGACCCAAAACACTGACTTTTTTTAAGGAATCGTGGGTTACCCTTCAAGATACTGGGTTAGCTAAGGACTTGAAAAAACACCAACTGCTAAGGAACTAAGCCTGCTATCAACAGATGAAAATAGTTTCTCTACAGCAAAGGACACAATTAGCAAAGTTAACAGAAAATCCATACAGTGGAGGAAAATCTTTGCCAGCTACACTTCAGACAAGAGGCTGTTATCCAGATCTAACAAAGAACTACAGAAATTGAATACCATGGAAATAAAACTGTTAATCAACAAATGGGGAAATAGTTGTTGTTTTAAAAGAAACACATATGGCCAACTGCTTTTTAAAAGTATTCACTAAACCTAGGATACAAAGCAAAATAACTGTAAATAATAATAATAATAATAATAATAATAATAATAATAATAATAATAAAGTAGTCAATATCCCTACTCATCAGATAATACAAATTAAAACTACTTTGAGATATCACCTCACCCTGCCATGAATGAATTTGACAACACTTACTCACTGTCAGGAGGTACAAACTAATTAACACTGCCATTATGGAAATCAGTTTGCATATTTCTCAAAAAATTAAAAATAGAACTTGTTAGTATTTTGGAACACAACCTGCTTCTGGGATTACCTAGCAATTTATGATATCATCATGTGTTGCCGGCCAGGTGGCCACACCTGGAAGGCGTGGTTACCTTGCCCCTTAAAGGTACATCCCGACACGTGGTCACTCTCTTACTCTCTCACTCCTCTTACTCTTGCTTCTCTTCTCTTCTCTTCTCTTCTCTTCTCTTCTCTTCTCTTCTCTTCTCTTCTCTTCTCTCTCTCTGTACCCCCTCCCCTTTCTCTCTCTCTCCCCATCATGTCATGTTCCCCTCCTTCCCTCCATACCCACTTAATAAACCTCTTGCATAGAAGATTGGTTGACCAGCCTCATTCTTTTAATAGATCTAACAGAACTAAGCATGTGACCCAGCTATTCCACTTCTAGGAATACCCAAACAATGCCATACCCTCCCATGTAGATATTAACACCCACAAGCTTATTGCTGGTTTATTTACTATAGCAAAGAATTGGAATCAACCTATTTACCCATACACAAATCAATGGATAATGAAAAACTGGGAAAATGAGTACTATTCAGTTCTAAAAAAAAAAAAAAGAAAGTTTAAAAATTTGCAGAAAAATGGAAGGACTCAGAATATATAAAGCAAGGTCACACAATCTTAGAAAGAAAAATACTTGCAAGTTCTCTCTCCTAAGAGGAATTCAGTCAATTATGTATTTGTATTTATAAACAAATGTACATGTGGGTACAGTATAACATAAAAAAAGACTAAATATTAAGTAACGAGAAGGACTGAACGCAGGTAATTAAGTTATAAAAAACAAGTTATGAAAGAGTGTATAAAGCAAATTACTTTTTTTTAAGTCTAATTCTGTCATAATTTTTTTGGGTGGTGGTGAATAAGTACATAAAATATATTCAATACTGAAAGTTTAAATCTAATGTACAGCTTCACACCTTCTATTTCAAATGCTATTTCTAACTGTACAGAAGTTCACTGAGCTGTACAAACTTTGCATCTCTATGGGAGTGAGGTATCTGAGCACTGTGTATTCAAATGCTGATTTCTGTGCCACAGATATCTGATTACAGGCTGACTTTGGTATTGTCATTATTACAAAGCATCTCCTGCCTCAGTATTTTGTAAACACCTTCTGACTGGTTGAACAAAGAGCTGAAAGGCCAATAGCTGGGCAGGAGAGGAAGGTAGGACTTCCAAGCTCAGTAAGAGAATCTCAGATGGGGACAAGAGAAGAGGGAGTTGCAATGAAGAAGTAGGTGCCAGAACAAGACTAAGATGACAGGTAACAGGCCATGTGGTTAGTATTGTCGGGTTAGAAGAGCTATAGAGCCCAGATAGAGCCTAAAACTTTTAATAAATATAAAGGTCTCCATGTCATTATTCAGAGAAAGGGCAGGCATAGAAAAAACTTCCAGTTACACATCTCCTTAATTTTAGTGTGTAATATTTATTTTATTTGCAAGTTTTTAATCAATGGATAATGAAAAACTGGGAAAATGAGTACTATTCAGTTCTAAAAAAAAAAAAAAGAAAGTTTAAAAATTTGCAGAAAAATGGAAGGACTCAGAATATATAAAGCAAGGTCACACACTCTTAGAAAGAAAAATACTTGCATGTTCTCTCTCCTAAGAGGAATTCAGTCAATTTCTTTTAAAAGATAGTCTATTTAAAATAGTAAGATGCAGAGCCATTGAAGAAGATACCTAACGCTTATCTCTAGCCTCTACAACATCCTCATACATGTACATATGCACCTGTACACACACACACAAAAGCATGTTCCCATGCATGTGTACTGAGAAGGGAGGAGAGGAGGGAAAATGAAAAGAAAAGCAAAGGTCTAGAGAAGTACTTTCTCTTTGTCAACAAGATATTTATAGGCAAAAGTTTACCTTCTTCCTGGAAACTTTTGTTTGAGACAAGGCCTTGCTATGTAACCCTGGCTAACCTGGAAATCACTATGTAGATTAGGCTGGCCTCACTCATAGAGATCTGCCTTCCTAGTGCTGGGATCAAAGGTGTGTATCAACACATCTTAAAACTCTTTTCTTTTCTGTCTTTTTTTTTTTTTTTTTTTTTTTTTTTTTTTTGAGACAGTGTTTCTCTGTAGCCTTGG